AAAATAATGAAAAAGTCATTATGAAAGAGAACTAATGTGTTAATATACTAAATATAAATTTTACACACAAGAAAGCATGTATTTTGGTTTTGTTCGGTCTTGTAATCCGCGGTCACAAGTAGTTAGTAACTTCAACTGTAGTTACTGTAATTCGAGATGTGCATCCAGATCGAGCGTGTAATAAATATATCACTGTGACCTGCTAGCACATATAGAAAGTATCTTAGAGTTCTGTTTTCGTAACAGTAGGTAATTAAGAACAAGAAGCATACGTGTGCAGCACTGTATTTGTGAGTGATAATCAATGTGCCTTGCTATGGCTTGTTCGAAAACGGAGCGAAAAATCAAAGGTCTTGTTTTTTAAACAACAATTTTACGGTCAGTAACGGTAATTGTACAGATTGTTGCAACGAATGAAAGAAATGCAAACAATAGCAAAAACTGATTGTGAAATAAATCTATGTTCGCTATCTCCTCAGCCTTCATTTTTAGATTACCTGCTTACATATCACTGATATTTTGTAACAAGTGCATATGCCCTTTGAAATTAAATAAACAGTTCCCAAAATCATGCAAAAATTCACATTTATAAGTACTAGTTGAGCATTTCTTTGAATTTCACAGGTGGGAACACATTAATTCTTATTATAGGGATAACAAATACCAGTGTTAGAAATCAGCATCCAAAACGTCCGTATATTGTTAAAGTTTCTTCATGGTAACAAATAAAAAGGATTATTTATTGATTCATAAATAATATCTTGCTTTTGAATCAACTTGTGTGAAAAATGTAGTTATCGACAAAAGACCAGAAGACACGGTGATTAAAATAATAAAGTTAATTCATCTAATAAGTGAAAATTAAAGTAAATGTGATACTTTGAACAGTTAATGATTAGCGAACAGCGTGTTGAGAATTTCAGTTTTAGAACTCAATCTTCACTGAAGACGCGAGACTTTTGGTCTTATGACAACACTGTTCGTCAAACCTTCAAAAGAAAATTATTGGGTAGTGTCAAGAGAAGCGAGCATACGGTAGTTTTTAGCCAAATAGGTTCGGATCTTATTTTTTGTTTATCAGTCTGCAGCCCATTTACATCATAGATTAAAATTGGGGTATTTTCAAATACACTTGATTGTCAAAATATCCCACGCTAAGTAAACTGTCCGTCGACTGATGTAAAATGTACAAACAGCAATAAATGATATCCAATATAATTTAGTAGTTCGCCACACAATATCTTGTAGAATAATGTTTTCCGGTTACAAGATGGAGTGTTCATCGTTCCACGAGCAGCAAGCAACAGAAACATAGTTTGCTCTGTGGTCAAATGAGGGACAAAGCAGGACTAATTATAAGATTTGACTACATATATACATGGGAAGTGGAATGAACCAAATATGCAGAGACTATGTCTAAGAGTGGTATTAGCGCATTTGCCAGTAACACTAGACGAATAATCGCAATATAATGTAGTTGGCACCATGATGTAACCACCTATCCTATGACATCTCACGTCATAGTCCCGTCGTTGTCCATAAAGACTCACTTTATGTGTCATTAGGCGTGCTGTGTGTAGAAATATTAAAAGTACACATTCACAGTTTTAATAAGACAATAAGTTTAATACAAAGAAGAGGGGTCTACAATCCACACCTAAATGATCGAGCCATGGAGTTCTTAGTGTTCTAGAATTGACCAACTTTGACTCTCCTAATTTTTGTCCATCGTTTAAAATTCAGTGATATTCTGCTGTCTCTAAAAATATACCCATCCCTGAAACAATCCGGCAAATATGTGACTATGCTGAGAACAAATAAATTAACATTGACGTTCCAATGCGATATTCGAAGGAATGGCTTCTTAGATGCATTTGCAGTTTCAGATTTAAATTTAAAGATTGATTTTACAAACAATCTGATTATGTAGTGATGGGTTTACCTCTCGGTTCGCTTCTGCTCTCTGATTCGTAGCCCATCTAAAAAGGATCAACAATACATAGTTTTCGTCTACACGAGGGGTGTTTCAATGGTGCTTTCATTACTCGTGACGAAGGTATCAATTTTAAACGCACGTTGGACACGTCCTGTATACGAGGTGGTGGAGAACATTTGCACCTCGAACGGGTGATCTTGGTAGAATTTCGTCCTCTGAGCTGGATGGTTTGGTTGTGATGGAAGTTTGTGCTGATGATGTCGTTCACAATAACGAAGGAAAATCCACGACAAAGCCATTCAACTCAAAGAACAAGACTCCACCAAAAACCTTACAGTATTTGTCGTCACTTAATTAAGTTCACGATGAAATTAGAGACAGATTCAAAATTTCACTTCTCGAGCGTTCATCAAAAAAGAGACCTGGTGCTTCTTCACAAAGATTGATATTTATAAAGCCAACCTGTAATGGTCAGTGCACGAACTCTAAAAATTGGGTCTCACTAAACCTAAAGAGAAACCTGATTCATTGTCTACATAGAAAAGCTAGACGAGTCTGCACTGCTGTTGCGATTTAAACTAAACTTGATAACTGTGGCGGACGCAGATCGACAGTAGGTATCTACCTAGATCCATGAACGAAAGTCTGAAGACAAAACAATGACGTGGGTGTCTATAGTACTAGAGAAGACCCTCATTATAAACATTCACTTGAAGGAAGATATTGTGTCAGAAAGTCTGAAAGATGGACTTTCGAAATGACCGAGAACACTTCGTTCGTTTCAACTTCGTATCATCTTCTGTAGTAGGCAGCTGATTCGTAGTTGTGGGGAGGAACCGCTCTATCTTTGGGGCAAATCAATGTCTATCCCTCAGTTTTTTGCTCATGTGGATCGGATTATACCAGCCGCACAACACAGAGCTCATTCATGATGCATCTCCGAGCATGAATCTGCTTCGCTCAATCACGGAATATTTGCTTGGATTCGTTTTTGGATGATCTTGGCTGGTGGTCCTGTTGTCTCGATGTGGTGTTTAACATTATTGGTTGCACAGTGTAATTTCGACAAAGGCTAAAACACTCTTCGAGTTGCCGTTGGAAGTCTGGGCCGATCATTGCCTTACCCATGATTCAGCCCAACCTTCAATCAGAAACTGAAGTTCCATAAACAGATGACTTGATATTTCCATCTGCCGACCTCCCTTTACTCCGGTCGATGAGTAGATTATGGTGTTCAAATGGTTCAAAATGGTTCAAATGGTTGTGGACGGAATAGAAGAAGCTTTCACTTAACAGGCTTCCGTGTCTAGTAGCAGGGGGTCACCAAGTCCTCTAGGCAGTAACCTAGGTGTGTTAACAAGAAAACAGAAAAAGAAATTAATAAATCATAGTGCGATACTATCCTTAGTCCTTAAGAATAGACCAAGTTGCCTCTTAAAGGACTCCTGGGAAGTCGCTTGGACTACCTCGGCCGGCAGCGAATTCCAGCATTTGACAACTCTTAAGGAGTAGAAGTTGTGTCTACATTCCGTTCTGGTATGTTGTGTCTCCAGTTTTTGGGTGTTACCCCTTAGGTTAGTGTTGGAACTAAGCTTAAGTAGGTGTTTGAGAGGATGTCCAGAAGTGTTAAGGATACTGTAAGCCATCAGAAGGTTACCTCTAAGACGTCTATGCTCTAATAGGTAAAGGTTAAGTGAATGGAGGCGCTCTTCATATGGTTTAAACTTGAGTCCTCGAACTGATTTCGTGGCTCGCCGTTGAATACGCTCAAGAGTGTCCTTATCCTTTTGAAGTGAGGGGAGATATACTATGTTTCCGTACTCTAAATGGGGACGGATGAAACTACTGAAGATTGTATGGAAAGTTCTTCCGTCAAACTGGCCAAAAATGCCCTTCAATGTTACCAGTGCAAGGTTTGCGACATGTCACAGATGGACTACTTTACACTTTGAAGTGTTAAAGGTAAGTCCGTTATCGTCTGCCCAACTTTGAAGTCGAGTCAGATCCTCCTGAAGTGCCTGTGTATCGTCTTGGTTGCGTATCTCTCTCCAAAGTTTCACGTCGTCGGCAAAAAGTAATAAGTCTGACGTTACCTGTTGAGGAAGATCATTTATGTAGATCAAGAAGAGAAGAGGCCCTAGTACTGAGCCCTGGGGGACCCCACTAGGACATTCCATAGCCTGAGATAAAGTGAAATTAACCCTAACCTTAAAGTGTCGATTTTTTAGGTATGAAGTAAGCCAATCGATTAGAGGTGGTTTGATACCTAGTCGTTTGAGCTTATTGATAAGGCATGTATGGTTAACCTTATCAAAAGCTTTTGAGAAATCAAGGTAAATGATATCAAACTTTCCCTTGCAATCGAGGATGCTTGTCCATCTGTCCACCGCAGTCAGCAGGTTGGTTATACAAGAGTAACCCTTCCTGAAACCATGCTGTTGGGGTGAGAAGAAATTTAAGGACAGTAGATAGTCATTTAAACCGTCGCATATCAGGGACTCCATGAGTTTTGAAGGTAATGACAGAAAAGCCACCGGCCGATAACTTGATGGTTCATTGCGGTGTGATGTCAGCCAACTTTCAATTTTCCGGTAGTTTGCCTCGGCTTAGCGAGTGTGAAAACATCACGCTAAGCGGCGTTGCCAGGATTGAGGCTGCCTTCCTCAATATGGCAGGATGAACCATATCCGGGCCAGGAGAAGTATCTAGTCTTAAGTGCTGCAATTTCCGGAACACCAAGTCAGCGCTTAGGTCCACTTCGGAAAGTCCTGTGGAATTGTAGATGAAACTGTCGTCAGTAAAGTTGATGTCAGCCGGTTGAAATGTTTAAGAGTAATGTGCCGCCAGAAGGTTAGCGGCGTCGCCATCGTTGTTGTTCGGGCCGTTGTGACCTAGCAGTTGAGAAACACCTGTTTTGGCTTGAAGGTTCATACCAATGATCAGCATAGAAGCATCTGCGACAAGGAAGATACAGCAGATGGATTTGTGTATTGAACGCCACCACTATGCCAAGAAGTGAACTTGAGGAGAACAACAGAATTTCACTCGCTTGTGTATACGGTATTGGATATTGGAATTCCAAAATGTGTCAAATTCAAACATGTATTCTGTTTTCGTAGCTATGTGAAAATACTTTGAATACTTGTTCATTTTCACAATGTGTTACTTCGGACAGCCAACAAAGTACGTTCAACCGAATTGCCTACTTTAATTTACAGGTTTAAGATCTTTGAAGTTTGTCTGACTGTTTGACACCTAATATATTTAATATTTTCGTGGTTGGATAGTATTAACAATTCTTAGCCCGCCAGTTGGAACTAAAAAATAATTCAGACGTCTCAGTTGTGTTCAGTGAGGGTATTGGAAGCAATCAAATATCCTAGTACTAGTGAAGTAGGCAGTTATTCGGTGGTAGAGATATGTTTAGTATAAATAAGTGCACTTTTTACGAGTGCAAACACATGTAATTTTATCATGTAACTATGTTTTTGGTTAGAATGAAGGTTAAAATGTTATAATAAAATATGGTGGATAGAGGACATCATGTATTTTCTATTCTCTACCTTCTGATGGAGTTTGTGGGGTGAAATTTATTTTCAATTGAATTTCTAAATAATTATCCTACCGTATCAAGCCTTTATTTTTACTTAAGGAGCCTTTTGCGTTCGATGAACGTGGTTTGCCGCTTATATATCCCAATTTCCTATTCTTCAATAGTAAGAATACAAGACTATGTAGGTTGAAAATATCTAAATAAACAGACAGTACTATTTGTTTGCTCATCCGTCTCTTGTCGCCCCTCATATGAGAGGTTGGAAAATCCTTTTGCAAAATCATCACCTAGTTTTTGAGCGTACTGAAAAGCATCTAAATTTAGGACCAGAAGTGGACTAGTAGCCTAAATGTAATATTCAAGGTTAGAACGTACATAGGTTGGACACAATATTCTAAACTATTCTTTTGGAAGTTATATAAAGTATTCATGGAACGTGATAGCAGATCCTAATTTAAATGTTTAAGCAGAAAGTGCTGAAAATACGTACACAGGTGCACGGTTCCTGGGATTTACGTTTGGATACGGAAAACAAATATTTAAGGTTAAATAGTTCTGATCTTGTTTTGGAAGTCTTCTGAAAATGCCTTCTTAGACCAGTCTTGGGTGAAAAAACAGGCAAGAATTGCCCGATCAGTCTTATTCAACGGTTATTACACACCTAAGTTAGAATAAAAATGTGGTTTATATCTGGAAGTTTGGTAATGATATGTTGAGTATGATTATATTATTCTACAAGTACATCACATTTAAAAATTCGTGATCAACCTTGACTGAAGAAAAATGTAATGTAGTCTTGGGTTAAACAATATATTTGATCCTGAATGGAAGTTGTTGACAATGCTATTAAATTAGTTCAGCGCACTCAACCTGTACGATAAAATTCAGAACGACGCCAATACCTTTTGGCATACCTCGGCACAATGCAGTTCACTAAAATCAACAGCTGTTAGTGAAGTTGTTGTGGATGCGGAGGAATAGACCAATAATTATCATGTTAAGTCCAATGGTGTCCTTGGACTTTAAATGCACATTTCCTATTGGTCGATATCTGTTCACTTGTTGAATATTGTACAAAATGTTGTTTTCTATTTTTATGGTACGATGTGGTATGCTTGACTAGTATATAAACAAAGTATGTTTGAAATATAGTGATTCATATCTCCGAGGCTGTGACTTGTGTTCTGGACTCAACTGACTGGGCTAGACAGGGAAGCGAGACCAATAGAGACTCTAGGCCGTCCGTACGTGTTTACGTGTCATTGAATCGATCGATAAGTACGCTGCTCTCTAATTTTCCAGTCAAGGACACAACAATTAGCACAGGGTAAAAATCAACCAGCAACTTAAAGTCATAACAGAAGTACTTAGTCCTAACAATGTTATGCATAACAATTTACTCGTCAATACATAACCGAAATGAGTTTTCTTCTAAAAACGCTTTATAGAAGAATTTATTGATATTAAACCTTCAATACCATCATATACCTTTGGTTCCATAATCTACAATATGGTTTATATAAACAAAATTTGTCGGATTTTTGAAAGACATGAAAAATAGCCTCAGTGAATATCAATTCACTCCTACCAGCTTCCAATTCACTATAGATGGCGCATAGTTTTACTAGATTTCATGAGAATGGAATAAATAAATATGACCACAGTAATCTTTTGAAGACCAGATTATTCGCTTGCTTAGTATTTCTTTAAAATGTCGTAAAAAGAGCTTATCTTGTATCTTGAAATAATCACATAACTATATCGCAAAACTTTATTCCCGTCGTGTAATGAGTGTGTTCCGGGTTTACAAGCTCTCTGAAGAAGTTCAAAGCCAAGTTATTTCTAGTAAGATAATAAAACAACTTCAGGCTTGGCATGTAACATCTCATGCTTGAGAATGCTCTCCATTTACCATAAAAACATAAATGGTTACAATGTGTATTGTAAATGTATAAAATTTGTTTTATACACTAATGAGCAATGACTGACAGTATAGAAGTAGGTTGGAAGTTAGCTAGGGACAACCAGACCAAAATGTGACATCAGTCTTTGAAGTCAATAACTACTGGTAGAGCCATGTTGACAGATGTAAGCTATCCGGTTAGAGTTGGTGTGATAACAGAAACCGGTTGTTAGAGACTTCCCACTCTATCTTTTAAAACTAAAGTTTCAGTGTTTGTTTTTTTCATCATTGCCACTCAGGTGTTGATTGAGAAGTGGGGGTGGTTATCATTTTTGGCAAATTATTTGTTTTGTTCTTTATTTTCATTTCATCTTGCTAATGTATAATCGAAACTTGGCCAACACACATCTGTCCTAGGCTTCCTTATTGATAATATCTGTCTCTAAAATTCTGAGATTTAAATAACCAATCAGTTGCAGATTCGTGTAATTCATTCCAACCCGCACTCTAGATGTAAGAAATAATGACAATTTCTGGTTGCCCAAGTCAAATTAGATAGAGCGGGGCTTGAGTAAGATATTTAGTGGCTGAGTGTCGAAAGCCTTAATCACTGTTTCATCACCTGACATTCCTAGGTCGCTCCAATCGGGATTTGAAGGAACACCCTGGAGGTTTATAGGCAAAAAAGCATTATACTGTACCGTATTATTTAAGACAGCTCTAATGAAATGTTTTTTATTCTAATGAAGACTAAATTTAAATAATCTCCTTAAAAGATACAAATCTAAATTGTGTATTTTTTGTGCTTTACATTTGTTATAGTTTATGTAGATCAAAAACCTCAGTTCTGTATTTCAAGTATTCTGTAATAGTTTGAGATAGAATACGACTGGGGTTATCTAATACCCTGCCCTATAAATATACTTAACTACATCATGTGCGGAAACCATTTAGTAGTGATTTTTAAGAATTATATTATGTAGTTTTATGTATATTTTATTTTATTTATTTTACCCATCCATATCGATAGCGGTACTTTTTGTGTTAACCCCTTAGTAACAATTATATTTTAAATATATTCTGAACGAATACACATTTTTATATCATTTTCTGAGCGATTTAGAACTTTTATTTGCAAAATTAAGCAGTTGCACTACATGACTTCTGTTTGTTAAGGTCTTGGTGACTGGTCACTATGTTTGGTCCTCAAACCGGTGGTTATTTTGTCACATAATTTGCGATATAAGTCCGTATTTGACTCCTGGGTTTAAAAGATGTTTTGTCAAGTTATTGACTTTAAATTTCTAAGCCATGGGATCTGTTTATTCGGTTTAATTTTGTTTGTGTTGTCAGGTAATATCGACAACTGCAAGATAAGAGGTGAGACTAAGTTTAACATAAGAATCACATATTGATTGTTGTAATGTTCATATTTCATTCGATAAAACAAACTGAATTTCATTTTGGTCTATGAATAATGAGACTTTTTTTATACCGAGTTTTGGACTGCATTACTAAAAACTGTCCTTCCAAACTCCGCATTAAATTGTTCTAATTTTACATTTTCATCAACTTTTAGTGTAAAGTGCTCCGCTGACAGATTTCTGTTGCCATTTAGTACTTTTGTTAGCTTTCCACGGACATTTTGTTCGTACATTCATCGTGATCAAGTGCTTTAGATTCAACAGTTTGAAGTTAATATCCTCTTATTTTAGTTTTTACAAAATGGTTTCTTACCAGAACTATCTAAAAATGATGCGTAGATAGGTATCGAACTTGGAGAACAAGCAATAAAACCACAAGAATATACTACCATAATGAAGCGAAAGACCAAATCCTTTAACATAATATATGGACATTTAAGATTGAACGCACTTAAACTCAAGATCGGAGTTCATGTGCGTGCAATTTAAAGCAGAAAAGTTTAGGTTATTATTTCCATTATAATTTTTATTGGCTTGTATGCTTTAAAAAAATTGTGAACGTAAATCATAAGTGTTCCGAACAGCACTGAGATGACGAAGCGTTTATCATTCACTCTGGTTAACTCTTAAATATAAACAGTACGAAGTGAAAAATATCATCCTGACGATTAGTCGTCTACTTTCTTATCTTTAGACGAATAAGTCATGGCAATCAAAAACCACTTACCACTTTTTGATAAGACCAAATATGTATTCGTGGATCTGATATAATTTGCACACTATTAATCTGGTCGAAGTGCAAAATAGAACCATTGAAACTTGATTTGTCTCCAATATTAAGCGGTTTATTGTATATCATAATACCCAACACTTAGTTGGATATAAAAACATAAAAAGGTGAACTTATGTATTACCGATTGTTACATCAAGGCGTTGGTTGATTGTTGAATTGCCCTTTTTGTCTTGTTTCTACAAGCTTGTTCAGTTCTTTCTCTGGTGAATATTAAATATTAATTAGTTCTTTTTTTTTCTCGACTTGTATGTACTATCGGTTTTCATAAGACCCATTTATGGATTAAATTCCTGCTCACAATAAGAGACTAATGTATTATAATTTTAAATTTATACTAGAAATGTATCATTTCTTGAACTGACCTGAAAACTAATTTCTGGTAGCTCTTTTAGAACAAATGTTTTGTGGCTAGCAGCGGAATCCAGGATGCAGAATTATTCCTGTTTGGGACTTGTCAACTGAATGTACTTTGATCAACGTGTTTATGTTTAGATTTTGATCAATTATTATTTTATTCCAACTCGAACGAAGTATTTACTAGGCTGCTGAGTTCAGATAGACACTAACTTGTTCAGTGATAATGATTTGAATTTCTGCTAATTTATGAAATCATGAATTAATTCATTTTAAATAATTTAATTAATGAACTTTCTGATGCCTGTGATTAATTGACAACGATGAAATAAACAGCGTTGTAGTTGTTTTTACAATTTCTCAAACGTTCTCCTTTTACTACATGTATTTTTTTCATTTATTGTATTAGAAAATGATATGTAAAATAAAGCGGAAAAAAAGGAAAAGAAAAAAGTTGTTCTCATTTGTTTGTCGCATGAAGCATGCTAATCTGGTAATTTATTTTATTTTCAATCTATCTTAGCAATCAGTCTATTTTAACAAATATAACTGTGTTCAATCGTGTCTTTATAAACTGAGGTGGTTGCCATATGTGTTACGTATGACTAACCATAATTCACCTCGAAGAGCTATGTAAGCTTGTATAGGAGTAAGTTGGGAAAGAGTCAGGGAGGGGGCGGCCAAACCAAGACTCGGTATCGATCCATGAAGTCATTGGCTACTGGTCTGAGGCCGTCAGGTAAATGGAGATTGTATCTGTGCAAATAGTGGTTCAAGATGCTGAGTAAAAGATAGGTGCATTCACTCTTTATCCCACCCTAGATCTTGAGCTCTGATTTTCTTTCATATATACCTTTTCTTATGACTTTTTAAATCATATTCTCAATGTTCGGTCTTACTCATTATCACTAACATACCACTGATCCTATTTACTCAGTACTCCATTTTGTGAATTTAATCTGGTTGGTCAGATGTAGTATAGCAACTTTGCCCCGATACTGATTGTGAGTAACTAATGTGTAAGACTGAGTTGTATTGGTATTTCAGAAATATAACGAATGCATTCTATGGTTATATTTTAGGTCTATTATCTATAAAATTAAATCCATCATTAAACTCAAAGTTAGTAAATTTCTTGCTGGTGGGAGGCCTATGCCCCTGCACGAGGGGTAACAGGCGTAAGTGAATAAGTAGTAATTTTCTTAAGTCAATAAGATCGTTTAACATGGTGCTTGTTTTGACTGAGGGAAATCTATTAAACAAAGTTCACTGGAATTTCATATTTCATGCGTTATTTCTTTTTCAGTCTATCCACTAGATAATTTGATCAGTATCGATATTCTCATAAGCATCACATATTTGCTGAAAATCAGTTCTATTGGTCTAATTCAGTAAGCTCACTTTAGTAAATGGCTGCACACAGAAAAATCCGAAAAATGCATTCATAACTTTTTATCAACTGGCTTTAACCAGCAAAACAACGCACATCTTCCCTTGTATGATTCAAGAATAGGAGAAATAGTTTGTTTCATCTTTTTGAATTTATTTCATTCAACTGCCACTTTGAATACATATTTAACAACAAGTCATATCTGTCATTGTGTAATGATTAAATATGTAAAGCTGTAGACGATTGACGAGAGTTTAGTTAAGCGATGTAGACCGTTTTTATTTTTATCAAATTTACAAATGAAGATGAATTGGTGAATTTAAGTTTCCTGCTTCTTGGAGCACTAGGGTTTCATATACCTGGCTGATATGTTAAGGCTGCAATTGGCTCTGTTGTCGCTGAGATGTTTAGGATACGACAGACCGGTTTTATGAATTTATATTTGAACTTATTGAGGACGAATAATGAAATCGGCCTTACTGGTAACTAGAATAGATACGAACCCTCGCATCCTCAGTTTTATTATTGGTTGTTTCTGTTTGTAAAAGAAAAAAACAGTACTACATAGAGTAATTAAATCATTTCACGTTACCTTCAGTTTCCACTTATAGTTTACTGATAAAGCATAATACACTACGTAGTGTGCTATCACATAATATAGTTCTCAGGAGAAATAGGTTGATGAAAGATTCTTCAATGACAAGTTATTAGTTCTAAACTGCCTAAGAAGATCGGCTTTGGTAATAAAGATAAAGTGACGGAAAACATTAATGTTGGACTCTATCTCGACACCCCAGACATAAATCAGTTGTCAGTATGGAACTAAAAGCGCTGATCTTATGTGAAAGCCTTGAAAAGTTGTGTAATACTCTATAAAGCAAAATTGTCAAGTGAAATTCCATTTCACTACTTCAGTACTTCTTACAAAGATAATCCATATTCACATTAATGAATTTTTGAATTATGATTTTGTAGAAAGTTTGTTCATCGTACCACATACCTATAAAAGATCCAAATCATGGAGACTTAGGTTGGTAGAAAAGAAAGTTTTTCTGTTTCTATATCGCTATGACTTATAAATTAGGCCCCATTTTCTCAAAATTTCGTCCTAGAGTCTTTACTGACCATCGTAAGCAATTAAGTGATGATACCTGCCCCATTCAAGTAAAGACACCCTTGTAGTAAAACAGATTTGGTTTATTTGAGATATAAATAAACTTGAACTGAAATTCAATAGATTCGTTTGGCAAATGAAAGTTTATGGATTTTTAAAAAGTTATTCAACTGTGAGTCTCAGACCAAGGTTTCTTATTTGCTACAACCAATCATTAAGGCACATCGGTAACCGTGCATAAACTTTCTGTTTTCACTATTCAGAACCTGCTTTACATTTCATACAGTCAAATACATTGTTGCTAAAATACTTCTGTCAATTAGACACTTATTTTTACAACTCCTAATAAACACGAAATCATTCTAGTACGTTCGTTCACCCTTTACATCTATCTTTGTCAATATCAATAATATTCCTTAATTTCACTTCAAAGTCATTCTCTCCTACAGTTAAATTCTTGTATATTTCTAATTATTTTGCAATATTAGTACTATGTAAAATCTGGGCAACTATCTTATTGATTAATTTACATTCTTTGTGCACGTGTATTTGTTTGTAAAAATACATGTGTATTTAGACTATAGATTATCCTTTATCCTTTATACAAGTAAAAGAAACTTCATTGATTATTTAGTGCAATTGTGTGTATATGCATGCTTGCATGAAAGTATTCTTGTAACACCAGAATTTTCAAGCAATTTTATTGACTATTTTAAATATATATGTGCGGAAAGAGGGTCACATGCATTGTATGTTTAACTACTAATATGTGTGTATCACATATTCACTGGTAAGTAGATATAAAATATTACTTGGTAATAAGAAATAGGGTGGAAAAAATAGAGAGGGGGCGGGAAAAATTTTCTTCTAAACTTTGGGTAATTGAGTAACATTTAGTTGTCTAATGAGAATTTTATCTTCATAAGTAATTGTGTAGCTAATCTAATGATATTTGAAATGTACATTTTCTTCACTAATATGACAAATAAATGAATAATTGCGAAAAACCTTGTAATGAATGAATTTCGACTTATACATCAAAGACTTTCAATTCATTGATCTAGAGATTAAATGCTCGTATATGAGACCAAACTTATTAGCTTCGATTCTCAGTGATTTCGTGAATACACACTCCTGAGATGTTCCATATTAGGATAAAATAGATGTTCATCGTTTCGCGGTTTTCAGTGATTGGCTAATTAATATTAAATCGTGATGTAATCCTAAAATTCAAAGATTTCCGCAAAAACCCCTAAACGTTTTCTGAAAAATTGGATGTGAATAAACAATATACACCCATAATAATATGTGTGGTGTAATATTTCCGATCCAATAAGACGATTTGAACTTCACAGATGATCTAGCCCTCCTATCCAGTACACACTAACAAATGCAGATAAATACAACCAGTGTAGCAGCAGTCTCTGCATCAGTAGGCCTCAACATACACAAGGGAAAAACCAAGGTCCTCAAATACAACACAGAGAACACCAATCCAATTACACTTGATAGCAAAACTCTGGAAGATGTAGAATCCCTCACATACCTGGGAAGCATCATCAATGAACAAAAAGAATCAGATGCAGATGTAAAGGCGAGGATTAGCGAAGCAAGGGCAGCATCCCTACAATTGAACAACATATGGAACTCAAAACAAATTTCAACCAATATCAAAGTCAGAATCTTCAATAAGAACGTCAAGGCAGTTCTATTGTACGGAGCTGAAACTTGGAGAACTACTACAACCATCATCGAGAAGGTACAAGTATTTATAAATAGTTGTCTACGTAAGATACTCAACATCCACTGGCCGGATGCCATCAGCAACAGCCTTTTGTGGGAGAGAACAAACCAGATTCCAGCTGAAGAAGAAATTAGGAAAAGGCGATGGAAATGGACAGGATATACATTACGCAAATCATCAAACTGCATTACGAGGCAATCCCTAACTTGGAGTCCTGAAGGGAAGCGGAAAAGAGTAAGGCCAAAGAACACATTACGTCGGTAAATAGAAGCAGATGAATAACAACTGGAGAGAGCTGGAAATGATTTCCCGAGACAGGGTTGGATGCAGAATGCTGGTGGGTGGCCTATACTCTTCCACGAGGAGTCACAGGTGTAAATAAGTAATATTTCCGTCGTCAGAAAAATGAAGATAATCTTAAGAAATCTATGGATCAATATTTTGTGCTTTTTAGTCAGATACAAATTGTAACGATAATGTAAGTATTCACATGGATCATTATAAAATACTAACTGAGAATTTATGATAGATTCGTTTTTTTTTTCTTCAAAAGATGTTGATTGTTGAAAATTACAATTAATTGATATATTTCATTGAGGCAAAAAGTATTAGAATTCGTCTGTTGATTTCACTAACTTATCATTATGTTAACTAGATTAGCATAGAGTTTAGGATAATATTGCAACAATTCAAAATTTCGTTTTTACAAATAAGGTGACAGTGTAAACTCACAAAATCCTGGAAAACAAAAATATTTGGTTTCATATATAGGAATAGGAGACAATGGTATTTGAAATTGCGAGAAATTTAATAGATGAATATTTCAGTATAGCTATGTCACCATAAATTTGGGACAATCAAGTTTTAGTATATTTAACTTGTCGTTAGCAGTGGAATCCAAGATGTGTATTTATTCTTATTTGGACTCTTCAGCTAAAAGTATGCACTTCTCACATTAGTTATTACCTCAAAAAAAAACAGGCGAATACAAACTCTTACTTATTAAGATTGCAATTACTGAACATGTTCTAGGCTATCAGAACTCGGTATTTTTGTGGATAGTGTGTTGGTGCTCGAATCTGTACAAAAATCAGCACTCATTCGATGAGTCCCAAATAGAACGAAACACTCACCATAGGTTTTCACTCCTTACCACAATTTAGATATACCAAAACTTGTTATAAAGTGTTAATTTCATGAGATTCACCCAATAATCCCTAATACTAACAATAACTGGTCAAAATTCAGTTCTGATTAACAACAATTGGATAACACAAAGTCTTGCATATTAAAACAACTTCTTTTCGACTAGAAGAACTCTATCCAGTAGATTTACAGTTCTCCGTCAGTTCAACTATAATATTTAGTCATCTCTGAAACCAGTAATTAATCAATATAAAGCAAGTATTACAAAATAATTAGTCTTAATAACTAATTCTTCATGTTTATCGATTATTTCCTTAAAATAACTTGGACCGAACAATCAGATAAAATACTGAATCCCTTGTAGTTTTGACAGTTACAATTTTCTACAATAGACTTACTGGTATTTAAGGACAGGGAATATTTGACTGAATAGTTATTTTCAATAACTTCATCATCAGGTTCCATAAACCTATAATAATTGTATACCAATGGCTAAAGTGAAGCATATACAAATAAGTAAACAACACGATGTTTTACGTTAAAATATTAAACGTTCGCATTGGCCACAGCGTAAATATGTTCAATATGCATTATTGGCGAGACTAAAATTTATGGATGAACCAATCAGGTATAAGATAACAGGACTCGGATTTTGGCGCGAAACTCACCCATCCATTTGGCTAAATACAGTATTGGCATTATGTCTGATGTCACTTCATGATGTAAAGACTAAATCTAATTCCTAACCTGAACCATCAACTATAAATCATAATTCTAATTCCTCACACTGGTTTATAACACTCATTTGGTTCTAGTTATTAGGTGAACACTCTCAAGGTCACTTTAGCATCGCTCAAAGGTCATCCATAAATTATAGTCTCATCGCATTATTTGCAAATTTCCAAGATCATGTAAAGAAATGAGTGAAAAAATTTCATTGTAAGTTGTCAATTTACAATTGTTTCCAAATCTTGACAACAAGATCATATAACTTCATTTTTAAATGAACATAATAACTATTTAAATGTAGAATGTATTGAATTTAACTTGAATATATATATATATATATATTTTTCCAGAGTTCAAGACGTTCCAGTGAAAGTACTAGTACAGTTGATAGTGAAGTAATTTTAGAAGCAGAACGCTTAGAATTAGAACGTTTAGCTTTAAAAGAACTTGAATTAGCAGTTGTAAGTTAAAACAATTTATATTATCTTTCATTATTTTCTTTCTTTCCTATTTCATTGTATTTCTTTATTATTAATAATTGGTCACTAAATAGAAAATTAATTATCAACTCATTTTACATAGCATAGTGATAGTATACAAATTCATTATTCTATAGCTGAAAAAATTGACGAAATTCATCTTATTCAGCGTTATTTCTGTATGTCTTACAAGTAATGTTGAGAAATCAAATAGTAATGTTATGTATATGGAAGTAGTCATTAAGAAGCCCTAATTTTATAAAATAAATTGTGTACCAGTTATAACCGCTTCACTTTCAATTTATACTTGACAATAAAGAATCACTATAATTCACACTATGAAAAGTAAGAATACGGAAGACTGGTACAAATGAAGTTTTATTGACTACATAATGACACAACTACTCTAGGTGAAAATAAACTTATTTATATATTGATTATACACCCGTTTCGGTTATTAATTAGAAAGAAAGTCTCACACTTGAAAGATTCTCAGAGGTATAACAAAGCTCATGCTCCATGTTTATTCTGGTTAGCGTCTTTTTTTTAGCAAGGTTGTTTTCTACAGAATTGGGTCGCCAACCCCATTCCCAACCCTTCTTCTTTATCCAGGCAGTAGCCCTAGAAGAGCTACACTGCTATTGATTGATCACTGGGTGGCGATCAATGTCATGCGTGTCTAGTCCTTATTAGTGCAGATCGAATGCTATCGACCATGTTGCAATGTGGCCACCAGCCTAGGTGACTTGACACTGCATGCACTATTGTGAGATTAGATGTTGGTTGGAGGTAGTCGACAGGAAACCCTGGACCCGGGTTTCGTGCTACTTGGCACTCGTCAGCAAGGTGTACCTGTAATCTTGAAGGAACTGGTGCTCCGTGGTGGATTCGATCTCGTGTCACCCAGCTTCACAGTCTGAGACGTTACCACTGAGCTGTTCGAGCCGCGACCGACCTCCTGTAGGACTGAGATGTAATCACAATTGATTGATCACTGGGCGGTGATCAATGTCATGCATGTCTAGTCCTTATTATTAGTGCAGATCGAATGCGCCAGTTCCCTCTAGATTACAGGTATACCTTGCTGACGAGTACCAAGTAGCACGAAACCCTGGTCCAGGGTTTCCTGTCGACATTACACTAAAATAAATCTATGTTATACTGAGTATAATATCACACTACAAAATAATACAAATATTACACTCAGTAATCCTTATACTAAACTAATAACGAAAGTAATGTTAGACAAGATTGCAATGAGTAAACAATGTAATTCTACTTTTGACAATGCAAAATTGTCTTTAGTGAATTTTAGTAGATAACATATTTTCAGAAAGATAAATTAGCCTTTATTCTTAAACACTTTCTCTATGATGTGCATTGATCGAAAACAATCTGGAATATTGTTTGATTTTCAAAGACAGAATTTATTCATTATTGACGTGTATTATGTAACTTTACTTTCCATTAACACTAGTCTTACTTACTTTCTGTAAATTCCTCTAAAGATTTTTCTTCCTTAAAATTATCTTTTCTTTTTCATCGAATCTAGTCTAAACCTGTAGCTTTTTCAGTTAGAACTAATATAAGTTTTGATGGAGCCTTATATGGTTTGGATGCACCATCACCGGGTAGAGTTGTTAGTTTTGGTATTAAAGATTTTCTACATATTAAAAAACGTTTCAATCAAGATTGGTGGATTGGTCGTGTAGTTCGAATAGGTAGTCCAATTGGTTTTATACCTAGTCCATCTAAGCTTGAAGTAATCAATAATATTATCTTATCAGCTATTGCCACTGCTGCTAATACTAATGTGGTACACTTTGCCAATGAAATTCAAAATCCGACAACTAAACCAGGTAGACAGTTTGTTTTTCTTTATTGCCTTTGTTAGTTTACTATTTTTATTGCTCATAAATGTTATTCCTTTCACATACACATAATTCCAAGACACTTTACATCATGAATTGAGTACAGTTCGAAGAATACTGAAAACTAATATAATTAAATATTTAATTCCTCTTAGTTTACTGCTTCTTAGTTGTGTACATGAGTGGCTCTAATAAGGAACTAAACCAGGCCTTGGGGTAGTTGTATTACTCTAAGACTACTGAATTGAGAGTTGGACATATGAACTACTGAGTTCTGACGCAGTGACCTACAGCTAATGGGCTTGGCACATTTGGTTGGTTATCTAAAGCGTTAGCGAATACCACTGTCAGAGAGTCTCAAAACATGTGTTGTAATCTCCTAGTCACACTCAGCCAAAATCGCGATCTCCTAACCCTTAATTCAATCAGCTATGCAAATAAAAAGACTGGGAATCCTTAGAAGGCTTTATTTCAAAGGTCGAATAAAAATCTATACAGCATATGAGTATGTATATGTTATTTGAACGAACCGCCAAAAGATATGTCGATTCCACTACTGGCTAAGATTTAAATACACTAATCAATATCGAAATACTTTAGCGAAAATTATTTAAACTCAACTGACTTCAAAAAACGTTAAATAAAATGTTTTCATTAAAAAAACAGTAAATTCTTTATTTGTATTTAAATGACCTCTGTTACCAGTGTAAGTCTAGTACTTGTTGTAAACAACGACTGATAAGGACTTAAGGAATGGAATCGTCACTTTATCCTGTTCGCATCGTTCATTCTTTTAAGTAAAATAAGAACAAAAAGGCTTTTAGAATAAAATGATTTCGTCATTCTATTTCAAAGTGTTATGACCTTTATTCCTCTAGTCACGGCTTCTCATTGAAATTTCGGGAACTCCATCTGGAATCTAGTCACTAGTGAGGAAATGATTACTATCAGTATAGAAGTTTGTGGAGATTGATTTGTTATAGAAAATAGCTCAGGAAAACAACTGATCACGTAAAGTGTTATGGCTTTTCAAGTCAGTTGAAGAGGAATAATGTAAATGAAATTTTATAAAAAAGACTGATATTTTGTCTTAAATTTGTTTAAAATAAAAACAACTGGATGCCAGTCCAGTGGTATAAAGTTTAAGCGCTCATTACGAAATGTGAAGTTTCTAGGTTGGACTTGCGACTAGCTCGTGGATGCGCACAGTCAAGGAAATTCATACCAGGACGGAAAAGATGTCTAGTGTTTCTTGATTTCCGGTGGTTATCTAACCGAAACCAATACGAGTTGTAAACCAAAAATATTCAACAATTTTTATAAACCTATGCTAACAGTTATTTGTGTCAACTTTGTTTAAAAAGGAAAAACCTTATTCGAAATTTGGTTTCTTTTTTTATCATGAAATGTGGTTACATGAGGAAATGTTACAAATTGTAAATGATTAGACAATGGTTTCTTCTCACATTTTCGGAACTTAACAATAATAAACATCGGAATTTTATTTTATGAAATAAGTGATTTATATTTTTCATAATTCTATTTTTGTTTGCGTAAACCAGCCCCTGTTGGTGGATTCGGATCTGCCGACACAACGTTAGAACGTGGAGGAAATCGTGGGTTGTTGTTGTCTAGCGAGTAAGCTTTATATATATATATATATATATATATATATATATATATATATATATATATATATACAAACCAATTTATTGTTTTACTCAAATTTACACAGTGCTTCCATAACATATGAAACTAATACTTTAAATACATTGTTTGCACATCTCCCTTCAGTTGTAATGTAGATAATTGTTCTTCCTTTCAATTCGGTTGCTATTACAATTGCTCTCTGTTTCTCTTCTCGTTCTCTTCGATTCGGTCTTATTCTCGAAAGCAATCCACTCCCGATTACTGAAACATACTACTTATCTGTCATCCCAAGTAGTATACACCACACTGATACATCGACTCAGTGACCTGACATGGTAATTCTTGTTGAATATAGTGAAAATTACCATTTTGACATTTGATAAATGAAGAAGGAACGAATTGAGCGAAATTTCTTTTCAATTAGTTTCCCATTATGGCTCTACACTATTATATATATGTGATTTACAATAATGAAATAATACTCATCGAATAGACGACGTTACGTATTAATTATATCATGACATATCGATCACAAATTAACATTGAGTAATTGGAAGAAAGAGGATTAATAATATTCAAAGTAATTATTCGAAAATCAAGAAGTTGCTACGTTGCATAATATATGAAAAAGAGAAGGAACAGCATATTTTAATGGATGGTCAATAGAATAGTAGTTATGTAAGAATCAAGAGATGAATGTTGAGAAAAGAAATACGAAAACACAAAGTCTAAAAACTAAAACAAAATGGAAGAAGTACGAAAATGGTTCTGCTTCAAGAGCCCTTATACCGTTGGCCAAGGTAGTGAAAGTGGTTGTACAAATTTCTTTGGGATGCAAAGGTTAGGTTTGTGAACATGGATTGCGATGGCTTCCGCAATGTGCAAAAGACTCACTCGTAAACCATGTGGTAAATTTGATGGAATATGGTAGATAGCCTTAAAAGCTTTATTCAATTCAACTTGATGACCTGTGTCAACCAAGTGAGCGAGAATAGAATTTTTAATCACTCTTACTTGTCAATGCTTAACCACGACGGATGGTGCTCTGTAAAACGATGACGAACTTGCCGAAGTGTACGCCCTATATAACTGGCCCCATATGAGCAGTTGAACCGATAAATACACATCGATTCGGCGAATTCAGGCGATTTGTCTTTATTGGCCGTTCTTATTGTGGGGTAGTTGTAGAAGATAGCATTTAGTCTGGCTGCATTAAATGTTTTTGTACAGCTTTTCTTATTCTCTGAGTCACGATTTCTTCAGTAGTGTCATTTATGAATTGTAATTTTATGAACAGTACTTTCTTAGGGACGGTAGGTATCTTTGTTCCTCTTTTCATCTCCATCATGTGTTTGTCAATGAATTTCATAGGGTACCCATTATTACTAAGTAAGTTATGAATATTAATCAATTCATCTCCGATTCGGCTAGAAATTTCTTCGCTCAATTCGTTCCTTCTTTAATTCTTGTTGATTCATACATAAATACTCTGTTCATACATTTTTATTAGAACATGAGCAAAAGAGCCAAATGTAACCTTTTCTTCTTTATACGAACCTAATAAAGCTCATTTACATAAACTACTAGTTCTTAACGAATTCTAACTAAGAAGTCACAACTAGGAAGATTACAGTGGAACCTTAATTAACAGGCTTACAATAAGCTTACTACAATTTCGTAACGACAAAATATATAATGATTATTAACAGGTTAAATGAAAACTTACAATTAAGGGAATCTGAAAATCGTACAAATTAAGTGGTTATTAACCAAACATTAAAATCATAAGTATTAATTTCCCCCAAAACTAACTTTCATACATACTGGTTCTCATTTATTCATCTCATCTTAACAAAATGTCTCATTATTAATCATCGTAAACAAATCTAATTATCTAAATATCTTATGGAATGGTCAGTAAAACATTTAAGTTTATCTGCTTATTTCAACAACCAGTCTTTAAGTCCTGGTATTGTATTTGTGAAATTATTACCAACGGAGAGAATGGATTACAATTCATATGAACAAATACTACAATTTATACGAATATTCGTCAAGATTAGAACGAATAGTTTGACAGTAATTGAGCGCCGAGTATAGAGAAGTCATTATATGTGAAAATTATATTTGAAATATTCTCAGCGATTGAAATTTAACTAATTCCAACGTTTCGTCCAGCTAACTTGTCTGGACTTCTTCAGGGTAATAATCAAAATCAAAATTATCAAAGCTTTGATAATTTTGATTTTGATTATTACCCTGAAGAAGTCCAGACAAGTTAGCTGGACGAAACGTTGGAATTAGTTCAATTTCAATCGCTGAGAATATTTCAAATATAATTTTCACATATAAATACTACAATTATAGAGTACAAATTGTGACTGGGATCACTTTCATTACAATAACTGTATTCGTACTTTCTTGAATTATTGAACAAACTATATTTATTTGGTTGAAGGAATTTTGTAGAGATTGAGGTAATTTGCAGTTTGTATTTTTTTCAGATTAATATCAGTTGAGTTATGAGTGAAAACCCGAAACAACTAGACAGCTCTTTTGTTTTCGATTGGGGTTCCTCAATAGTATACATCCAAGACTTAACCAGAGACTAAATTCAGAACATTCCAAAGCCACATTTGATATAACTGAGCTCCATTAGTCACAGCTTCGCATAGGAATCCAGGAGATACATCTGAAATGAACCAGTAGCGTGCACACCACTGTTAATATAGAAGTTGTTTTCGAAAGCTCATTTTTTGTTATATTGGTGGTTGGCAACTGATTAAGTCAAGTTATCGTTTGACTAGTAATTCGCCTGAACACAGTATGAGTTATGTTGACTAGTGGTCATTTTAATTCAGTTATAATTGATTGCTGATAAAGAACAGTGGAGATTGTTGCGTTTCATTAAAATCATAAACCAGTCAATGTTAAATCAACATTAAAAACCAGGAACAACTGAACTGCCGTTGCACCCCAGTATGGAAATCCTTAGTACTGTGCATCCAAGACCCTGAAATCGGGAATACAACCCAGAACCTTAGGTCTTGCGCGCGAACCCTTAACCTCTAGAGCACTAAACTAACATGCAAATGTGTTAATGTTTAACTTCAATTTATTACAAAATATAAATGGTTGTTTTAATTGTTAGTTATTTTATTTTTCAATATTTACTAGTGTAGATCATCGTGGACCAACTTTAACTGCTAATCGTCAAAGGCAATCGGAATCACCGCCAGTTCATAAAAATTGGAAAGGTAAATTTTAAAATACGCATGATAGAATTCTCATTGAGATGAAATGTTTGTCTTAAAAAGTAGTAAATTATTTGAACAACTGATAACAGCAAATATAAGCGAGTAATATGATTTCAATAAAATTACTATTAGGTTTTATTTTAATATATATATCTCAGTATTAACGTGCATCTCTGAAAAATATCAGATTAGTTAAAGCTTACATACGAGTAACTAATGATGCAAACTAAACCGTACAACTAATAATAGTAGGTAAAGAGTAGTAAATACATATTTTAATCATTAAAATTAGCTTTAAATGTCAATCTCATCGATACTTAGAAAAAAAACAGAATTAAATAATGCTTCTTTTCAAATATCTTACTCATGAAAGATAACCCGAAAATAAAGAGGGAAGAAACCAATAATGGTTTGGATAAACAGTATATCTGAATGTGAGGTGAATCAGAGGAATATAAGTCCTACAGTCTGGTCATTTATAGGGGAGGGAGAATTTCATATCTGATATACCTGGGTATGACCACGGTGGTTGACTAAGCATCTTCAGCTAGCAGTGTTCGTTATGTCTAACAATGTCAGTAACAATGTTACGTGTTTATAAAATCATTTGTTTTAGGCAGTTATTCACCACAACGGATGTTGGAAGATCGAGTTGACGATCACCTGACTGCATTATAATTTTACGGACAAAATATTTGCTACTAACAATAATAATGAGTAATACATAATAATAAAAGCCAACTAACATATGCTTCCAACTATCTAGTCTAAAAATAAAAAAATAGAATTGTTTCAAATAAGTTTTGACATCTGACAGCAGGTGTCATATTGCTACAGTGTTAATTTTTAGATTTTGCACTCGATACATGTATACAGTAGTGTCAGCAGAAATCATAATGAGTTTGAAATACTGTAATATATGTAAGCACTAATATATCCAACGTTAGAAGCTCAAGTATCCAAAGGTTCGTTGCGATATAGTTGAATGGGAACGAAAATCTATATACTGAATATGAATTTCAAGATGGAGATACTTGGTTTGTAACTTTTTCTTATGTATTACAGTCAGTTATTCCAAGGTCAAAAGATAAGTGAGAGATGCCAAAGAGCGGATGTTGTTGGTCAAGATTTGGCCTAACAATTCAAGGGATACAGATTTTCTCTACTGATTGAAAATCTGCCTTAATTTTTTAAGGGCATATATATTTATCAAGAAACGGAATTGTGTACATACTTCGATTCTATTTAGCTAACAAAAACCTCCATATCACTCATGGTTTTCTCACTCAAGCAGGTGGTTAGGCTAGATTATGTATCAGTGTAATGCTTCTTCTTGTATACATACTAAAATAAAAGGGAGCCACTTACTTTGTAGAAAGATGGTCAATTTTAGTCGATATTATTAATATCCTATTAATCTAGTTTTATTTAAGATGTGTCGGTAGAATGTTCATTGTTTTGATGATTGTACATATTTGATACATGTAATAGTTCCCATAACTGATAAAATTCATCATCTGTGATAAGAAGGCGATAAGTGAAGAAAAATCTTAGTTTGCGAAATCCTGTTATGTTTATGGCTTTAAAATTGAACTATTCAGACCATAGATTGTAGTAAAGCTACCCATTGATTTTGCTGTTTATTAAAACTACATTCCTTACTTATATTTAATATTAGTAGTATATGTTACGTAAAACTTATTTTGCATTTTACTGAAAACGATGTTATTTAGATGTTGATGTATATGATGAAGATGATTTACGTGATACAACACAAACTGTAGAGGTACCAGGACAACCAACTGCCAAGAAACCCCAACCTGTTGGACCTGGAGTTAAGAAGAGACCATTCTCTAAAAAGGTAACATTATGCTAGCTAGGTGTTATGGTTTTATTTATAATTTCTGTATCAAACACTTGTTTTCTATCAGTGACTTTTCCTTTCATAAAGATTGAATCAAGATTTAGAATTTTGTTATTAGTTTTGTTATTTTTGTTATTAGTTTATGGAGTTATTCAGGCACAGTGGAAGTTGTCACACCATATCAGGGCAGTGACGTGAATTATTAAGTGAAACCCCGGAGCAGCAAAAGTGATAACGGTGTCAATGGTAGTAAAAAAATGTTAGGCATAAACAATATGATCAGAGAAAGAAGAATGGACCACCGTAGTAGGAATGTAAAATAATTTTGAAATTTGAGATTTAAGAGAAAACAAATGGTTATTACTTCTGTCTGAATTCAACGATTCTGAGTCGTGTCACCTTACATCTCAAACCCCTGATTACAGTTATACTGTGGAGCTGAACGAGATATTGTGCAACAGACAGATTGTCACTGAATAAATGGGATGGTGCCCCGTTCTAATTTAGTTGTCCCTAGCTTTATTCTAACTTACTCATACACAAGCTAATATCATTCATCGAGGTATACATAAAACATCTCTCAAACAACTTAGTCGATGAAGACTCACTATGTCATGAAGTGATATGTTATCTTTACGTAATACATTCAGTCTTCTTTCAATGTTGCCAACTTGATGATTCTGGTGTATACGAGAGACGCTACGAATGTGTTTGTGAATTAAATATGAACACCCAAAACGTTTTCAGATGTCATAACATTTGTTATCTTCAAAGGACAAGCTATACTAAGGATCGATTTGGTTACAAACTAGAATCGATATGAAAAACCGCTAGTACCCAAAAAGAGTTTTTCGATGTGTTTCTTACTGATAAAGAATGTCATAACCAGTCAACATTAAAACCTAAGGTTTGTCATCCGAAAAGCCACTCTTTAGTTGTTAATTACATATATAACTTGAGTTAGGTAACCTTAAAACATGGATATTATCTCGTAGATTTCGTATTATGTTTCAGAAGAAAACAAGAGTGCTATCTAATGGTACCAAGTTTTCAACTAAAATGCTTTCACAATGAAATCTGTTTTTTTAGTGGAATAATCTTTTAAAAAAGCTAGAATTTCACTGTTGAAGTTTTTAGATCATCATATCATGAAATCTTTCATTTGAATTATATATCTCCGTCATTCATCAATGTCTTATTTACTGCCCGAGAGATTTATCATTCATTTAAAAACTTTTCGACTTATGTAAATGAGTGTCAAACATTAATATGATAATTTACATTCACAATAAGGTGATTTAAGTAAATACTGTTATTGTGGTGTGTGCTACTTATATTGACATAAGTAGTAGATGATGTTAGTCGTGAGCAGAATGTCTGGCAACAGAGATACAAGAGGATCGAACAGTAAAGAATGGAAACCGGATGCAATTTGTATGAAAATTCAAGAACAATGAAGTCTGAGTCATTTTGAGACAATTGGTGGACATTTTGCAAATTAAGTATTTACTTTATGATTGTTAGATTTTATTAACAAGTCCTGTAATTTCGTGTTAAGTACATTCGGCTGTCTCCATTGGTGTTCTTGTTTACCACACTATTAATAAACAATTATTTTGTACAATTTCTAGTGTGTAGCATATATTTGCTTTGGTGTCACAGAACCTCTTATGTTTACAATTGTTTAGTTATATTGGTCATTATTTTTTTATATATATTTACAGAATGAATTTGTGCCTCCATATGAAATTGTACCATGTATGCGCCCTGTTGTATTTGTTGGTCCAGCTTTGAAAGGTTATGAAGTAACAGATATGATGCAGAAAGCAATATTTGATGCAATGAAAAAGCATTTTGATGGAAGGTTTGTATATTACTAAAATGTCTGTAATTAATACGAATAGATATTCTGCTGAGCAGTATGTTTTTACTACAAAAAAATTTAATAAGTATATCATTATCGTTTCCTATGCCTAAATGTAACGAAGCAAAGTGTGTGTGCAGCAATTTGGAAGACTCTTCTGGTTTCCCACATTGTACGAGCATTCAATGTACCTAAATAAATAGTTGCTCTGGTTGTCAGAATGGGCATCAGCCTCTTGACTTCCGAAGAAACTGGACTTTCACAATGAGGTGTCATAACTCTTTCAAATGAAGATCTTCTAACTTCTAGGGCAGAGTTTAAATGGTTTGAATTATTTTTTCTGGTTAGCGTTTTTTAGCGAGTTAGTTTTCTACGGGATGGATTCGCTAACTTCATGCCCAACCCTCCTTATTTATCCTGATTTGTGACCGGCAGTAGCCCCAGAGGGGCTCCAGGCGGGGCAATATGTGTACTGGCATCTAAAAGCTATTCGTTTAATTTTTAATATGAAATTAGTACTAATCATAAACTGTTATCGGTTGATGAACCACTAAAAAATCAAGAGGTACTTGATTCTTAATTCATCTTATGTTGGAAGTCCTCAGTAGTGAACATGTAATACTGTAGATCTTGTGGTGATTACGATATTTCTACACTTCTGAGTTGGAATCCAGATGTCAATATTCTCAACTTTAGTCAAATCGTGGGAATTCACAATTATTATCAAATATCATCAATGAAGTTCAACTGATTATCGACAAAGTTATTATTTATGATTCATAGCTTTTCAGAAGAACTTCATGAATATATATTGCAGCTAGTCATAACTACATACGCAACTATAATTAACATGGAGCTCTATAAATGTTGTTTCTTTTGTAATATTAAACACAACTGAAATATATTCTTATTTACTCATTTGATTGTTTAAATAATTCTTAACAATTTATTTCGAACGATTGTATTTCTAAGATTACATACTAGTCTTAAAGAAGTTTGTTGACAGTTAGTCAACTGGAGCATATATAAATGTATTTCTGAATTAATATTCCATAAAGAAGGAATAATTTACAATTTATGGAATCAAACTACTCTTTAATGTACATGTAGCCTTGAGAAATCATTCATTTGAAGACTTTATATGATAATGTATAGTTTTTTTCAACTTTTTGTTAATACTATAAATGTACTGAAACGATGACAAAGATCTGTGGCTTAAGTGAATGATTTTAGCAGAGTTTCATTCACTAAACTATGGTGTTTAACCATAAAACTTTGAATGTGGATCTGAACAACGCTATCAGTACAAACTTTAGATGCATGGGGACTAACAGTTTATCCTGTTGATAGAAGGATAATCGAAGGTTTATGAATAAACCACCCTGATCAGAGACCAAATTTCCATCTAAAATTATGAATAAATAGTTAATCTATGTATAATAGTTTCTCAAATTTTTCATTGTAAGGTTAAAATCTACCTATAATGGAGAGAAATATCAGGTAGAACGTTGAGGGATATTGATTGAAGCTTTATTTCAACAAATCAATGGTGATTATGTTTACAAAATATAATGAGTTTCCTGTACTTTGCTGGTTTACTTCAATTACGTATGAGATAATAGGCTTAGTTAGTTTGAAGTATTTCTATATTTGTAAAATAAGTTACAAACTGTTATTTGGAGCATAATAAATTGTTGAGTAGATTATTTTTATGTAATTGGAATGGATGAAGATGATCGTGAGTACTGATATAACAGATGATAGTTGTCACATCTTCTAAAGGGACCTGAAAAAGAAAATGGGTTAATGGTGATGTGTTGACCTGGGAGTGTGAAAATAGAACCGGATGAACAACTGCTTGAAGACGGTCAAACATGGTCTCCTTGCGAAGAGTTTTTGGTGTATTGACTCTGTACTTTTCAGACATCAGAGCTAGCGGACGAAATCCATGAAACAAGTTGAGGTGTGGTATTTTTAGGCCCTAAATTTTCGGACCTTGTCCTTTTGTTTCAGGAAGGAGGCATCTCTGGAGATTCTGGTTATCTGCAAAAAATTTCGTATTGCTGCCACATCCATATTCATGTGGTATTAAAAATTCTCTATTGGATCTTACGTTTTTTGCGTTTAGTCTTACCACTTTTCAACCAATTTGTCTGGCATAATATAACATAAAGGTACAAGCTTTCCAACCAATATACCTCGTTAAGATAATCGTGATATGTAAATCCAATTACCACATCCATGTAGCAGCTACGTTCGGAAATCAGAATGCTACTTCTAGTGCTTTGAAAATAACTAACTAATGTTCATTATGCATTAAAGTATTTGCCTCTAAACAAAATTGTATATTATTTGATGGAATATTAAATTATATAAATTCTTCCAATTAACTATTCCATTTATTATAGAATTATTGTTAGTCGTGTCAGTACAAATATATCATTGGCTAAACGTGTTGGAGAATTATTACATTTGGATAAAAAGAATATTATGGAAAAAGGACGTAGTCGACAGCTTGTTTCTCTAAGTAATTCTTCTTTGGAAAATTTATTTAATGTATAATGAATATTGAAAATTATACTTCACTGTTGATCTTTAGCGTTTCTAGCGTGGACAGGACAACACTATGGAAGCTTCTACGACACTACGACGTGTCTCAGAAGATAGTTAATGTCATACAGAATTCCTATGATGCATTAAACTGCAAAATTGTGCATGGAGGACAGTTGGCAAACTCGTTCGAAGTAGAAACCGATGTCAGGAAAGGTTGCTTACTCTCACCCTTTCTCTTTCTCCTGGTGATCGACGGCACCATGAAGACGTCAACATCTGGAGGGAAGAAAGGGATACAGTGGGCAGCTAGAATGCAGCTGGACGATTTCGACTTGGCAGGTGATCTTGCTCTTCTATCGCACACGCAACAACAAATACAGGAGAAAACGACATCTGGAACTCAAAACAACTGTCTATCAACCTACACCAAGGTCAGGATTTTCAGTATAAATATCAAGACAGTCCTACTGTATGGAGCAGAAACCTGGACAACTACGAAAGCCATCATCCAGAAGACACAGGTGTTTATTAACAGTTGTCTACACAAAATACTTCAGATCCGTTGGCCAGACACTATCAACAACAACGTAATGTGGGAGAGAACAAACCAGATCTCAGTGGAGGAAGAAATTAGGAAGAAGTGCTGGAAGTGGATAGGACACACATTGGGTAAGCACCCAACTGCGTCACAAGACAAGCCCTCACATGGAATCCTCAAGGCAAAGGTGGAGGAGGAGAGGATGACCAAAGAACACATTACGCCGGGAAATGGGAATAGACATGAGAAGAATGAACAAGAATTGGATAGAAGTAGAAAGGAAGGCCGAGGACATTGTGGGATGGAGAATGCTGGTCGGCGGCCTATGCTCCATCGGAGTAACAGGCGTATGTAAGTTAGTTGATCTCTAGAAATTTGATTGAGCCTACAGATTGTGTAAATTAAGGTTCTATTGCCTAATATGGATGGATGGAAATCATGATTTTACTTATCTAATGAACTCTTAAATGTTTAAGATCGCTATTTTTGGATTTTAAAATACTCTACATCCAAAATTAAATCCGTTTATATTGATGATACCTTCTAAAGTTAAAACCAGTCTGATACATTTATTTTGGTATAGAGTTGTGGAGATTATTAAGTTATTGGCTGAGATCATAAACCGATTGATGTTAGAGCACCATTAAAAACCTGAGAGCACTGGACGGCCGTTTCGTCCTATTGTTTGGTCGCGCAATTTTGTGGATTGGTTGGGGTTAGACATTAACACCGCTGAACTCCGGCTCACTGGTCTAGTAGTTTGAGCATTATCGCGCGAGACTCAAGGCTCTGCGTTCGAATCTCGCAGGCAGGTTCTTGGATGCTCAGTGCCGAGCAGTCTCACAATAGGACGAAACGGCCGTCCAGTGCTCCCAGATTTTTAATGGTGGTCCAGCATCATTCAGTTCATGATCTTAATCAATAACTTATATTTTGATAATCTTTTCAAAATGTTTATGCTAACTTACCGAAATATCGATGAAGCGCCATTTCAAAATAACAAATAGGGAAATTTTTGTATTAAGCATTTGTACCACACAGAAATCTCTGTTATTTAAGGTATTAGTAATGTAGAGTTTACTTTGGTTAAAAAAATGAAATTATTATTGATTACTTTTCAAACTCAAAGAATATTCAAGAGAATAAAAGTTTATGTGATTTTACCATCACATTTGGTCATTTCCCACTTGACGACACTGCAATAAGTTTATTGTAAGCAATTTATTCATGTATTTCTTACTGGCTATTTCATAAATTGAATGTCATTCATCATTACATTTTGAATTTCTCTCAAAAAACTTAAAACGTCACTCTTTCGATTTCAAATCTGTCAGAAATATAGCATCGTTTCAATAAAACATCTAGTCAAAAGAAAGACTGATTCATAAATGAAATCACAAGTTACTTAGCTTCCGAAAGAATTCTACAAACTATTCTATTTGATGCTTTTAAGTTTAGGTCATGATGTTTATCCAATCACTTAGGCTTATTTAGCACTTCAGTTCAAATAGATCCTTTTTTTATCTGAACACAAATATCAAACTAAAAAGAAGCCCTTGACTTAATTCAGAAGTAGATCTAATGGCTTTTATTTTATTGCCCTGGGACATTACTGTATCAGTCATAAAACCTAATCAGAAGTTTTCCTTAAATAATTTTGCCTGATATAATGCATGTTAGAAGTTTACAACCAGGTAGACTATACTTTACATTAATTATCCACTTAGGGTTTATTCTCATAATTCGAATAAGAGTTCATTCGCGTAATGAAAAGTTGGGGTTCATTCAAAAACGCTACATATTTACGCAGCGCAAATATCGAACAATCTAATCATGCGCTTACTTTTCAACGGATTTCAAACAATAATTGCGAAAGATCACATCTCGATATAGTACATGCGATGTTGAGTCACTTAGACAAGTAGCCACATTGTGACAGGACTTGATCAGCACTAAAGGAACAGACAAACAATAGATTAATTACTAGCTCAGTATTAGCGTCCCAAACTGTGAAGCTGAGTGGCTCTGGTTTGAATTCTACAGAGAACATCAATCCCATAAAGACACGTCTTGGTGATGAGTGCTAACTAGTGTGAAACTCGAGTTCAGTTAATCCCTCTGACTAGTTTCAACCATGTAACATAAAAAAAAATAATATACGAGATTTCAAGTCATTTAGGTTAATGGCAACATTGCAATTTAGTCTTTTCTGATATTATTCCACTTTGGAAATGATTTTTATCAGGGAATAGATCGAAATTACAAACATAAACCACTGATTCTCTACTCAATATCCTCTTAAGATAACGTGACCTATGCTCAGTTGTAACTTTTTCGCTACAAACAAAACAGTTCTTTAGCACCACATAACTTTCAATGGTTTTAAAACCCGTGCTAGTCCATGGTAAGAATTATTTCTCAAGTATTTTAATTTTATAATAGATGGATTATTACTAGAAGTGAAATAAAGTACAACAGCTAATCATTCTATTCAAGACTCATCAGTTGGACGTAATTACACTCAAATATCGTTGGTCACGTTCAGACTCAAACACAGTGTCATTCTTTCCGTTGGTCAACACATTCTCTACTGAGCTAATAAGTCTCAAAAGCCACTAACATGTTCAACAGGACAATTTAAACCCTTACTAATAATAATGATACTTTCAATTTAATGTTATCCGATAATTTGATCATTTAATCTGCATGTATATGTATCTATGGTTTATTATTTTCATTCCTTTATCAAGTTGAAGTTCAACAAGATTTAGAAAGAATATTTCATTTGGGTAGTAAAATGCAATTACTTTTACTAGATTGTGATACAATTAATCATCCAAATCAAATTACTAAAACATGTTTAGCACCTATTGTAATTTATATAAAAATTGCCAGTATACGTGTATTGAATCGTTTAATTAAAAATCGTGGCAAATTACAAAAAAAGAATGCTGGTGTACAAACAGCCGCCGCTGAAAAACTATTACAATGTTCACCAGTAAGTTACATATTTGATGCTGATAAGTTATTTCATCGAATTTAAACAGTATTTTTAAGTTGTATTTGTCATAGATTGATTTCAGTTCGATAGGGGACATTTGAAAATCAGAGAGCATTAGATAGTGCTTTCTTCTCAGTATGGGATCCCTCAATAGGGAACACTGACAACCCCACCAGGTGTAGAATCTAGATCCTCATATTGCGCTACAAACACCTGTCCATTAGACGAATTCAACGCTACGATGAAACACTCATCTAATGCTGCTTAATTTTTAATGTTACTTCAACTGAGATCAATTTGTAAAGAATGAAACCTACAAATGAGATCTATTTCTGTATAACCCATTCAGTTAAGGCACTCATGAAAAAATTAGTCTTTTGCATAGAATTCACTTCACTTTAAGGGTTTCTTACTTACGCCTGTTACTCCCAATGGAGCATAGGCCGCCGACCAGCATTCTCCATCCCACAATGTCCTCGGCCTTCCTTTCTACTTCTATCCAATTCTTGTTCATTCTTCTCATGTCTATCTCCATTTCTCTGCGTAATGTGTTCTTTGGTTATCCTCTCCTCCTCCTCCTCCTCCTCCTTCTCCTCCTCCTTCTTCTTCTTCTTCTTCTTCTTCTTCTTCTTCAGTTTTGAGGATTCTATGTGAGGGCTTGTCTTGTGACACAGTTTGTCGCTTTCCTCAATGTGTGTCCTATCCACTTCCAGCACTTCTTCCTCCACTGAGATCTGGTTTGTTCTCTCCCACAGTACGTTGTTGCTAATAGTGTCTGGCCAATGGATCCGAAGTATTTTGCGTAGCAACTGTTAATAAACACCTTTATCTTCTGTATGATGGCTTTCGTAGTTCTTCAGGTTTCCGCCCCATACAGTAGGACTGTCTTGACATTTGTATTGAAAATCCTGACTTTGGTGTTGGCAGTTGACAATTGTTTTGAGTCCCAAATGTTGTTCGTTTGTAAATATGCTACTCTTGTTATACCGATCCACACCTTCACATCTGCATCAGATCCACCGTGTTCATCAATGATGCTGTTCAGATATGTAAAGGTTTTCACATCTTCCAAATCGTCTCCGTCAATTGTGATAGGATTGGTGCATGCTGTGTTTTATCGCAGAATCTTGCTTTTTCCCTTTGTGTATGTTGAGACCTACTGTTGCTGAGGCTGTTGCTACACTGGTCGTTTTCTCCTGTATTTGTTGTTGCGTGTGTGGTAGGAGGGCCAGATCATCTGCGAAGTCTAGATCGTCCAGCTGCATCCTAGCTGTCCATACTTTAAGGGTTACATTGTATTGTTGTTTCTAACATAAATAGTATCTATCAAGTCTAAGTACATAGACCTATACTTGATCATTGACTTATACCCATTCATTCATCTGTTTACGTAAACATCTACAGCCAAAACGTCAGTTATACTTTGGTTTCATTGATTTATAACATATAAGCCACATTACTCGAAAACGAATGTCTATGTTTTTAATTCCGCCAATGTCATCTATGTATGATGAAAATTATCTTCAAATTAAATTGACTTATAAATCACTGATCATGAGTGACTGTTTTAATATGAAATGTTCAATGCTTTTTAAATTCTAAATCATACTGTATGAGGTTAGTTAATTCAATAAACATGTGAGATACTGACTGACAGTATTAGTGAATAGTTACATTTGTATTGGAATGCTATATCTGACAGATTAGAGGGTAGCGAATTGTCGATCGGACTCAAGACGCGCAAACACGTAAGAACGACCTAGGGTTCTGATTGGTCCCGCTCCCCTGTCTAGCCCAGCCAGTTGAGTCCAGAACGCAAGTCTCATCCTCGGATATATGAGTCGTTATATTTCAAACATACTTTGTTTATATATCAGTCAAGCAGACCACATCGTACCATAAAATAGAAAATAAAATTGTAAAGTAGGAAAATGACACGTTAAATGAATATTGACCAATAGGATGATACCATTTCATGTCCAAGGATAGCATTAGGATTAACAGAATAATCTTTGGGATATTTTCCTGAATATTCCAACATGGAATAATACAACAAAGCATCTCCAATCAGTAATTAAATGATAACATTTAAGCTGTCATAAGCAAAGTTCATGAATTTGATCACTCATAATTTAGAGATTAGCAACCGATAGTTAGAAACCTTGAATGACATGGCTCAAAATCGTTTGCAATGGAGCAGATGCATCCACTCTTTGTGTTCTCTCAAATTCTAATCTTCTGAATTTTTCATATCCCTTTTTTTCTCTTTCCAAATTTATTTCACTGGATTATACTCCTTGAATAACATCTTGAAACCCTAATGTTTCCGATTACTGCTTATACTCTACCACTATAGGATATGAATCGACAATTGCATCTCTGTGTTAATGTGGTATGGCAACTCGAACTGATGTACATACGTACGACGTTCTACGTTGTTACTGACTGACTGACTGACTGACTGACTGACTGACTAAGAGATCACTTTACTAAGTGAGATCAATGGACTAAAAAACAGATGTCCAGCTCTTTATGATAAAATAGTATTTCTTCTCAATAATATCAGTCCATGATGAAAAACAATGAAGTCAAGAACGTCTTTCACAGTTCAACATCTTGGAGAAACTCATGAAATATTATGAAATAATGAATACTTATTGGTTAGAACATGTATTACATGTGGTTAGACTTAATCTACCTCGATATGCAATAATAACTGGTTTATAAATTGGAAAAAGGCTAAAAATAGCCAAACAAAGTTATGGAATCAGTCTATGAAATCGATAACCACTGTGCTGAACAATTTTAACGAATGCAAACTAAATGGTTTTGTCAACCGTGTAACTGTGACTAGTGGTTAAAGATTTCAGGTGACATGAATAAGAATCATTTATAGTGAACCTGATACATTTACTTTTTACCGTGTTCTAGATCTTGAGCTCCACTATCCCTTCATGTATATCTTTTCATTGTATCGCTTTGAACTGTATTCATGATGTTTATTATTTCACATTATCATTGGCACTACATTATTTAGACTTCTTTCGTATTTGTTTTTTTGAATTTCATCTTATTATGTCAATGTGTGACATAACAACTTTTGCTAAAGGCTCATTTGTACCAGGTTCTACATTGATTGTGACTAACATATTGTCATCCTTTTCAAAGGTGTCGAGTCTACAAGTGTAACTTCTCCTGGGAAACACTTCACAATCGATCCATAAACACTGATCAATACGACTAGGTTGTTGTGAAGTTTCTTTTTTGTATAAATTGAAAAAATTCAGACATAACCAGTTCATACATCATCGCTCTTTAATGAAGGTTTTTCAAGTACACTTTAAATGTCTGTAGTTACAGGTGTAAACAGAATAAGTTATTTAAAGACAAAATGAATTACTACTCACTGTATTGTTATCGACTTTTAACAACTTTCTAAGTGATTCTAACGCAGCAATTGCTGTATGGGAAAGATACTTAATAATTGAAAAAACATTTAAGGGAAACTAACAGGTTTTGATGTCAGTCCTAAACTCTGTTTTGATATCTAATTACTAAGTGAAATTATATATATATCATTACTCCTAAACATGTGGTCAGTCAATATTGTGTGCTTTGTCTTTTGCTTTTTTAGGAATCATTCGATTACGTAATAGATCAAAATACTTTATCCGCTGCAACAGAAGCATTAAGTCATTTCTTAGAAGGTTATTGGGCAGCAACACATCCTCCTTTAATAGTTAGTAAAGCTGAACGTCTTCTTGGCTCGTTTTCTGCTCCAGTGCCTGAAACGAAAGAAGTTGACTCAGATCGCCCACTTGTGCCTATGACACCTGGTCATCCAGGGCTGAGTGTAGTTACCAAAGTAAGAAATAGGGATTTAATTTTGAAGAAACCATATTTTTTTACTAATAAGAATACTTCAAATTACTGAACTTTTACATTTGTAAGTTTTATATTCTTAGTGTTAAAACTTAGGTTTCCTAGGCAATTTCAGTTGAAGTTAAACTTGTACACCATCGGATGCAAGCCCAGTGGTCTAGAGGTTAAGCATTTGAGACCGGAAATCCTGGGTTCAATTCCTGTATACTAAGAAGTTTCATACAAGGACCAAACGGCCGTTTAATGTCTCCAGATTCCCAAAGGTTATTTAACATAGATTGATTCGTGATTTCAGTGAGATTTCGGTAGATTATATTTATTGATAGCATTTCAAAAATATAGTTTTAAGGATCAATCAGTGAAATATGGTCAAACTCATGTTTGTCTCGTTCTTGGTGCATGATGTTGGTCTGTGGTTGATGACATGTTAAGTTAGAAACGGAACATGGAATTTGTTTGTTATAAAATTTTCAACTTAGAAACACTCTACGAAGTATAACCATAAGTTTTTTATATCTCAGTTGGAATAGTTCACTGATAAGATTTCAACATACAGTACGTAACAACTTGGATTCAAATTCCTGAGAGATTATAAGTTTCAGAATAAATTCTATTTTAAAGACTTATGGTCAATAGTTCATTGTTTAATGCGAAATCACAGTGACTCGGTAATATATGGAAATCATATACAAAATACATTATTTACACAGCTTCTTTGTGTTATTCTTCATAGACTCAACTATTCCTTTGATTCTATTGTTATTTCAATTTCTCTCCGATTTCCTTCCTGTTCAGTTCATTTCAATCTTCTGATGTCAAGTACATTCACTTCAGATCGATGCTACTTACTACTCATCTCTGTTAGCATAAGTAGTAGATACCGCGACAATACAGTTCACGTCGATATATAATCATTTGATCTAATGTTTATGTTTTATAAAATAATCTAAATTTGTGAATGGAAACAATCAGCATGAAAGATTAATTGATTGGATTCAATCTACAGCAGGAACTGAAAGAAGTTAAACTAATTACTTTAACCTAATGACTAGTTAATGTATTTGGTATACAATTATCTGTTATTATACGTTAACAACGAATTAATCAAAATTAAAATATTTCCCCTATTTTTTTCACTTTAGTCTGCATTAAGTGCAGGATTTACTAGTCAAGAAATTAGTGAATTAACCGGAGCAAGAGCAACTGGTTGGTTAACAGAAAATGGTGGACAAGTAGAAAATGAACTTGGACTTACTGGTGTACATCATGCTGGTAGCGTTGGTAGTGAATTTCATAATACACATTTTGGTGGAAGAAAACTTAAGATTGATCATAATAATAGTCCTGATGGCCTTAACACAGGACATTTTTCAGATGATGAAAATGAAGGTTCACGTTCAAATTATCCTCGTACTGGTCGATTACATGTGGGTGCTGCAAGTGCAGCAGCAATCGCTGCTGTCGCCGCTGGACTTACACCTAAAGTTCACTCGTTACATCCATCATTATTTCAAGGTGAAAATAAACGAAATGGTTCCGTAATTCGTGATATAAATGGCAATACTACACATGAAGCACCTGGTCTAACTATGGGTTTAGGATTGGGCATAGCGAATGGGGTTGCAGCCACTATCAGTGCTGCTCTATTCCCGAGTCATAATAATACTAGTCATCATCAGCATCATTCAGCAGAGACTCATCATCAACCAACATCAAGAATACCACCTCCAACAATTGCTGCCGCAGCTGTAGCTTCTGTAGTTTCGCCACCATTAAAAGACTTAGGTATTCATCAAGTGGAAGGAAGTGATGGAACACAAGGTAAGCAAAAGTATTCTTAATTTTTTCTGGGTATTTTTAAATCGATATATTTATCCTCATATATATAGATATATTCGTAGATAGTACTTTCATTCATTTTCATATGTATTTATTGTTTATTCAGTCTATCAAAGTAGATCAGCCCGTCAAGCAAAACAACGTGAAGAACAGTTAGCACGAGTAAAACAAGAAGTTGAAGCTAAAGCTTTAGCATTACAAGCTACTGCAGGTGGTCGACGAAAACGTCGAGATAAAGAAAGAAGACAAAGAAATCTTGATGGTTATTGGGATTCACATGATGAACGTTATCATACTCATGGAACAAATGATTTATCACAACATTCTCATCAATGGAATGGACCACCCGTCCGATCTATGGCAAGAGCATGTCCACCTGACGATTGATTAATTGATTATTTATATACTTATTTAATAAACTAACAACTTCAATGACTGATTCCTGTCTCTTTCTTTTTTGCTGGTAACTTTTTTATTTTACACATTGCTCATGAATGCTTTCATATTCATTTTTATTTTCTGTTTGTTTCTCATTTACAAGAAATGTATCGGTATACAATTTAAATCAAAAGACAGCCAGTAACAACGCAGAACTTCGTACGTATGTACATCAATCCGAGTTGCCATACTACATTAGCACAAAGATGCAATTGTCGATTCAAATTCCATAGTGCTAGATGTAGTAAAATTATAAGCTGTAATCAGAAAAATTAGGGTTTGAAGATGTTATTCAAGGAGTATAATCCAGTGAAAGAAATTTGGAAAGAGAAAAAAGAAAGGGATATGAAGAATTCAGAAGATTAGGATTTGGGAGAACACAAAGAGTTGATGCACCTGCGCCATTGCAAACGATTTTGAGCCATGTCATTCAAGGTCTCTAACCATCGGTTGCTATCATCTCGCGGTCCCCAACCAGGTAGTCTACACCTACCAACATGACTCAGTCCACTTGTCAGTGACTTCATGGATTTGTATCATGTTTTGGTCTGGGCGTCCTTAGCTCTCTTCCAACCTACTCCTATACCATAAAACATTGCACGTCGGGAAGTCGGTGGTTGGGCATACGTAGCACGTATCCCAGCCATCTCAACTGATGAAGTTTTATTACTTCATCAATTGATTTGCCACCCTTACCTAGTACCCATTTCTTAACAACTGCATTACTTAATCGATGGTCCCAGGATATACGAGCAATGTTTCAAAGACACCTATGATCAAATACTAGTAGCCTACGAATCTCTTCTACTCTTACCGGCCATGTTTCACTGCCATAAAGTAGGACGAAACGAACTACTGCTCAGTAAATCTATCTTTTGGTTAGTAGACGAATATCTCGCCTACGCCATAAATGACACAAGTTGCAAAAAGCTAGTCGAGCCTTCTGTATCCATACTGAGATTTCGTCACACACCAGATCACAAGGGCTGATGAGATTTAAATCAAAAGTGACTTATTGTTTCTGCAACTATATTTAAAATATGAGAAACTTGTTTAAAATATGTATTCACAATAATCATACAAAATAAGTAGATGAACAAGAACAATGATAAATAAAAATTAATGAAAACAAAATTATCAAAAAGAAAAGAAATGACAACCAACTTCCCTTATAGATTTGAACAAAGGCAAAGCAAAAAGAAAACAAGCGAAATACGGTAAAATTAATTTATTTTCGACTGCATACAACCATATTTGTATGACGTAATAGATATTGATGATTGAAATAATAGAAAGACAATGATTGCCAATATTTTATATACATATAAGCAGAGATGAATGGTGGGTAAGAGTGAAATCTTAGGGACATGCGTTTCATCCTGTTTTAAACTCATCAGTTGGATGTGCTTGCACCCTAGAGTTGATATTTACTCAGGGACTCGAACCTAGTACCATTCGCTTCGAATGTCATTGAATTATTCATTTAGCTACAGATGTATATTCATCTGATAAGACACAAATAGGACGAAATGAGCGTCTTTAGGATTTCGTTGTTAACCACTATCTATCTCTGTACATATATATACGAATAGGCAAATGTGAGTTCATTTGAAGATAAATATCGAAAGCATGTAAATGATTAATGATTGTATAATTCAAATAGGGTTGTAAAGAGCTGAATAAAAAGTATAAAAGAAAAAAGAATTTATATTATCCTGTTCCAATTACTGTAGTTGTTCTAGTTTTATTCTTGCATTTGTAATGCATTTAAACCTCCATCTTATCTCTTCTTTTTTTCTCAAAGAAAATATATGATGAAATATAAATATTCAAGTAATCTGTATGATGAACTCATCTAGGAATTGAATTGGTAGGTAGTATAATGATGATGATGATGATGATGACTTACACAAATTGTTCATTCTATTTATAAAGCAAAGTACAATACAGTAATCATTATCGATATTAGAACATTTCAACTAAAATTTAGGTATCTGTTCAGGTTTTCTGATGTATTTAGCTTTTTCCTGGAAAAGAAATTCATAGAATTAGAACGATGGAATTAATATGACAATTATGATCCCTTTTGTTATATTAATTAATGATAAACAAGCTGAAGAAATTTTTTGATGGAGTTTTGTCCTCGGAACAGGATGGCTTGATCGTGGAGTTTTGATTGTTCTTCTGAATGATATCATCAGCACAAACTTCAGGTATAAGTCTACCTGTCCACGACCAAAACATCAAGTTCAGAGAACAAAACTCTATCGAAATTATTTACCTGAGCTATAAAATCTTCTCCATCATCTCAAAAACTGAAAGAATATATTATTCACTAATAGTTAGTGTTGAACAATCTAATCTCGAATTAAATTACTAATTTCCTAATAAAATTGTCATTTTTACTAATTCATTTTATCTGATTGTCAGTTGCAGAAAAACTAATCGCAATGATTTTTCCCATCAAACAAGTAAGTAAACGCTGAACAGCAATCTGATAATCAACATCTCAAACAAACATTTTAACTGAAATTTATTCTAATTCGTAACAATTCGAATTCTCTCGTCCATATTCAGGGCTGATTTTTTCATTTATATGTATGGCATATGGGCCCCCAATCGCCCTGTTACATCCGAAAGTTGGGAGAGTCCATATGGCCACACGTATACAACCACTGCCGAGGAAGTCCTACTCTCTGCCTTCTCGCGGCATTACTGTTGTTTACGAAATTGAGAGGACGAAAAGCGGATGTCCGGCGCTTTAACCGGGTTGGTGGGCACGGAGGGTTCACCTAATGCAGTTAGAAAACTTTGATTCCAAACCAATTGTGTATATCGGCTCCAGGATCCAGAGGTAAGAAATGGCATATGAACCAATTACTGGTCACCGGCTACCATGAGACTGCATCTCCTTACGTTGCTCCACTGCCTTGTGGACCAGACTTTAATGGCCTGCGATCTGACACCAGTGAGATAGTATGAATGTTTGTTATTGAGATACATATATCGTCAATCCTCGTATATAATCATCGACTTAAATCGCGTTAGTCAATAACGGAGATAAATAAGTCAAATACGTGAATCAATTTCGAATACGTATATTTCATACAATCTTTGATCCAGACAAAATATCGGAGAAGCGAAGCGAAACGATGCGCCGTGAAGAGAGCATATGAGCCAACTCCATTTAGTCAAGCGTTTATCAATATTTATAGTCACACAAAAATAGGCTACAGACATTTGATGCATAGGATAAGGAGTTTACACACATATGGTCATATGAAAACAGTCAATGTTGATAAGCGAATAATTAACAAGGTCAAAATGTGACTCAAGAAGGATGAATAGATTGGCTTGTCCGAAATCTAGAATAAGATATATGGGCTTAACACAATAACCGACACTACAAGACCATTAGGTCGAAGGTTCCGAGTGTGGCGGCCTAAGAAAACCACCTGCTTCGGTCTGAGTACTCAGGCAGTACCACAGCTCACACTCAAATCAAGTGACTTGTGTGGCACATATGTATTCGGTACCCCTTTGTACCAATATTTATGTGTTCAACTAAAGTAATAAGTAAATAATAGCATATGGGCACTTTGAGAGAGTGAATTGATTTTACCTGTAATTAAAAGTCTATGGTATTTTTTACACAGTAGGATTCAGGACACATGTTTTGGTTTGTTTAAGACCCGTTAGCTGAATGTTTTTTAATTCCAGACTGACATTCCAACCCGCTGTTGATATTCAGAACCGAACTTGACCATTTTTACTTGTATAAATGTGTCATAAAACAGCTTTGATCTGTTAAGCAATTACTTAGCAAAATTGTAGTTTACCGAGTGTATCAACCTCTTCACTTACATTGGAAGTTTCATCACTGTTGGAACGTTGGTGTCTGACGAAATCTGAACACGGATTCAGAAAGCTCTCTTGGCCTTTGTCTACTTTTGTCAGTTGTGCTGAAGAAGAGTTGTCCATTCATTAACCAAAGGGGGAGTATTCGGCATGACATTCCACCATCTATAACTCTGGTTGTGTAGATAACCTATGAAGGTAGGGGACTTGCGTATAATGCAGGATAATGATCATAAATATCTTCGATGCGTTTCCCACGTACTGTGCAACGAACGAATGGGGATTATCGAGGCTAAGCGTGAGATATTAGGTGAAAATAGCAAATCCTCTGGTGAGGTACTAAACCTTCATCGATTGGGGTGGTTAGAATATACATCACATTTCTCCAACTTCAGTTTGCCTTGACGCGTGGTGTATAGTCTTTCTTTTACCATTGCTTCTACATTATTTCGGTCTTATTTTTAGCTTTTATCTCATCGTGAGAATCAGGAATGGAAGCATAATAAGCCCATTACATTTTTTAGTACCCACCCGCTGTAATTTTGACAATTGACCCACTATGTAAACGTACGTGTGAGTTTGAGTGAACGAATGTCTGCACTGCAATCTCTATCTATCCTCTTATTGATTGTAAACGCAGACAATCAATAAATTACCCGCAATTGATTAACTTCATAAAATACATATAGATATTTCGACTTGTAACTTACACACTCACTTCCTAGTGTGCTTTTCCTCTTGCGTGCTCGCGAATTTTAATATTTATTAACAATACACTCTTCCAAAAACTGGTGTTATGGCTTTCGAATAAATTCATAGCACTAATTGAAAAATTGGCCTGCCTAAATACTCACTTAACGAGACTTCATCAGTTGGAGTCAAACGGGGAGGAATTAACCTCTACGGAAGCTTTTACAAACGTACATTTATGCTAAGGCTTTAGATTGATTGAACTATAAAATCGCACTACAGAATAAACTGATGATTTGCACATGTATATACTTTGCGATTCGGATTGAAAGTTCATTTAATCATCTATGATTCATTATGATTTGTTAACAATTACAGTGATAGTTAAAGAAGTTGTGAAATACTTATACAACAGACATATATAATCACTATTGAGCCTAGTACAAATGCGCAAGCACAAGTTGTCACACCTGATTAACAAAACGAAATGAGAATAACAAAAGATAAAAAGAAACACTATGATTTAGGAAGACAGAGTGAAAAGTTATGTATGAAGGGATACTGGCGTTCAAGATCGAGAGGGCGATAGAGAGTGAATGTATTCAGGCTACTGACCGATTTTTACTCATCACCCGAAATCTCCAACCACTGATCGAGTTTATCATCTGGACCCTAACCAAGAAGTCTGTACCTGTCAAAATTGACTCAGGCTGATAGTCAGCGACTTCATGAACTCATGCGACGCTTTGGTTTGCCCTTCTCTAATTTTCCTCAGTCTCATTTTGCGCTAACTAAGCTTCGCTCCTTGAGATAGGCAGTGGTTAGGTATTCGTAAAATATGTCAGTAAAGATTTACAACCTCATTAACCGATCTGATACCTATGTCAAGTAGACTACAGCTAGCTTCAACATGTTATTCGGTTCCGAGAAAAATATTTGTAAGTCAACTGGAAAAAATTATCGATCGGGATGATTATTTTCTCGGCAAGCGATATTATTATAGGCAAAAATGTGTATTTAAACTCGTATTTCTACATAACTAGCAGATAGACTTACTCTTTCTTGATAACGACGTTCATAATAATCTAATTCTGATTCTCCTGGACGACGCATCTGTGACTCAACTTCATGACGTTCACGTTCAGCGCCTATAATTTAATGATGCAAAATGACTATATTACTAGTACTTAAAATGATAAAACCTTTAAAATAATCATCATCAACCTTTTATTGCGTGTATCATTGCAAAATACCATTTAATACGAGTTTTCTCAACTAAGCGATAACAGAATACAGTTGGTGACCAACATGCATGTTCGATGTTTATTGTACTCCAAGTGATAGTTATAAGCTCCCGAGAAGAAATCTTGGACTCAAAAATATTTTGTTGATCGAAACTCATCAACAAAGAATACAGATTGAATAGCTAACTATCACCATACCCGTGCTTGTGGCAATGATTGGTATTAGTTCGAATTTCATGGAAGGCATCAGTCCCATCAAGATTATAAACACATCTTGTTATTGTATATCAATCACAGGTTGAAATCATGAGTCAATTGAAGCTAGACCACCATGGAAAACCTGGAGGCTCTGTGAAATTTCTAAAAATCTCCACAAAACCCATTCTGATAATAATCATCTGCTCACTAGTGACTGAATTCAGGAGATACTCCTGGAGTTCTAGTGGAAGGCCGTTACCAGTGGAGTTCAACCAGGTCTGTTGTGAGATATCAGCTCACTGAAGACAATGGTGTACGGTGGCGCAACTTCGTGGATTGGTTGAAGTTAGACATCAACACCGTTGGATGCCGGCCGGCTCAGTGGTCTAGTCTGTTAAGCTCCTGGCGCGAGACTGATAGCCCCTGAGTTCGAATCTCGCAGGGGGCGGGATCGCAGGTGCGCACTGCTGAGGAGCCCCATACTGGGACGAAACGGCCGTCTAGTGCTTCCAAGTTTTCATGGTGGCCTAGCTTCAATTGACTCGTGATTTCAACCTGTGAAATTTCTAAAAATCTCCACAAAACCCATTCTGGTATACCAATCAGGACAAAAGCTATATCTATAATATCCTATCGATTGCCTTCACCTACCTAAGCCCTAAGAAAAGTGCATTACAGTGTTACATCACTTAGGCTAGATAACACATTACAACTTCATGGATGAAATTTTTATTGGGATTGAAGATTAAATAATATACTGATGATTATTATTCAATGGTTGGTCAGTGCATACTCCGAAATCGTTTTTCATTATTCATTGCCTAGCTTTCAACGTTTATTCTATTGTACTTTTCTGTAATACATGTTTTACTCACAAACACAAAAATTAAAAGATGATTGTGTTCCAAGATCAGAATTCCTGATAATCATTAAGGTTCTTAAAATCATCAGTTCAAAATGGAGATTTTGCAGGCCGGTATTCCTATAGAACATTGTATTTGGTTCTCACTCAATAATTTAAAATCAATGATAGTCACACGTCATTATGCTTGTTTGTTCGAAAATAATTGGCTTTAACTCTAAACTAACTAAACATATATCCTCTTGTTTGTTTACTACATGTCATTGTTTAGAGTACAGCCGTCCTCTAAATATAACTCATTCGATAAATCGATTTTAAAAGTGGCTTGGTTAGGGTTATGACAAGAACCTGAATATTGGTGATCAAAACGGTATTGGATTTCATAGTCAATTTGGTCGAATAATCCAATTGGTTTGATGTGAGTGAATAAAATACACTTTATCTTGAAAAAAAAACACAACTAAATTACCGTTCGTATCATTAACTGCCAACTTATAATTAAAAACTCCTTGTGCATGACTACGGAGAAATGGATTATCTACAGATGTAATTGACTTATTCATTTCTTCTTCTGATAATAATTTGCCTGCACCGCTTGTATCCATACGTGTTATACCAGGTGCAAGTGAACTAAATCCAGTTAGTCCACCCATAGCTTGATATGGTGAAGTCTGACCTATTGGTTTACCTCTACTATGACGTTCTTCGGCAGTTTCCATCTGGTTGCAAAAAGTAAGACATAAGGAAATAATAAAAAGTTATTTTAAAATAAACTTTGCAAACGTTTGCTGATATTTTACACGGTTAATTAAACTATTGGGAATGATTTGAAATATTAGATCTAAATGTACATTTGCTTATCAGTTCAATAAATATGCGAACTGAGGTCATACAAACCTCATTTTACGGAATTTAGGATATATATTCATGTACTTACCTATCCAGTGCTTAAAGAAGTTTTCCGAATGTCGTCCGCTATTTTGGTGCATGTTAGAATTCACGTGCAAAACATACTTAAAACTTCAATGATACTTATATCTTACAGATCTGGATGTGTCTCTTGGGACTGTACTAGAGACAGATTGAGTTCTTAAGATTGTTGAGCATTTTTGGTTCTTCTTCATCTTGCATCAGACTGATATTAAATTAAAGTGTTTGAATGTAAAGTGGTCAGTGAAAGTATAAGAGTATTCAAGAGTCTTGTATAATATCGATTACTACTTCAACATACAACAAGGAGATGCTCTTTATGTAATGACATCGCTCAACAGAACGATATCATTTGTATCAAAGTTAGTTTTAAATTGGGGATTGTCACATTTCAGCGTACAGTATTTTTGTGTATGGATGACTGAAGTTAGAGATGTAGAACTTGTGAACTGCAAATGGTAATGATAACTGCACGGGTATAACAAAATACCATACTCACCATCGTTTTCTTGAGAGCTGTTTGGAATTACTGGATTCTGCAATAGTTAGGCCTATTAAATGTCCAGTATTTTATTTACTAGAGAACCAAATTTTAGAGCATTTAACATTCACCATTATATCCATGATCCTGATGAAGCTTTGATGATCTATGTCTATTTCACAAACGAATCAAAAGCGATAAGGATCAAAATTTTCCAACTAATTTGATGAGTCAGTAAATTATTTGTTCACTTCCCCATAACGCCTAACTTTCATTGGATAACAATAATAATCGTTTACTTTCCTCTCTAATTGAATGGATAGAAATTCGACACACCTTCATTGTTATTATCGGTCACAAATGAAGTTGAAATTCTTGTCTTATTTATAGGTGTCAAAATAGAAACGCTAAGTAATACGAAACTGGATTAAAATTCAAACTCACAATCATTTGGTGTTTATGTAACTCGATACCACAGTCACATCGCATACTTGTTCTGAAACCATTACAATTGCAGTCGGATTTTGAACAAAAATAAGGTGTTGCCTAAAATTAAATAGAAAACAACTCTATACAATATTCTGAAAGAGTAGCTTAATTGGACGAAAGAATGATCTTAAAACAATTAATACTTATTTTAAGATTCATATTCAGTTCACTTTATGCTAAAATTAGATTTTTAGACCCATTAAGAAGCTATCACTGGAAATACAAGAGAAATCCTACAACTTCCGAAATTGTTCTCAATACCTCGGTATTGCATCCGAAGATATGACTTTGAGGATATCGAAGCTGAAATTATCGTGTATGGAAGTAAATTCAAACAGATGATAATTAATTGCATGCTTTAGTTTTTACAGGCAGCCAAGATCTATAATCCTAACTTTTGATCTTAGGTTTGAGTCTCATTTTAATTCACTCTAAGTGGTCATATAGTATTTTCGATACACATAGAAGACAAGTTTGGCTAGATAATTACGAACTTGCATATGTTTTAGAAACATAATTTAGAATTTTATTGTTTATGATATTCTATAGTGTGCTACATATAGATGCTCCATAGATTTATATGTTTGAAGATAGGTTTTAGTTTACTCTAGCAATTTTTAACGTTTGATTCTGTTTTATTATTATAATACAGGGATCAACTATCATAAAAGCGTAACAAAACAGTGAAGTTGATGGGGTTTTGTTCTCTGAGCTGGATGGTTTGGTCGTGGAGCTTTCATCGTTCTTCTGAACGACATCATCAGCACAAAGTTCGGGTAGAAGTGAAGAGTTCGAATTTCTCCATATGCGTTTCACAAATTGTTCTGTATACCTTGACGTTGATTGGTTCTTACTGACCTTAAATTTGTCATTGTTTACTTCTTTCTATCTGAAGTTTGTGCTGATGATGTCGTTCAGAAGAATGATGAAAGCTCCACGACCAAACCATCTAGCTCAGAGAACAAAACTCCATCAAATTCATCCACCTGAGCTACAAATGTTCACCATCTCAAAATAGTGAAGTAGAAATTATCTCATTAAGTCTACTTACGTATGGAAGTGTAATGACGATTACGAAACTATTATGATTCTTTGAAATAATAAGTGTTTACAATATCTGTTATGGGTTTATGCTCCTTACACTTTTCTTTTTTGATATTACTGATGATATGGTAAATTCAACACCAAGGATAATATATTTTGTAGTCTCTATACTTGATCAGTTTCAAAAGGATATATAATTTGTATGCCTAAATAGAGACCACTTCATTATATTGTTTTTAATTGCTGAGTAATATATGAAAAATTATAACAGGTTATTATTTCGCCAGAACCACACAAATGGACTAATATAATATATTTTAGTATGGTCAATTTTTGGGAGGATAAATAACCTCATAAGACTAGGTAATATGTTGCTGAATACGTAAAGTAGATCATCACAGAAAATTTTAAACAGAGTAATAGAAATCCTTGAAATAAGAATTAAGTTAGTGTTGTTAGGTCAGTGGACTCGTAAATCAAATAGATGTTGATTTTAGTTACATCACTGATGTCTTCGATATGGTAATAAAATATTTCTTAACAGAAACATAGCTATCATAGTTTAAGTCACGAACTGATCTTAATTAGACCACCTTTGTAAACCATAAAGCACTGGACAACTGTTTCATTTTAGTATGGGACTCCTCAGCAGTGCGCGCCCACAATCCTGCCTCAGAGAATTGAACTGACAATCTTCAGTATCACACGCGAACGATTAATTTCTAGACAATTAAGCCATTGTTCGACGGCAAAAGGTGGACGCAATAATCAATCATTTTTTCAATATCGACTTTCCACTACACAAATTTCCACTTTAGCACACCATTGTTTTTAGTTGATTTACCCTTATGGTTACCGTAATTATCAATAAATAGATCGGTAGAATCATACTTTGCACAACTCGGTGATAATAATTTGCCATAATAATATTCGTTAAAGCTTCAATAAACGATAATTGATCACTTTTTGATCAAGGCCTATCACTATGTGATAAATGTGGTCAAATTGGGGATTGATATAATTCTGGTTAACATTAGTCAAACACTAAACATCATTTCAAATAACTTCATCAGTCTTTAAAATAACCCTGTATAACGAGGAAGAATGTATTTTTAAAGTCTTAGCGAATGAATTTTACAAATACATTCTTTCTCTTTAATGTCTCACATTAACTCGGCGCCCAAATACTGTGGAATTATTTGATCAAATTTAGACGAACGTTCTTATTTATTAACCCTGCATAACTTTTAATTAAAACGTTTGTACTATTTGTTTGCACACAAATACCACACACGGGATGCTTATATTATTTAAAAAATATATATTCCGCAAATCATTAAGCTCTTAAAAGAGTAACTCAGTATTTACAATATTTTATCCTGCTTATATAGAAACAATGCATCAATTAATCATTTTTGCTTAGGAGATGAGATTGTCCCTTGTGTAAACATAATGTCAGACATAAAAACATTTGTACTCTTAAGCCATTTTTTCTATGTTTTGTGCTCTCAAATAACGAGGAATGCTCTAATGGTCAGAAGATTCTCTGGAAAGATGTTTAGAACTATTTATTGCTAGCTTACTATTTATAACTAATAAAAGTATGTAAAACTGACCACACTATGATCGGTTGCATAATGTTTACAATGACATCGTGCAATTTGGCTCCCGAATTTCGGCATCACATGAAAACTCAAACATCTGCAATGTCTACATGGTAACTGTATAGGACGTTGTGTAGGTATTGTCTCGAAATCTGTCTTATGTTGTATAAGCCTAGCAAAAAACGGGAAAGAAGAATGGATACAAAGTTCACGACATAAACTGAGTCAAACTGCATGCATTTATGATACGACCCGTAGTTCACAAAACAAATGTAGAGAAAAACAAGTAACCCAGTGGTGTGCGTTTTAAAAAGAGCAGTGATCTCGTACTTTTTGCAAACTAACTTTGCTTTTGTGTATTTATTGCATCCAAAGCATGTTTGGTTGACTTTAACTTGAATGATCGCGGTTGGGGTTTGAAATTGTTTTCAAATCCGTTTTGTGTTACTCTTTCTTAGATGATTCTCACGCTAGTGATTAGCTTACGTGTTTCTGTCAATTTTCCCCCGTAAATCTGTTTACAATCGTTGACTATACTTATAAATAAGGAAAGCTGAATTGTTTCGTCCCTGCAAATGAAGGAATGCAATATGGCGAGTGTAGTAAGTGGTTCCACATGTAAAACCCTCGAAGCCTAACTACCATTCATTCTGCATGTTTTGCTGTTCGAGTAAGACATCACTGATCCAGGAGGCGATGGGCATTCTGGCGCAGGACAGCAAGAAAGCTTCTGGTGGCTGCGCTGATATTATTAGTACTGATAGCGAAGAAATTTTCAGTGTATTCTGTGCTGTTACTGGACAAACCAAAAGCCCAGATGAAAAACATGAAAAAGCCAAGTCTCTTTAGAAACAAACAAAGGATGAAATACCACTGGATATTGTTGGTCACCATTATACAGTAGTACCTAAGAATTCAGATAAATCCGTCATCGTCCCAAGTAGTTTTGATGTGGCTGTCTTGAGTGATGCAAAGCGGAAGATAGTGCAGAAGCGTAGAAGAGAAAGAAAATAGTTACAAACAAAGCCCGTTTGAATGACAAGTCTTTGGTAGACTCACTCTGGGTCATAGAAGACACTGCAGAAGTCCCAAAGTAAGACTGGACCTAATCCTAGCGTGGCTGGAGAAAGCCTAGTCTCATCAAATATTATTGTAGGTAATTTTTGAGAAGCAAACGACCCTGATTTAAAAACTAGACACGCGTATGATGTGGAAAAGGTCTGAACATTTATTCATAGCATCTTACCGGATAACACCGCAGATGATATAAAAAACTGGTAATTGGCAAGAGGATCGACAAAAGTGTTGAACCCTGATCATATAGACTCCTTAAGGTAATCCTGGGGTTGGGAAAACAACGAAATCTTTCGTTAACTAGTACTCAAAGTCACGATAACACCTAAGTTCAAGTAAGATTTGACATGTCTCTAGGAGATAGAGTAAAAATAAAGGTGGCACTGTCTGAACTAGAAACGCGTAGACAAAATGGCAAAAAGATCTCCGCTTAATGTGTTTGTGAGTATTCAGGTCTTGTAAGCGAATTCTTTTAAATTCTGTGTGGATAGATCGTTAGTTTTAGGACCTTCATATGAAGATTCTCATGGTCTAAGAAGTCAATTCCATGAACTAGGAGTATTAGTGGACAAGTTAAAGACACTCATTGTAGCTGTAACCGAAACTTGGTTAGTCCATAACTTTGACGTCACTTCAGAATTTTCGGGAAACAACTACCTAAGAAGTGACAGAAATAGATACAGGAAAATGGTGGGATTCTTATATACAGAGCTTATCATATAAACATTCGTTCGTTCGTCTGTGAATTACATGATAGTGAGACTTGTGAAGTTAATAGCTTTGAACTCACTATTGAAGGTTGTACATTTATATTTGGTGTAATATACCGTAGCTCAATCTGCTTAGTTGATGACTTTATCTCAGAGCACATTCAGTTATAGAGTAGAATAACGGATGCCTGATATTACATTTTAGTGCACCAAATATTAGTTGGACAGAGACTGCCACTGTAGGATTTGAAAACTCTTTTGGTAGTAGGCTCCTGATGACGGTAATGGAGCATGCTTTAGTATAGCACGTATCGAAATCCATACAGTTTGGTCCAAACCAAGAATCTCCTTTTTTAGACTTAGTAATCACTTATGCGACTGAGGATCTTACCTACCTTAATATTCCATTACCATTAGCTAATAACAATCATGCTGTTTTATCATTTATATTTGGGGCTTGTAACAGGAGATGAATGAATTAGACCCCACCCAAATCTGTGGGGATCAAACAATAATAGCTGTACAAGAATGTGCTACAACGACAGACTGGTCAATAAATACTAGCTCATCAATTGAAGAAGCATGATCTTTATTCAAAGGTACACTTAGCTTAGTTCCGTTTCCATTTATACTTAGTATCACGTAGACCATATAACTTTCCATCATGGATAAATAAAAAGATCAAGAAACTTCTTAGACGTAGGGCAAAGCATTGGAATATATTTATCTCTACATGCTCTGAACATTACAGATCAACATATTGTAAGACTGGGAAAGTGTGCAAAGAGTTGTTAAGTAAAACTAGATTCTCTCATAAAAACAATGGGTTAGGGATTACGAAAATGGTCTGAAAAGGTTGTTTTCGTTATAACGAGGTTAGCTCAGAGGACTGATAAGTTCCTACCACTTCCAATACTACAAAGTCCGTTGATTTTGATGAGAAATAATGTTGCAAATACTGAATATTTATCAGAATGTTTTAGTAAAGTGTTTTCTACAGACGACGACGAAAGATCAACAGTTAATTATAATAATGGAGGCATATCAACGAATCCTCTGCTTATTAAGAAAGGAACTGTCTTATCTCAAACCAGATAAGTCCTGATGATATTCATCCGAGGATTGTGAAAGCTCTGGAGACTGTAATTGCTGAACCTCTTGCAATACTGTTTGATACGTCTTTGTGGCATTGTAAACTGCCAAGGGACTAGAAAGATACAATAATCAGTTCAATGTATAAGGCTTGGAGCGAGGAACTAGTCGGTAACTATCGATCCATTAGTCTAACCAGTCTATTTGTAAAACTAGTGGGAAGAATTGTTTGGATAGCCATTTTAAACTATGTGGAGGGACATGATATTCTATCCAGGGAATAACACGGTTTTAGGAGAGGCCTGTCATAGTTGACAAATCTGCTCGTTAAAAGAGAAGATTGAGTTGCACCAAAAGGTAGTAATATTCCAGTAGATGTAATTCCCATGGATCCAAGTAAAGCTTTTAACAAGGTCTGTAATCTGGGTCTTAAATTAAAACTACGGTTTAGGATTTCTTACAAAATCATAAACTGAATAAATAACTTTCTTAGTGATAGGAAACGGCGGGTAAGGGCAAGTGGAGCTCTCTCAACATGTGAATCTGTGGGAAGTAGAGCTGTCCAAGGTGAAATTGTCGGCCCTCTTATTTTTCCACTTTATGTAAATTTCTTACCAATTATAGCAAATTCACCTGTTCTACTCTTTGACTATGACGTAAAGATTTGTAGACCTACAAACAGTTTGTTAGATAGAATATTACGAGATGATTTAAATTCATTGGCTGCATGAATGGACAGGTGGTCATTAGAAGTAAATTTTAACAAGTCTAGTGATGCGAATAAATAATTGTGACGATTTATCTCACTACACAATATGAGGATTAGTGTTGCCTAAAGTAGTGGACTATAAAGATTTAGGGGTCATAAGAAGCCACGAACTTGGAACGGAAAGTAACTGAAAGACTATCGTTGTCAAAAGCCTCAGGATCTTAAGGGCTATTCATAGGTCATTTGATTACGTGGACGAAGAAATGTTTAGGGTATTATACCCAATTCTCGTGAGGCTGCTTGTGGAATATGAGATTGAAGAGTGAGGCGAATATGCTAAAATGTGTTCAACAACGAAGGACCGAAATGGTGAAAGATCTCGTTGGCCAATCTTGTGAAGAAAAACTGAGACGCTTTGACTTTTTTCCGTTATATTACCGCAGACTACGGGTTGATCTAATATTGGCTTATCGTATACTGAACGAAGACCTTGGCACTACTGTCATATCTTCTCCTTCCATCTAAGATTAATCATTTGCGAAGACATTCTATGAATGTTCAAGAAAACCGATATAAAATACTTTACTTCTGGAGTCCGTCTCTCGCATCAAGTAGTGGATTACTGGAATTATCTACCAGAATACGTAATACACATTCAAAAAGAGACTGGAACTACACAGTGTTACAAACTTCAAGGACTGATATGGGCCAGTTGACCTCTATCCTTACTATTGAAAATTGAAGTGTTGGATTTCGAAGAGAAGGTTGGCAGAAGTTTGACGGAAGAACTTTCCATATAATCTTCGGTAGTTTTATCCGTCCTCATTTAGAGTACGGAAACATAGTATTTCCCCCCTCACTCCAAAAGGATAAGGACACTCTGGAGCGTATTCAACGGCGAGCCACGAAATCAGTTCGAGGACTCAAATTTAAACCATATGAAGAGCGCCTCCATTCACTTAACCTTTACCCATTAGAGTATAGACGTCTTAAAGGTGACCTTCTGATGGCTTACAGTATCCTTAACACTTCTGGACATCCTCTCAAACACCTACTTAAGCTTAGTTCCAACACTAACCTAAGGGGTAACACCCAAAAACTGGAGACACAACATACCAGAACGGAATGTAGACACAACTTCTACTCCTTAAGAGTTGTCAAATGCTGGAATTCTCTGCCGGCCGAGGTAGTCCAAGCGACTTCCCATGAGTCCTTTAAGAGGCAACTTGGTCTATTCTTAAGGACTAAGGATAGTATCGCACTATGATTTATTAATTTCTTTTTCTGTTTTCTTGTTAACATACCTAGGTTCCTGCCTGTAGGACTTGGTGGTCCTCTGCTACTAGACACGGAAGCCTGTTAAACGAAAGCTTCTTCTATTCCGTCCACAACCATTTGAATTTGGCTGATCTGGTATTCAGTCGTTCCGCCTACTAAAACTTAGCAGTGGAGTTTATGAAGTGACAATAAGAGCTGTGAGGCTTTATCTAACAGAAACAGTGAGTGCAATTGTAATAAAATAAAAACAAGTAGGTTAAACCAAACCTGTTTAAAAGTTTTATGATACTTTACCGGTGTTGGCAGAAACATTCACTTTGTGGACCGGCAAGTATGCAATCCACTCCATTTGGATTTGTCCAAGACACAAAAATTCTGTTTTTACTTCTCTTAGCTTAATATAATTAATTAGTTTTGCATACCAATGGTAAGTATTTGTTCTTGTAAGCTTCATATTGCTTGGGTGTAAAAAGTTTTCCATTGTCATCATCGCCCACAATTCTGCTGTAGATTATAAATGACATCTTATGATAAGCTACCGTCTATACTCTTCGTATGCATCAATAGATTTAAGATCTTCGCTACTAATTTTAATGGAACTTCCTCCAAAATTCATGTTTGTCTCATATTATCATCATAACAACTAATATTGGTTGGCCGATAAAAACAAATCTGTGAAACTATGTCCATGTGGTGTATTGACATAATTGTTTGATTCATTGATTTTATTATATTGGTATCACAAAACTGAAAGTGATCTCCAGAGGCGCTTGCTCAGATTAGTCCAATCGTTCTGAACAGAGTAGAGGAAGCTTTCACTGACGGCGTCCTTATTTAGGAGCAGTAGGTCGACGATGCCACCAAGCAGGAGCCTATATATATTTAACGATAAAATAAAAGAAACATTGGCGAAATATAGTGAGGTGCTGTCCTTAGTCCTTAAGAGTATGTAGCATGATCACTTTTCTCCAAGGGAGTCATGATTGAGAGGTTGTCAATTAGAAATTTTATGTTTGTAAGTATGCAGTCTAAGTATTGTGGCGTCTGGCTATTTCTCCATCGAGCTGCTAATTTCACGGCAGTCGACCGCAGTCTTACGATCTTGACTCACTCTCACTTCAAGATCCTTGTGAGACCGGGCCACGGACACAGGCACTTCCCCTATGCTGTACCCATTTGACTTTGTATCCTCAATGTGTAAGTAGATACACTTTGCCGTAGTTGGGTTGGAATTCAATGCTGTGTTCTTGTTGTGTAATTTATGTCCGAGAACAGTCATTCCGGCTACTTGATTACAAATTGGGTCTTTGATATTCAGCACCCACTCTCAACTTGATTTGGACACTAATTGGGATTTCTTACTGCACACAACTTTATGTGCCACAAAATTGTCTGTTCCGCCAACGGTATCCAAACCTTACCAGCAAATCACAGTCATAAAGAATCGCTCTCTTCTACAGCTAAGACGCGAAAACCACTACTATGCAGAGTGCAAACGAACTAATGACAGCATATACGGGTAATTGAGACCAGTAAGGAACCAATGCATAAAGGCAATAAGAGAAGACAGGCTTTAGTATCAGACAAACCTGATCGATAAACGTTTCTCATTCGAAGAGCATATCCCATCACGTAGCTTCTCTTTGACAAGCCAAAACCAGATTTTCTCAATTGCTATGTCCTAGTGGCCCAACCAGTGACAACGGTGACGTTGCCGACATTCTGACATAACAATACTTTCGGATAATTCAACCATCCTTTACTAAGCAAATTGATGAGAACTTCACAAGAAACCCAACAGCAGTCTTAGAATTGAAGCTAAGCGCTGAACCAGTGTACCAGAAAGTGCAGCATCCCAATACGTACACTTTTGATCCGGATATGATCCATTCCGCAATACTTAGAGAAGCGGCTTTAGTTTTGACAAAACCGCTTGGCTTGATGTTCACATATCCGCCGAGGCACGGTATTAGAAAATTGTGAGCTGGTGCACATTACACAAATTTCTAAAGAAGACCAACGTTGTGAACCTGTAGTGGCACTGGGCCTAACCACACAATCCTCATAGCTGAACATGAGACAACTGGGAAAATAGCTATTCAACATTTAACGCGAGAAAAACCCAACGATGGAGAAGGCGGAAACAATTAATTGAATAAGTTCGAGTCGATCAAATGGCGTAGCTCGGCTTTGCAGGCATGATCCTACTTATATAACAGCCTTTTATCTATATAAAATATAATGATCTATTTCCAGCCTCAATGTGTATTGATTATTGTGACAATAGGAATGAATCAGTGTAGGTAATGATGTGACATCCACGTAGGACTTTATAGATTAGGCAGTTACATCGTGACAAATCTACAATTTTAAAATTAAGTCTATTATTAGAGCACTACTAATATGATAGGAGACCGTAATTCTACAAGCCTTCCAGCTACCTGTCAGGAGCACTTTTCTCAATACCCCCAAATATAAAAAACTTCCTGGTATGCAAAGATCAGCGTGACTGCTTATTATCCAGAAACCTTTTAGTATCCAAACAACACGGTTTCAATAATGGTCACTCCTCTATAACCAACAGGCTGACCACGGTGGACAGATGGACAACCATTCTTGATAGCAAGAGGAAGGTTGATGTCGAACACCTTGATTTCTCCAAAGCTTTTGATTAGGTCAACCATATATGTATTTTCAGTAAGCTTAAACCATTAGGTATCAAGTCACTGCTAATAAACTGGCTTACTTCATATCTAAGTGATCAACATTTTAGGGTCAAGGTAAACTTCGCTCTTCCTCAGGCAACAGAATATCCTTGTGTGTTCCATCAGAGTCGGGTACAGGAACCCTTTCTCTTTTTAACTTGAGTGACCTTCCTCAGAAACTATCGCTCAATGTGAAACTGGAGAGGAGTATGTAACCATAATCATCATGAGGATCTGACTCGGTGGATGAGAGTGAACAAATTTTAAACACTTTAAAATAATCGGGTTGAAATCCAGTTCTTTGTTCTTTTTGTGTAATTTGTGCACGAGAACAGTCATTCCGGCTACGTGATTACAGATTAAGTCTTTGATATTCAGCACCTTTCCCCAATAGTGCACAGGTGACTGAGGAAACTGTCCTTTCGTTGATAACTAACCTCAAACCTTGTAAGATATCGGTTACATCCACGGTTGCTGTTATCTCTTGCGGACATTATTTCAAACCCGCTCGCGACACTCTTCAACGTGTCCCTTTCACTCGTTCAACCCCCTACAGATTGGAAAGACGCTACAGTCAGTCCTATATTTAAGGATGGTCAGAGACAGACAGTATCTAACTACCGGCCTGTCAGTCTAACTAGCATAGTCGTTAAGTTACTCGAAAAGATAATTCGGGTTAGGTTGCTAAGCCACATAGATTTACACAATCTGTTAGCTCCTGAGCAACACGGATTTCGTAACAAGCGGTCATGCTTGACTAACTTGCTTATTGCGAGGGAGGATTGGACAGCAGCCCTAGATCACGGTCTGTCTGTCGACGTGATATTCATAGATTTTAGCAAAGCGCTTGACAAGGTTTCACACGTAGGTCATATGCAGAAGCTCACGAGCTTCGGAATAATAGGTACTGTACATGAGTGGATAGGAAATTTCTTATGTGACCGCAGACAGAGAGTAAGGGTCAATGGGACGCTATCCGATTGGAAGCCGGTCAAAAGTGATGTACCCTAAGGCACCATCTTAGGCCCTCTGCTCTTCCTTCTCTACGTCAATGAGTCACCACTGTTGCTTATGTCGTCGACATTATTGTTTGCGGATGACGTAAAAATCTGGAGAAAAATAGAAAGTGAGGCTGATAATCTGGATCATCAAGCTGATTTAGACGATTTAGTTAGACGGGCTCGATGTTGGGGCTTAGAAATCAATGCTAGGAAGAGTGTGCTAATGCACATCGGTCATGGTAATAGTTACCATTATACTATTGATGGTAAACCTCTTCCATGCGTTCAAGAGCATAAAGACTTAGGAGTAGTAATAAGTCATGACTTAAAAACAACTACGCATTGCAGCACAGATGCTATCAAAGGTTTACGTGCGTTATGTTCGCTTTGACGAGAAAATGTTTCAAATTTTATATCCCACCTATGTAAGACCACATTCAGAGTACTGTTTCCAAGCAACTAGCCCATGTCTAGTAAAGGATACTAACTCATTTGAGCGTGCTCAGCGTATGTGAACGAAGGGTCTTTTTAAACTCTCTTACGATGAGTGTTTAAAACGCTTAAACCTTTTCCCCTTGTCGTATCGTAGGACGTGAGGTGACCTTATACTGGCATTTCGTATCCATAGTTATTTGTCTGCAACAGAGACGGGGGTTTTTATAGGTCATATCTGATGGGATCGTTAATACTGTGGAACAAAGCTAAGTTGATTGTGATCTGTAACAATTTGAAATCAAATCATGCTGATGATCCTACTTCTAAGTCCCTCTAGTTTATATACGTGATATCAGCACCTTCTGTTGATCCATTAAAAACGAGATTGAACCTCCAAAGTGTTACAACTTGCAAGAATTATTATCGGTCGGATAACCTCAATCCTTACTATTGTAGACTGGCTGACCGGCAAGTACAACCACTGTGGTACGGGGCTTGCACGTTGCGATGTTGTTGTCATCACGAACGGGTGATGAGTATGATTTCGACTCTTCAGATGAAGAAGTAAGGTTTAAAGTGTCTATTAATATAAATTAGGACGTGAGAAATACTGTTGGAAACATACCATTGCAATGGTATGATTCCCTAGCGCACATTGGTTATGATACCTCTGGAAGACCTATAATGAAGCCAGATATTTATCATGGAAAACCTGATGCTATTGACGAATTTTTGCGTAACACTAACATCGAAGATGGAGGATCAAGCGTAGAGTGGCGTTGTATACGTGACCCACATACTGGACAGTTAGTGTTGTTAAGTGATGGTGATTTGGAGATTGTTCACAATCTGTGAAGGGTGAGGGTATTACTGCTGATTCGAAAGAAGGACCGTTTGAGGTAAACCATATTGTAAATCCATTACTTCCAGACGTGGGAAGAGTGGTTCACCAAGGATGTTATGCAAATGCCACTTACCGCCCACCCCCCTCAAAAAAGAAGTTTCATCCCATCCCTGTTAGATAGAAGACGAGTAAGTAGTCGTTTATCCGAATTGGATTTCATATTAGGTATTGAACGTATAAATATGTGTTTTGAGTAGTTTTCCTTAATTCGCTATCATGCTAATCTCAAAAAAGCATGCCATTATTTTTACGAATTGTTTGTATCTCTACTTGTGTAGACCACTTGATAGTCTACTTATTTTCAGTGTTGTGTTGCACTTAAGGCCATTGTTTCAACCTAAACAACCTAGATGGGTGTACAAAGTGACGGCACCATATAAATAATAGCACGTGTGTAAGCTCAATATTTGTAGTGTATTACATGATACTACTTTCAACCTGTTGTTAACGTCATCTTGCTAAACTGCTTACTACTTTGCCGATGCAAGATAAACACTTCGCGACAACGCCTAATTTGCGTACTAGACGCATTTGTTGTAAAGAAAAGTGATCATATAAGTCGTCAATACATGAGACAAAAATTCAAAGTAGGCCTAATAAATGAAAAACAACCACTTAAAAATTGTCAAATAACTTCAACCGCATAGTATATTTCAGTGGTTACATACATATACTAATAATTGTAGGCAGTACACTGATAGATCATATATAGTTCACCACTTAATACCTTAACTGTCTCCTGTTTGATGTTTAAGCCATAAGCCTATGGAGTCACAAAAAAAATCCAGTGGAATTTGCAAAAATAGTATCTTAAGTCTACTGCATAACACTGTCTATTTCTTGAAATCAAGGTTTTTGACTGTTGAAACGAAATTCACTTGTTAGGGATGTTTGGATCTTCTCATTATCGATACTAAGAACCGTAATTGACCAGTCTTTTTCGAAATACGTTCGTTCTGTGTGGATTGTCTTGGTATTGCGATTAAATCGCAAGTATTTTAAACAGATTTAGCGGAGGTCATGTTTCAGTCTTACTAGAAATAATCGAAACTTAAGAGCTAAGCGGCTATTTAACAGTCTACTGGTATCTATAGATAGTTTTCCAGAGCAATACACTTTCAATACCGACATTAAAAAGAATATTGTTTATTAACCTTATTCCGTTCCGGTAATTGTAATAACCAGTAAATTATGTTGTAAACTCATTCGTACCAAAGATGTCCAGTGTTCTATGCTCTGTCCAAAAGTATTGATCATAATCATTTACTTGCTTAATATATTGCTGTCTTACTAAATGTGGTTAGCGATCTATCTGGCAGATGTTATCAACCTTTGTTACAGTTTATCTGTAAGCAACTGTGAAAAGAATTCACTTCACAAAAAATCCCATCCGTATATTATCTTTCTATTTAGCTAGTTACTAGTGTTCTGAAGGAAAAGGCAACAAAACTAGTGATTGCCGAATTCTACTTCATAATGATAGTTACTTGGTGACTTTGGCGATATGCGTATATCTGATAAACAAGTGAATATTCTAAGTGTTTTTATCTAGTGAGGTTGTGTAGAGATTCTAAAACATTGTATTAAGCTTATATGTCGATCGATTACTAGTTCATTCGCTATACACCACAACACTGGAGAAAATTACATGGCTAAACGTTACGTTCTTTTTTTCGTAATCGATGACTGAGGAGAAATGAATTGAGTAAAAACTAGAACACCAATGTCCTTGAATATGTATTTCAGTAATTAGATTCGTTAGCATATACAATAGTAATAAACAATCGAAGAATAGTTGGATTAAATGGATACAACTAGACTGGAATCACATTAGTATTGAATTAACACCAGAATTAGACGTCTTTGTAAATGGATACCATTTATATTGGGTGTCACCTAGAATAACCAGCATTTGTATTAGAATAGAAATAACACTGGGAATGGTATCGTAGTGAAATAAATCCAGGACTGAATTAGACTGATCTGGTCTGCATTATACCGAAATGAATATAAACTGTCCTCTGTCAGTCGGTGGACATGGAGAGTCCACCTAGGGGAGTTGGAAAACCCTGATTCCAAACCAATGGTGCACATGGGCTCCAGTATCCTGAACGAACAAATGGCATATGAACCAATCGTTGGTCACCAGCTACCATGGGGACGCATCTCCTTACATTGCTCCACTGCCTTGTGGTTCAGACCTTCAGGTCAAAGGCTCCGGTTATGGCCCCCTAAGAAAACCACCTGCTTCGGTTTGGGCACCCGGGCAGTATCACAGCCCTCACACAAACCGAATGATTCATGTGGCGCATATGTATTTGGTGCCTCATTGTACCAATATCTGTGTTAAAATAAATATTATTATAATAATGTCCTCTGTCAGTTAGTCACTATGTCTCAAGGATTTACACATAATAATAGAATATGATCAACAGATAAGTAGATAGACAACCAAACGAAGGATTCATGCATAAAGTATTCAAATTAATCATATTTCTGAGCACAAGTTAACCAATGGAATTGAACTGATGCATTTGACAGCCACATGCTTAGTTAGATATCGTATTCCAAAAGGAATATACGATTATGTTAATTTAACATATATGTATTAAACACCATACTGGATAAATATAGAGTTCTACAAATCCTACCCTCTATGTAATTTTTACAAAGCATCTCATTTATCTGTGTATTTCAGGTAGGTAGAATGGTTCATGCCATTAAAAGTGGTTGGCTTGTTCCAAAGTTACCATCTTGGGCATTAAGCGATCCAAATAATCTAGATGAACTCCGGAGGTACGGTGCATATATGGCTTCTGGAAATCCAGATGTACTGGATGCAGATTACGATGAGGAACCGTTGAGTTTTAGTTCATTTGATGTATCAACATATGTATTTCCTGATGTCTGGAATAATCAAGATAATGAAAACGACCTTGTGAATACTACGACATCCTCATGGCAATCGAAATTGCCAATGCTTGCTTCTGATTACCGGCCACCACGGCCACGTCCTTACCAAAAAGCTCCTGAAGAGCCTTTACCTGGACATATAGCCTCTTATAACCCTCCTCCAGAATTTTTACTTTCTAAGGACGAAGTAAGATTCTTATACTTTGTTGTCGATAATGTATTGATATAGTAATTTAACCGTTCATCATTTATTCTTAAACTGCATGGTGTGGTGCGAAATATGTATTGTAACACAAAATAACTTTATAAAAGTTAAAGTGAACAACGAGATCTCATCAAAACATAGTCAAAGCAAGACTTCATTTATTTTGTTGCTTGCTTTTCGCATTTACCAATATAGAAGATTTACAAAGTTGTGGCATGGTAACCAATGATTTCTGTTCCAAGCACTATCTGGTAGCATTTCTAACCAACAAATCTTATGCTTAGTGGTTTATTTTCTGATGAGTTGAAATGAATTCAGAAAACTATCATATTCATATAGATAAGCAGGATTGTATTAACTGAGTTACTAGACAACCTAGTTTTTACATCCACAAAAACGTGGCAACAGCATCAAAGTATACGTGTTTCAATACCTGTCGCACAACTAACCAGACAGTGAAACTTGACCAAGGATGATTGTGAAATGAAGTTCCAGATCTAGAAAGGTATTATGTGCGTGCCATGCTCGATACTACTAAATCGTTTAAAACTAAAGTAACCTGTCCACTATCGTACAGCAAAACTGTCCTTTTTATACTCAGGTTATTAATGGTATTTTGATTTGCGAATTTGTGTTTTCGTCACGTTCACGTGAACGATGCTTCCAAAATACCACTAATAGAAAAGGTGACGTGAAATAGCAAATTAAAATTATATATCAAGAACAGTAATCTTAACAAAATAGTATAATTTACTTGTTCCATGGATTCTCCTTAGTTGCTTAAGCTTAGAAAAAATACTAATAATTATTTAAAAGTACTTTCATATATAATCACGTTGATTAAGTAGTCGACTACATGAAAATGATTTATAGCTCTTCTACGTTGTAGCCGTGTTTTATTACTTTTCATTAAAGAACATTCGTCTTTTAGCTAGTTGGTATTATTAATTCTTATTTTTCAAACAGCTGAAAAAAATCTACAAGATAGGTGAATTCACATTATCGTGTTATAGCTGCTGTTCTTCCTCGATTCAAATGTATAGAAATGGAAAATCATATGAAATTTCTCACTTCACTAGACGTTTAGGATAGATTTTCGTATTCACCGTCAGAAAGCCGTTTTTGTACACGGATTTCAGAGTGTTAAAAAGTCTCAAGCATTCGCTTATTTTTAAGTAGTTTAATTTCTAGTGCAATTTTGTTTGGCAAATCTACTCTACCCAAGTGTAGCCAATAAAAGAGTAATATTATGGCGAAAGTTTAACATCAACTTGCTGAACTTTAACTGGATATCACTGGGTTTAACAGTTGCCGTAATGTACTTCCAGAAGTCTGAACTTCATATTGCTTGTTTATAATGTTCTATTGGGTGTTTTTATCTTTAGACTTCTATCATTTATTTTAGTATACTGCCAATTAATTTGTGTTGGGTTAGTGCTTAAATATTAACTGTAAACTTCGAAGCTCACCCTACTTCTGTAGATTTATAAATTAAAATACTACCATCAGCGCTCATATTTAAAGTTTATATCGAAGCTATGTACAAAACCCAAAAGCCAGATATGTACGATCCTATCTTTTAGGCTACTTTAAGACAATGACCCAGTGGTTAAAAACTTTTGACTGTCAACCACTAAGTTACAAGCTTGAACTCCATTTCACGTACATGGGTCTTGAGAAACAGGTTGGTAGTATCACTTGCCCTCACACTCAAAATATGACTCGAAGCCGAGTATCTGGCAGGTGGGTTGTTAACCGGAACTACTAACAGTAAGCAGAGCTCAAAAATCATGCATGCTAATCTTAATTTATAATCCTGGTGTTTTTGTACTTGCCTGAAATGATGGGTCTACAAATATTATTGTTTCAAATTAATGTAAGTTTGACTAATTATCTTAATAGCGTAACGTTGGTGTTGTTTATTACTTTCCTTTTTCTCGTCAAATATAGGAAAAGAAAGTTATGAAGGCTTGGCGGGAACGCGTACGTGATGGACATGTTTCACGTGTTCCACCACAAATGCCTCGCAAATTTTCATGTTTAAGGCATGTCCCATTTTCCGAACGTTATTTGCATGAACGTGAAGAGCGTGTCAAAGATTTGATCATGGCTACGCGTTTCGAAAAACAACGTGTTGCAACTACTCCAGAAGCTATGTTGCCACCCATCCCAAGTCTTTCACAATTGAGACCTTATCCGAGTCATATTGGATTACAATACATGTGAGTTCTCAAAAGTCTAAATGTTACTACTGTCACAAACGTAATCAACCATATTTTCATGAAACACTTCATTTTATCACTGATATTAGCGTTATCCCCATCACAACCACGTGGATACCTGCAGGTTTCCTGTGAGTCACATCTATACTACAAAAAACGGTGATAGCAACAAATTAGTTAATCTTCGCATTTCAGATGTATGTATAGCTTGTCATCGTTGTTAAATAATCGTATTTTTTTAAAGGAATTGGATTTGCAACACGCTTTTTCAATTGTAGTCTAATGAATTACTGAATGTCATATTTATTACCTTCACTTGTCGAAACTTTGGGATCTAGTTGTGGCCCAGACACATTCACCCTTTTTCTTTCCCTGAATCTTGAATTTCAATATTACCCGATATTTTTATTCAGCGGATTTTTCCTTCTTTGTGTTTAATATCTCTAATATAGTCGATACTACTATTATTCCAACCCATTTGCCACTTAATGTGCATCAATTCAATTTTCCACAACACAGCTAGATAAACTTATCAAGACAAATTCCAGAGTAGAAGCCGTGACAGTACTAGTAGTAGTGGAAAGACTAAGTATAAGAAGAAAAAAGATTTTAGGACTTAAGATCTAAGGAAAGACAAAAGTGGACACAGTGCACCATTGTGTAGTGTTTTTAAGCCATATCATCCAACATTTTCAACTGCTGGCTACGAAAATTAGACGGACTTGAACCAGGTCGCCCTTAGCTTTCCTCCAACCTTCTACACCAGACGTCGCCTATCAAGGTTGGCGATGGTTAACCGTAACCGATGACTGATATCCGTAGTAACGAAAGTCAGTACATATACGTAAAAATGATCTTGTGAAGTGCCTACGAATAAAATGCTAGTAATGAAAAGTTAATTGCTAACTCTAGGATCTTACCGTCTTTTAAAAACATTACTATATTTAAAGTAATTAGTCCCTTTGATAAGCTTGGATAGTATAATAAAATTATCAGATCCGTGTTATATTAGCGCAATACATTTTGAAGAATTTGACCACATATACACTTGTTGAGAAAATTTATATATAAAAATAAAGGGTCAACTAGACTAGAAATGAAGGGTTGGAGAAAACAAAGATAATGAAGGAAAACAATGTGAAACTCAACACTCTAGATAATAAACTAATATTACCAAGGTAGGTTTAATGTGAGAACAAACCGTTTTTGAATATATAAGTGGGTTTCGAATTTTCGTATGGCCAAGGCTTCAATAAATCTTAGTATACCATTTTTAGTACTTTTGTACAGCGCCACACAAGCCGTGTTAAGACCAATATTATGACCTGTGTTAACCATGTTTGCGAGAGAGGCCGATTTATGTGTATCATCTACTCTGATTGAGTCATTTGATTTCATTTGTTTTTGTAACTACTTACGTACATGTTCAGACACTAATTTGTAAATCACTATGTATATGTGGCCACACACACAAATGCAAACTGGTAAACACAGTGGAATGTGACACAATCATTTAGGTTTTCACTGAAGCATGGACCTTGTTTTTCAATAAAAAAGGACCTTCGTTACATAGTACGTTTACTTACAACTGATTTGAGCATTCGTTTCAGCATAAGGTCATTTGACTAACCTCTGAACGGTAGGGTAATGTAGACAGGCTTTTTTAACGCCAAAGTGTTGTAGTTCTCACTAGTATTCTTCGACTGAACTGATATCAGTTGACGATAAAAAGTGTCATTCTAATTTTAAAAAAGCATGAACGAGAGTATCCATACAGGAACTGCTGAACAGATAACTGCTTTGGCCTAGCCTAATACTCCACAGTACCTTTTAATGAGAATTCTATATTGTACCAAAATACAATATTGAACAAAGCAATTAATAATAATAATAATGGGCACACACCAACTTCTCCATAGATGACCAGTTAATAAAGTTTAATAACTACAGATCACCTATTTCGACGACACATTATCAATAAAATAAAACAGAAGGAACTAAGTATTTTATTCAACTTAACAAACATTATCCCGTTCCTGAGAAACAAATTAGGTTTATGATAAGTGATAACTTTTATCAACGCTAACTTTCACCTAAAAAACCGTAATAAATCAAAACAACTGTTTCGTTCTGATTTGATGTTATCGCTTCAATTTAAAGTATTTGTTCTCACCATTTACCTACCCTGATAATGTTAATTTATTGTCCAGAGTGATGAGTTTCACATTATTTTCTTTATTATCTTTGTCGTCTCTTGCCCTTCATTTGTCTAGTTGACCTTTAATTTTTATATATAAATGTTCTTAACAAGTATATGTGTGGTCAGATTGTTCGAAATGTATTGCACCAATATAACATAGTTCTGATAATCTTCGTCTTCTTACTACATTATCCAGATTGCTCTATTGTTTTATTCATCGGAATATCTAATTTATAGGTGATAACTAAGTAATCAGTTTAGACTAGTGTGATGATATTTCTTCGGAAAAGACACTAGTGATGATTTATTACACATTAATCCATTGAATTCACTTTTCTATTTGCTTATCTGCTCTTTTACAACTAAGTGGCCATTCAGGACGTGTAACTTCGTTATCAGTTTCGCCATGTGGGCAGTGGCTTGCTAGTGTTTCCCCATCTGATGGTTATTTACGCATATGGGAAACTTCTACAAACTATTGTTTCCGCGTTTATCGTCTTTCCAATCCATGTGTAAAAGAAAAAGTCAAATTAAAACAAAATAACAAGATAGGAGAGTTAAATTATGAAGATTCACAATTGAATAACAATAATGATATTGACGAAGAGGAAACAAACCGTCAGCCGAGTGACGATGAAGAAAACTGGTCTCCATCTTCTCCTTCCGCTAGTGTATCATGGAATCCTAATCCAGAATTACATCTTTTAGCTGCAGCTATGTAAGTAGTGTTTATCATTATTAATGAGAATTTGAACTTACCTGTTGTTGATATTAAGAACTGAATTTCGATTAATCTCTATCCGTATATATGCATTCAGTATGAATTTCCTCGTTTTAACCATTTTGTCATAAGTTTTATCGAATAGATGGATGGTGGCTAAAGGTGGAACCCAGGATGCGGGTTTCATCCTACTAGCAAGTCCTAAATAGAGTAAAATATTGTTGTCCTGGATTCTATGGCTACCCAAAGTCCATCTATCCTACCTATATTTGAATCATTGTAATTTTCTTCCCCCGCTATTTTGGTACTTTAACTCTGCCTCGTAGGTCTATTATTTTTAACTCATTTCTAGAAATAAGGGTATTGAGTCACTTTCATGGTTATTCTCTTCCTAATTTTTTATTAGTATAATAAATCGAACTAGAGACTTGAGAACAAAACTGTATATGTCTATAAATGAAAACTAATATTGTAGTGTGGGTTACTTATATCCACATAAGTAGTATACAACAGTGGTCAGGCATAGAATGTATTTCAGTAGAAGATCGATAAGGAAAGAACGAGAACGGGACGCAATTGGTACGAAAATGCATGAACCGTGAAATCCGAGACATTGGACTAATATTTGAAAAAGGAACAGTGAAGTTTGATATGATGGATTGATATTTTGCACATTAACTATTTACTATATGGTTTTCAGATTTTATTGAGATGCTCTGTAATTTCGTGTCCAATATATTGGATTGCACCACTCGCCTTGTTCACTACAATATGACAAGGACTAGGACTTTCTGTCAGAATTGTAATGTAAGTGTCATTGAAACGTGATATGGATCGATACATGCGAGATAATGAATACTTCTGCGGATAAAAATTTATTCTAAGCCGAGATGGATGATGATTAGCAGTGGAATTCAAAACATGCATTTCATCCGATTTGGGACTCGTCAGCTGGATTTACCTACATCTCAGAGTTGATATTCACTCCAGGATTCAAACCAAGCATTTTGCGCTTCAAATACTATCGCTACTGAGTCCAGATAACCATCGACTTATTCAATGAGGTGAAGTCCCGGAACGAACATCGACTTTGGGATGCAGGTAAATTCAACTGACGGGTCATAAATAGGACGAAACGGGCGTCTTGGACACCACTTCTAACCACCATCTATTTCTGCCTGCAATTCTTGTGACTTGATGGGGGTATCGAGGCAATCTGCAAAAGATGCACATATGCCAAAAAGAGACTGATCAGTTTCAGTCCTAAGCATCGACGGGGGAACTTAAGCAACCAATGTAAATTGATTAGAAATCTACTTTTCTTATCCAAATCCCAAAGAATTTTTTTGACTACACAGACTTACATGCATTAATTATTGGCCAGTTAAGTAAGACACTGTACTGATATAAAACAGAATGTTACACAGAATTTGGTGCTTCTAAAAAAGATTATACTGAATCTAATAGACGAGTTGAATGTTGGGGATGCCAGATCTCCATAAATCACTTGGTAAACTTTTTAATTTTTATCATTTAATTGTGGGAATTTGAATTTCTCATCTTCGTGAGTAAAGAGCCCATTATTACCATCCCTTCGTGTTTTCCACCTGAAAGGACCTTAACGTCATCGGTACGTTTTTCCTCTTAGTGCTCCATTTTATAACGCTTTTCGGGGACATTTTTTGTATTTGTATATATTGCGCATGAACTGAGTACATGTTATTCGTCCTTCTGGGCTGTTCACTGAATTAGATATTTTCCCGACTGAACGTAGTCTTCTTTTTCTAGTTAGCAGGGCTTGGGCTCAGAGGAATAACTTAGCTTTGTCTTGTTATTGAGTTTCTGGTTTTCGTTCCGTTCTCTGATCCAAGATAATATCATAACATCGCGAACATAGCAACGAAACAGTCAATTAATGTACAATGAAGTCTCATACAAAAGATGGAAATGTGTTGCTATTCTGAACAAAAATGGTTCACTGAATAATTACCCGACGTCGCACTTATGTCTTTCCTAACAATTAGAATATGTAAATTGAAGACCAATTGGTAGTTTCTGTCATCGTGGACACCGGCACTATCTGAAGAATTAGTGAAACATAGTTGAAAAGACACTGTGGGGTTGCTTTCGTTTGTTAGCTCACTAGTAACTTACCTCGGAAGTTTCCTGAAGTTTTGGTGTTTAGTCCCAAGTGGTAAATCCCATGTATGTTAGAAGAGAAACAATTGTCAGCAATAGCCTTAGATGGCTGTCCCACTATCTCAAATCAAAGTTTTAATTACACTATTAGACATCGACCTAGTAGTACCTATAGTTCGGCGTTAGCCGTAATACCTGAAGGCCCTGAGTTCGATCTCAAGTGGAATCGTGAGTGAGCACATCATAGGAATTCCATACTGGTACCCCAAATGAGACAAATCTATGACGATGATAAACCACAAATTAGTGAAACTCACAAAGCATGTGTTACTTATGTTTTAGTACTGCCTACCTCATTTTGCGTTTTAATGGTGTAGAAGTAGGTTAGAAGAAAGCTATGGGAATTAAACAAAGGTATACTACCGGTCCATAAAGTCATTGACCATTAGATTACCCCTTGTTAGTAAATGCAAATCATGAATTAGCATCAGTGCGTTAGCTGAAACCAAAGGTTGGAATCTATCAGTGACATTGTTCAAATCCATTCACTTTGTTTTCCTTTAGATTTTGATTTTGAGAATTATCTTATAATGTTTATTCCGTGGATTTATTATTTATTGTGGAATCTTATTGTCTATCTTTAATCATTCCTACTATTGATACTTTTATTTAGCTGTGGTGATTTGCGAAGTTTGATGATAAACATGTCCTAGGTCCTACATTGCTTTTGATTCATTGATTTTGGGATATATTGAATTTGCACAAAATCAACTAAAATTAGAAATATAGTAACACTCATACTCTTTGATTCTACAACTCATGTTAATCCCTTCAGTAATAACATGTCTATGAAAATCTCAATAATAAAAATTTATTAATCCTCAATTCTCAATAATCTTTTGTTGTTATTGCGTCAATTGAAAATCTCATTTGTTTTTTTGACACTACTACTTTCGTGTAACAGTTATGTTAACTTATTTTTTCTAACAATTTATACAATATTTATTATTTTATTCAGTTATTGTTCATTATAAACAAGTTCTCATTTAATCTAATTTAACTTACAGTTTTATCTGTGTTCTGAAACTTGATTGTTATGTAAAAATGCTTCAGTGGATCCATCAAACATTGGCCAGATAATAAACACATTCAGTTGATCAAGTCTTGACTTCCTTTTCTAAGGAATGAGATACTCAATTGATGAAAATGCGGCTTAACTTTCTAAGGGATAAACACATATATGCTTAAAGAGTATGTGTACAGCTTTTTTTATTTCGTTGATCAGTAAAATGCTTCCTTCTCATTCAGTGACTTATTGAGGACGCATATAGGAGGCTAGTTTATCCGTATCAGAATTGGGCGCCACATGTCACAACAAAAAGTTATTATTTACTGTTAATACTATTATTACTATTCTTATCATTCGTGTAAATAATAGCCAACTTTGTTGTTACTCTTTTCACAGTGGCACTCAGCTATTCATCATTAATCCAGCTTTAGGAGATCGTGTTCGTGTGTCACACACTGAAACAAGTCTTTTAAAGTGGTGGTCAGATATGAATGACAATGTAGCCAATATATCTGTCCAGATACCAGATAACAAGGCTGAAGTAAGTATCATTTTTTCCTGCTAACTTATCCATGAATAATGGATCATGGTACAAATACTTAATTCATTTTATTATTCCACACAGGTGCCTGACAATAGCTAAGATGAATAGTCAGTAATCTTGTGGACTAGTGCAATTGTCTTAATCTGATGACTACGTTTGCTTTTGCCACACAACTTGCTCTCAACCTAGCAGTCAGTGGCTTAAACTGTATGTGACTTATGTCGACCGTCGATTTACGAAAATATCTGTTGACTTTATCCAAAATTTCTCCTAAAATTATTATATCATAAATAACTGAGAATATAGTTGGATGCCTGTAACAACTTTGTTAATACAGCTTGATTATTTCATTTTAAATGTTATAAGATTTAGATCAATAATGTGTTGGACTTTGTATGCGATTTAATGGAAAGATGTTTACGACTTCTCATTATATCGTTCACAGTAGTCACGTGGATTTCAATCTTCATGAAATCTAACAAAGAATAATGTGAACAAGATAGTCAAATTCGAAACACGCATTGTCAGCGTTTACATAGCACATCAATAGATAGACAGATTCTTTTTCAAAAGTAGCTTATAATGTGAAACAATACTAACAACTTACAACGTCCCGGTTCACATACCCTATCTTGAGCAATTTCTCTGTCTGAAAAAACTGTAATAGGTGAGGCCGGGTTCATATTCGCAACTTTATGGTTGAAAGCCAAATACTAAAACAACCAAGTCATCCCCTTAATTAATATGACCCGTCTCCGTAGTGATTGTTAAGTCAGTGAAATCCCAAGTATCGGATTGTAAGCATCATTATCGCCTTACTTAATTCAATTTGATCAGTTTAGTAGTATAATTGAATGTACTTTTTTGTAGGATATTGATGATACCGCTGAAACTATTCCAAGCAAACAATTACGATTAGATAATGAAATGAATATCGATGATGAACAATCAGAGATTGAAATGAAAACAATGGCTAAATGGACTATTAAAATACCACCACAGACTATGAATAAAGTGGCAAAATCCAAAACATATGAACGTCATCGGATTATCATCACTGTTACTGATGTAATTCCATTTTTAAATACCATTTTATAATTTGATTACTACTATTTATCCATTCATTCGAAAGTACAATTAAATTCCTAATCAAGAATATCAAACGATTCATCACCTATGTAAGAAGTTCCGCTCGAATTTGAACAAATAGTTACATAACAGTTGGGTACCAAATATATGAAGGACACAAAAAAGAATTATCCTTCTGTTATAAATCGCTTTTCTTACGGTTATGACCCAGCTATTCCTATTGCTTAGTATTCTCGGACACCGATTCACTCGACAAGTCCCCAAATCAGAACACGGTTGAACAGGAAAGAGATTATATTCCAAATAGCAAGTCAGAAGCACAATAAGGAAAAACGTCAGTATATTTATAGTTTTTACATAAGAAGATTCCAGAGTATTCTCCAACTATCGACTAGTGCTGATTGGATAAGAATTAGCCAATCAGCGTGCACCAAAGCAATCATGCATTGAGCATGCTTTAATCTAGTCTATGTCCCGCTAACACCTCCCCTTTGAGCAGATTCGTAGGATCTGGTGCTAGGGTCCAACTGCAACCGAGTGACTGGCCTGTGCTTTCGATTAGTCCATCGTCTAGGCAATAGAGAAGTATCACTCTTTTCTTGCACAGAAACTGACGTGTCTATTCCCGGCGTTTTGATTTCAAAGGTGTCTAGCAGAACATCAAGAGGTAATCGATATTGAATCTTGTTGCTGGCTATCGAAGTTGCTTTCAATTGGTTAGCATGACGTACCCAAACTTCCGAGCCAACTGACACCTCGTAAACCACACTCCCCTTCTTTTTCAAGATCCGACCAGCTGTCCATGTAGGATGTTTCCCACGATAGTCCATAGCAAGCACTTTTTGTCCCACCGTGAACAATCGTCTTTGTGCCCCATGATGTCGGTTAAACTGATTCTCCATCGATAGGTTTCGTTGGGGTTCAATAGCTGGCGTAGGACGGATGACATCGAAATGTGTTCGTATCTTTCTTTTCAGTTTTCCTAGTAACCTATCACCTGTCTTCTTTGGAAGTACTGGGGTGTCCAATGATGAACGTGATACGTTACAGACACTGTTAATTGGTACATCCATTATTCCAAGTTTGTCTAACATATCTAGACCAAGAAGATCAAGGTTCGGCCGTTCTGTTAGGTAACATATTCCTGTACAGTTAGTTCCATTGAAGGAAAATTCACACTGTAATTCACCAACCAGTTTTAGCACACCACCTGATGCGTTTTTAGCCGTTTTCTTAGATGGCTTCATTGGCGGTTTACCCAGCAAGTTATACGTTTCTCTAGACACTAACGTGATATCTGATGCCGTGTCAATTTGAAGACGAGCTGATATGCCGTTTATCTGGATGGTAACATATTTTCTCCGAATGTCATAGTTTGTTTGAAAGGCAGCTACCAGAGAAAGAGATTTCGACTCAGCTGATTTCACATGTCGAGGACGTTTATGCTTCTTCTTAGGCTGAGACGTACGCTTCGGTGGACAATGACCTTCTTTATGTCCACGTTTGTTGCACGCCTGACATTTATGCTTCTTGAACGGACAGAATCGTGCATAATGCCAATCACCGCATAACCAGCATGCAGTCCTTGGTTTGTTACGAGTTGTTACCGGCTTCTGAACTTTTAACCTAGTAATAGTATTTACACTACCGCAGGTTAAATTAGGATTTACCTGTTCAATCAACTCGTTGTCGTGTCTGATGCTTTGTAGACGCTTACACTCATCTGTCAATGTTCTGAGTGTGACGTTTGGGTCTTGATCCAGTCGAGCTAAAAGTCTAGTCCTGATCTCAGCATCTTGTGGTGACTGAAGAGCTTTGATGAATATTAAGCATTTAAATTGGTCATCAGTCAACGAGCGTAACTTGAAACGTTCACATTCTCTGTTGACAATGTCTGCTAGAACACCATATTCATCAGCTTCGCGTTTCACCAAATTTAGACACCGATATCGAATACTAAACAACGAGGATGACTCGCCGAATATCTCTGACAACTGAAATACCGTCTCCTCGAAACTGAGCTCTCGAGGTAACTTTGGCAATATATGGTCAGCAAAACGTGCATGTTCGTTGCTTCCCAACTTACGTACCAACAATCGGGTCTTCCACGCATCGTCTTGATTACAGAATTCTGTTCTAAATGTATCTTCCCAACGTCTGAACCACGTGAGAAAAGTATTTCCATTTTCGGGATCATAGATGAATTCTGGGATGCTGCTAGCAACTGCATCACAAGACGAACTTGAAATAGCGTGTGAACTCGAGCTGTGGATGTTGAGCTGTTGAGTCAGAGTCTCCAACAACCGCATTTGTGCATCAAGTTGTGCTTGCTGTTGTTGTAGTATTCGGTTAAGCTGGTCATCTGATATAGGCATCTTGAATTTGTTTTCCTTTTTCCCCGTCGCCACTGTTATAAATCGCTTTTCTTACGGTTATGACCCAGCTATTCCTATTGCTTAGTATTCTCGGACACCGATTCACTCGACAAGTCCCCAAATCAGAACACGGTTGAACAGGAAAGAGATTATATTCCAAATAGCAAGTCAGAAGCACAATAAGGAAAAACGTCAGTATATTTATAGTTTTTACATAAGAAGATTCCAGAGTATTCTCCAACTATCGACTAGTGCTGATTGGATAAGAATTAGCCAATCAGCGTGCACCAAAGCAATCATGCATTGAGCATGCTTTAATCTAGTCTATGTCCCGCTAACACCTTCTTTATAGAAATTTCAACAATTAACATTAGAAGTTTTTATTTATTTGAACACATAAATATTGATGCAAAGGTGCACCCAATATATGTGCACCACACAAGTCACTTGATTTGTGTGTGGGCTATGATGATACCCGGGTGCTCAAACCGAAGCAAGTGGCTTTCTTAGGGGGCCACACCCAGATCCTTCGACCTAAAGGTCTGATCTACAAGGCATTGGAGTAATGTCATGCAGTTCCATTGTAATCGGTGACCAATAATTGGTTCATACGCCTTTTGTTCCCTCAGGATCCTGGAAGCCATGTGCACGATTAGTTTGGAATCAGGGCTTTCTAACTCCCGTAGATGGGTCCTCCTTTATCCACCGACCTGACTAAAGCGCCGAACATTTGCTTTTCGTCCTCTCAATGTAGTAAACAACAATAACGCCGCGAGAAGGCAGTGAATATGACTTCCCTGGTAATGGCTGTATACGCGCAGCCATGTGAGAGTATTTCGGGAGGGACTCTTCACACCCTCGGTCGTACCAGGGCATTTGGGGACAAAATCAGAAATAACTCCATTTCGCTTGGTATCCTAATTAATTGAACAATAGTTTAGGGCGCAATTGTGTTGTGAACCCTACTTATGTTTGATTATTTCACTGAAAGTGATCAAATTAAAATGTCTATTGAAGCATTAAAGCTATTCTTGGTTTCAATCCCTGAAAATTTGACAAATATAATATCTTTTTAAGTATTTATCCACTGATTTCTATTTTGTACACATAAATTCCAAGAATTTAGTGATTGTATGTTTATTAAAGTGAAGCTTAATTATTTTTTGACTAAATTTAAGTGGGAAAACTACACTCTAGAGCAAGTCACTGTCTCTTTTTTTTCAATATCTAGTGCTTCATATATAAATAGATATAGAAATTTTTATGTTACTGCCCATAGACATAAGTTTTATCTGGGTGTTCACAATTCGCAACGCAGAATTCTATGAGAAATGAAATACACTATATTTCATTTATAAGTGTACATCTTGCTAAATATTGTCTGTGTTTTAATCTTCTATTTGTTTATAGCCTATAATTAGTTTAGATTGGCATCCGAAAGGTGATTATCTACTTACTTTATCTCGTCCAATTCTTTCTTCACATGTTCGTTCACGATCAGCTAAGCGATTATTACTTCATCGTTTATCGAAAATGTCTAGTCAAGCTCCATTCTCTGACACTGGTAAACCAGTAGAATGGAAACAAGCTGGATTTCATCCAACTGGTAAACCCCATTTATTTGTTGCTAGTCCGCGTGCAGTACGTATATATGATTTAGTGGAACAAAAAGAATTACGTTGTTTACGATTGGAAAGTTCATCGAATTTCATCAGTTGCATGGCACTTCATCCATCAGGTTATTTATCATTTAACAATATTATTATCTTTTATCATTCTTATGCTTTAATCATCAAAGCACCATTCTCTAGTGGTTAAGTTTTATTTTAAATCAACATTTATTCCATTGGTATAAAGAGACTTTTGACTAGTGTGTGAATACTTCAAAAGTTGTATGTAGTGACGTATCAAAGTATGCTTAAATCTGCTCGCTATATAATCACGTTATTAAAACTGAAACGTTTTCGTTTAATTTGATCTTACGACTTGGATTTTTGAGCGGATTACAGTTAAAATACTTTCACTTCACGCAATTATGTATAGTTACACTAAGAAAATTCATTGTAATTCACTTTAAAATGAAGAGGCTTATGCATTTAATATTGTTTTTCATCGTTTATGTTTGAGGGCTAGTGATATTTTTGTTAATCATTTTCTTTATAATTATCAATCATCATATTCGTGAATGAGATGGGATATTGCCCAGGCACCCACAAACAAGCGATTTTCTTGTAGATTTACTTCTCGAACCTTTGATCTAGAGGTCCAACTCACAAGACAGTGGAGCAACGTCAAATATAGTCTTTTGGTAACTGGTGTCCAAAATAGGTGCATGCGCCATTCGTTCCCACATGGCCCTGGAGTCTATGCACACCATTGATTTAAAATCAATGTTTCCCAACTCCTAAGTAAACCATCCGTGTCCATCAACCCGGTTCAAGTTCCGGGCATTCGCTTTTCGTCCTTAGACTGCAAGTATGCCTTACTTGACGAATATAAACTAACACAACACCTAGATCTACGGTTTTCTCCTATCTGTCTTCAACTGTCTAACAACTGAAACATGATTTCCCTGTATAAAAAAACAACAGTTTCTTGATTTCTACGCTATAACAATATCTACTCCGTATTCAGTGTTATTGTAGCCTCCATACATGCTGAATTACTTTTTTTCTACTTATAGGAGATCATTTAGTTGTTGGTAGTTATGATAGTCGTTTTAATTGGTTCGATATCGAATTGGGTAATGTCCCGTTCAAAAAGTTACAGTGAGTTTATTTAATGATTTAGTCAAGTATTGATTTCAGTTTAAATTGATTCATTCACCAGGTAAACTTAGATGTGAGTCACATCTCATGTATGGGGGTCAATGATACTACCCACCTTTTCGAACTAAAGTTCATAGAACTGAGTTCGAACGAGGGTCTAAAAGTCAAAAACCTTAACTACTAGATAACCGTTCCACGACTTAAATATATCATATATGTCATTACTGATTTCTTAATCAGTCGTTGTGAGGGAATCTATTTTCTGGGTGTATGTTGAACGGTTTTTAAAATTTAAAAGATTCACTATAATAACAGAACTCAACTAACTGTACAATACGGATTTTCGTTTTCATCTTTAAACCAAATTTCTGGTCTAGGCTACTGATAATCGTAGTAGTTAGTGCTGAGCTCTTGAACTGAACGGTTTTAAATCGAATAAATTGAAAAATAAACCGTCACTCCTACTTTCATTCCTATTGTCAACAAACAATGCTTTTGTGAAGCCATGCATGAAGTCCATTCAAATACTTCAAGCCGTTGTTTAGGCTGTCACCACTAATTAAACGTTGGTCTACACTACACTCAAACAGGACATCAGATTTTTTCTTGTAATGGTCCTTAGTATATGTGGTTTTGTGCAGATTGTGGAATTCTCAGGATTTGAATCACGAAATTATCTTGGCTATTTAAGCATTGGAAACTTTGAAGTACTGGTCGGTCATTTCGTTTTTGTACTAGACTACTTAGCAATATGCGTCCACGACCATGCAACGGGGAATCGGACACGACTCTTGATCTCGTGCGCGAACGCTTGACTTCTAAACCACCACGTCAGCGGTGTATATGTCTAACTGCAGTCAATTCATGACATTGCACAACCCTCATATATTGCCTGTAGTACATAAGTGCCATGTACTCAACATTGTTGAAGTCCACTGGCCTCAGCTTTTAAGAACTTCAAGGATTGTATCTTAATGCTCCATTTTTTTGTTTGGCATGAAATCGAAATATCGTGATATGCTCTAAATTATCAACACAACCCATATCATTATTTAGTAGGGTTTAAATTATCCCGTTGTTAATATTATTGTCTAAATTTCGGCCACTCCTTGTGCCATATAATCATGTGTAGTGACTTATTCTATTTCATTGTGATTATTGACTCATTGCCTTGATTGGTTTAACATTTTCGTATAAATATTCATGTATATTAGAGTAAAGCCTGATGACGATCTAATTGAAAACAATTGTTCGCTTATATGTGTTGTTTCATATAATCATCCCAACTTTTTATTGTATGCGTGTTCAAGCAGGATTTTGCGTAATTTATTCACTGACCTCTTAGAAAGCGTCGTTTTTCGTCCTTCTTAAACTAAATACTATTCATGTTAAGGTGACAAATTCTACGTCCATCACACATGTAGCGCATTACGGTTAAACATTAAAGTCTACAGCTGTTCTATGATATGTAGTCGGTTACTCGTCCTGTAGAAATCTAAGTCTAAATTAAAACAAGAAATCTTATCGCTCACATGTTCAATGACTAAACCTATCCTATTATAAAGGTCATATTTATCGTATTTGTTCTCACCACCTGGATGTTCTAACCCTTCACATTAGATGTTGTGCGATTCGCACTACTGCATATGCTTTAATATAGATATCGTTATCTTTCACTTGTAATGCATAGATTTGTGGAATTAATAAATTATTATTTTTTAGGCTTAATCATGGCGCTGTTAGACAGTTAGCAGTCCATTACCGTCGTCCATTAGTTTCTGTAGCATTGAGTGATGGTACGATTCTCATAATTCATGGAAAAGTAATCGAGTAAGTGAAAACATCTGTGTACCAAACACACAGAAATCATTTGTTTTGTTTTATAAATACTCTGCTGTATTTATTCATGCATGAATGTTAAAAACATTGAGTTAAACTCTATCTTCCTAATGAATAGATAAGTGATCTTAATTGCAAGATTGAATTTCCTATATTAGATGCTCTTCAGAAACACAAAGTCGCCGAACACTCAACTCGGTAACGCTAGGTATTACAAGCATAACAGCGGAATCGCTCTCACCGACACACCATAAACTCGACTAACACCACGACGGTGTCAGAGGTGACCTAGATTAGCATCAGCTGTTTTGGTTTTCACTCTACCAGCAACATTAACAAAACGATCCAGAAACACAAATGTTTCAACCACTAATGGCTCACCCGAAAGAGTGCAGTCACAGGCTCCCTCTAGTCTTGTAAAAGTACTTGTTCATCTACAAGGTGCAAATTACATCTCATACTTCTGGGCACTGAGTTTTAACTAATTAGTTGCAAACTGCATAACTTGGGCATCGTCGCATATTAAAACGATCCCATCCCATTATCAAGATTGCAAAGTCGCTCTCCAAGCAACAGGTCTACACCACCACCACCACTTCATTCAGAGCTGTCTCCAGAATGTCATCGATGACAAATTTGAGGAGGATTGGTAAGGTAATGCAACCTTGCGTAACACCACTGCTGAATTAGAACAATACAGAGGTGGTTGGATCGCCTCATTGTCTCCAAGGTGTTTATGTACAGAGCCTTCAAGAGATTGATAAACTCTTCAGGTACATTCTCCTTGAACAGACAACCACAAAGCATATTCCTGTTTCAAAGGCAGTCGTAATGTCAAGAAATATAATAATAGTCTGGGGTAAAAATGGTGATGCTTTAATATTTGATGGAGGGTAAATATCTGGTCTAAAACTATCATGCTTTTCAAAAGTTCTGCATAATTGGCGAATACCAAGTATATTTAATATAGATACATATGATGTATGATCAAACAAGTCTCATTTAATTACTTAGTTATGATTATATTGTTTTTCTTCTCATATATTGACAAACACTGATTGCTTTGATCCGTTATTTCTCCCCTCATCTCCTCTAAAAATAAATTGTAGTGATCTATTATCAAACCAGTTGTTATACCAGTTCAATTAATTCGTACTGGACAACCAACAAGTCATTCGAATGTATTTTCCACTGTGTTTCATCCACGTCAACCACATGTATACAGTGGTGGAGAAGATGGCAGTGTTAAACAATTTGTTGCATGGAAATGACACTTTGATTAAATCTATTATGATGAATTACTTTGTATTCTCATAGTTTGAATCTGTAATTTTTTTCTTATTCTTGTATATATATGTATAAATAGAGATATATAGAAAAGAAGTGTGGATAAACACTTTGTTTTAAAGGGAATGAAAATAAAACAGTGGTGATATAAAATGAAATTTTTATAACCAATTTTCAAACACGTATAATGTAATCTTTAAATGTAAATTTCTGATAAACAAAAGTGCATCATATTGTGGCTTTATACCCCTAGCTGCTTAATTTAGCATAATACATTAAAGAAATTGATGATGACTAGTTAATAACTTAAGTTCTAGATGATGTCCAACCACACATGGTTATACAATAATCAACGACCTTATAGATAGATGTTATGTCTTGTTTACCTAGCATATCAAGGCAAATGGTGATAAGCACCTTGGGGCCAAGTAATCTGATTATTATTCTCGGATCAATCTTAATTAACGTTATTTTTGTGAGACGATACACTATTAATTTGTGATTTTTTTCTCGGAAAACATACCATTTTGTTTTACATCAACACAACAATATCTTATTCCTAATCTCTCAAACACAAACTGTCAAAAAGGGGTATTGTAGTGGTATTGGTTCTCAAACGCATAATCCTTGATGGCAAATGTACGATAACTGAGATTTGCATTCAACACTTAACACCATAGATGTCAGAAATTGTAAACGTTTGAACACGTAGTACGGCATAGCTCACCCGCCTAGGTGTGGTCACTATGTGGCTTATTGCTTTTCATATTAAATACATTACCTTATCCCCCAGCCCAACTATGTTCTTCAGAAGTGCTAAACATCATATTGCTGACCATCACGATAGGATGACTTAGTAAGGACAATAGTGTGATTCTGCAGTTCGCACTGACCTAGACAATAATCCTACGATATTACCCACCTTTTCAATCAAAATGAAACAATAATATCAAGTTATTATTTGAAATATGGAGAATATTTTACCTGTACGACAGATCGTTTGAACAATATATTAAAGGTGTATATTAAAAAAGATTATTACAACTTGTTCATATCACAGCCACATATACGTCTGCATTTTATTGTTGAAAAAATACGACAAAACAAAAAGCATCACAATATATAACGAAGTAATTAAAATAGGGAACGAAACAACGATTGATACAATGATGAAATCAAGAAAATAGCAGTAGAAATCCACACTTTATTCCAAATAGGATAAAAGGCAAAATAAAGCATGTGGAGAACTCGAGACACAAATAGTAACACCTAGGAAATGTACAATGACTCAAGTAAAGCAGAAAAATCATCTCTGAAGTATGCTGTTATGTATGAGGAGTGAGAGAGAGAGAAACAAGAAAAGGTGGTGGTAGTAGTAGTGAGGAAAGCGCTTGTCGCAGTTTAGAGTTACTGATATTACTTCGTCAGTTTCACTTCATTCCATAACTGTGCGAATAGTCCATGTCTAAAATTAAATAAACATTGCACAAGAATAATACATTTTACGTAGAGTAAATATGTAATTGTGTTTTCCTTGCCTGACTTGTTTTAAACGTCATACACAAAGAAAAAAGCGCTGACAACAAGTTTTTTGTTCAATGATAAATAATATGTATAAATACCAACTGCCCAATTTAAAACCTTAAAAATATGTAATACACTCAAATATGTACATAAGAATAATACCAATCCATAGGCTTTGAAGTAAATAAAAGAATTTGACAAGACACTTATTGGTACTATAACACAAAGAAAATAATATACCCGTGTATGATTCTACTAACAGTTCAAAACAAATCACTAATAATAGCAATAATGGTTATTGAAGTAAACATTTAAGTTATCAGTGTGTTTTATTATTATAATTAAGAAAAACGATGAAGTTATATTATTCATAATTATTTGATTAGGACACACATTTTTACAACTTACCCTATATTAATTTGTGCTATAGTTAAACGATATTGAAATCAATGTTTAAACACAAAGTTTCATTCGAGAAAGTTCATTTTCCATTGAAGTAACTATAGTCAGTATTAATGCAACTTCTTTTTTTTTTGAATACCAAGAACAAAGATTAATGTAGTTGACTTTAAACAAGTGACTCAAACTAAAGTAGTAGATGAGGCTTGGTCATGATGTTTTCAAGGTTAATGGTCTTAATTCACTCATCATTTTGGATTGATATTCTGAAGGAAATGACTTGATTTCTTTTATATTCTATTGATAGATGAAGATAGTTTGGTTGATATTAGAATGATAAGTGCGATTAGATTTTGGAGACATGACTCAGAATCGTTCATAATGGTACAACTATGTATCTACTCCTTTATCTTGAATTCTGGTATTTTTCCACATATACCTTTATAGTTTAACTTTTCGAGTCAAGTTATCAATGTTTAATCTTCTTTTTTCGTCATAAACATATTATTTCGACCTTTTATTATTCACCTTATTACTTTCATCTTGTCATGATAATACGGCATGGCAATTTGAGCCAACTCACATCCGTACGAGCCTCTATGTTGATTATGTCTGTCTGTAATTATTGATAATTTATATCACCATATGTTTCCCTGCCATTGCTTGATACCATCTTTCTGATAACTCTACACACGAGAAGTTTACAGCTTCATGCATACAACACTAGATTGGTACCCAATGTTCTTTGGATCAATGTCACCAACTGATATATCAATCCTTAGTTTACGTTTAACCCTATTTTAACTATTTATCAGGTAAATCTTCCGTATCTATGATTATATATTTTAATATTATGTTAATTTCATTCGCCCCCAAATGCCCTGGTACGGCCGAGAGTGGGGAGAGGCGCTCTCCCTCTCCAAATGCTCTCACATGGCCACGCGTATATAGACTCTGCCAGGGAAGTCCTACTCACTGCCTTCTCGTGGCGGGGGTGTTATTTACAAAAATGAGAGGACGAAAAGCGAATGTCCGGCGCTTTAACAGGATCCCGAACCAATGGTGTACATGGGCTCCAGTATCCTGAGGGAACAAATGGCGTATGAACCAATCATCAGTCACCGGCTACCATGGGACTGCATCTCCATACGATGCTCCACTGCCTTGTGGGTCAGACCTTTAGGTCAAAGGCTCGGGGTTTGGCCCCCTAAGATAACCACCTGCTTCGGTTTGGGCACTCAGGCAGTATCACAGCCCTCACACATATCGAATAAGATTTGTGTGGCGCATATGTATTTGCTGCCTTCTTGTACCAATATCTATGTGTTAAAATAAAATAATAATAAAATGCTTGTATCACGCCTAAAGCGAGGCTTTTTTTCAACATGGAAATATTTAGACTTTCAGTGAATTAAACTTGCACTAGTATTGTTCTATTCACTATTTAGATTTTAAAACACACCACTGAATTCCGCTTCAGGAGTCTAGAGATTAAGCATTTGTGCAAGACAAAAGATTGGGATAGAATAATGTGAGGTCGTGGATAAGCATCGATGAGGAATCCCAAACTACGATGATACGGCCTTCCAGCGCTTCTAGGTGTTCAATGGTTGTCTACCTCAGGTCGAATCGTGATCTCGATAAAATTCGACAACCTTCACAACCCGATATTGATGAAAATAGCACCAGTCAGAGAATATGCACCTTTGAAAGTCCCATATCTTAATCAATACAGATTCACAAACTTATCTTTTAATGAATCTGCCTGAATTGCAACAGAACACTTAACATCATTCAATTATTCATATCAGAAGCATTTATATGATACGAAATAGGTATACATGATGATGCTATACTACAATGCTTTTATGTATAGAATACATAGATTATTGATGATTACAGTCAAGTTATGGAGAAAGACGATCCTATACAGTTAAATGTTAAACAATAACTCATATCTTTTCCCCACTATCTTTGTATGCCACCACTTGGTTTCATACTAGTACTAATGTCGATATTTCTGTAGGAAATTTTCAGGTTCAGTTAGTGACTGATTCACTGCTACGTGATCTGAAGTTTCATTCGATCGGTATGGCCCCAAATGCCCTGGTACGATCAAGAGTGGAGAGAGTCAGCTTTCCCTCTCGAAATGCTCTCACATGGCCACGCGTATATAGACTCCTCCAGGGAAGTCCTACTCACTGCCTCCTCGTGGCGAGGGTGTTGTTCACGAAATCGGAAGGCGAACATCTGGCACTTTAACCGGGTTGGTGAACACGGAGAGTCCACCTAGAGGAGTTGGAAAACCCTGATTCCAAACCAATGGTGTACATGGGCTCCAGTATCCTGAAGTAACAAACAGCGTATAAACCAATTGTTGGTCACCTGCTACCATGGGACTGCATCTCTTGACGTTGCTCCACTGCCTTGTGGATCAGACCTTCAGGTCGAAGGCTCTGGGTGTGGCCCCCTAAGAGAACCACCTGCTTCGGTTTGGGTAGTATCACAGCTCTCAAACAAATCAAATGAGATTTGTGTGGCGCATATGTATCTGGTGCCCTCTTGTACCAATATCTACGTGTTCAAATAAATAAATAATAAAATTGGACCGGCATCAACTATTTAGTTATTTTTTCATTTTAATTTTCGACCGCCTAGAAATGTATGTATGAAGAATTGGACCCATACTCGAAGCTAGAAATCACTAGGGTTAGTTTAGTGACACAGTTTCAATAAGAACAGAAAATATAAGATGACAGGTTTCTAAAAGACCAATAAATCACAATTAGATGTTTATTCATTTCGTATTTAAGGATAGGATACAATATAAAACTGAGACTGACCTTGCTTTTTTGATCTTCATAAGAAAGTACTTTACGTGTTTGATCTGCATTGAAACGCATTAGCGAGCATAGAACTTTTGACAATGTCTACATTTGAAAATAAATTTGGAGAAAAAAAAACATCACTAAAACATAGTAATTATTTAGAATACCAAAACACAAACAAATAATTGGTCAATGTGACACAACAAAATGCACACAATAGAGAATTTTTATGACGAACAATGAAATCAAAATACCATAGTACATTTTAAAAAACGAAGATAGAAACACAACCAAAATGGACTTCACTACTCTTAAAAGAGTAATCTGTTGTTTGTTTTTTTAAAAAAATACCCAGAAAATAAACTAAAACCCCTTGCGGACGATGGTGTGTGTGTGAACATCTTGAACCAGTGGAGTTGTATAAACTCAGAATCTAAGTAGGTTTTATCAATAACTAGATAATAATCCAGTGATACAAATAAATTTCAATTTAGTACATAAATTTGTTATATCCTAGTGAAGATTAAATTACGGGTAACTTCCAAGGACTGTTAATAGACTAATATTCTATAAATATTCTTATTGTATAATTATTCAATAATTAGATTATGTATATTTATATCCCTCTCATTATAAGCTTTATTTTGACCGATAATTTATTATTATACGATTTTACTGTCCCTAAATTATGCTCAGTATATTAACTACTACCTCCCACGTTCACAGCCACTTTTTGGCTTTATTGTGTACAAATATTATTTCCTATTTTGTGGCGCTTTGCGGTCTGTTTGTTGGATCTATAAACCCAGTATGTCTGAAATAAATTATTCGATTCGCATATTGGAAGCTGGTATTTGGTGTTCCGGACTCAGGTGGACGGGGCTAGGAGCACATAGGACCAATAAGGATGCTAGGCTGCCCATACTGATCGAATGTCATTGGTTTGGCACAGTGCGAAGATTGTGTAAGTCGTATTTTGATTGGTGGATAAATCACGTGATAAAAAGCCAGACATAAAGTCATAACAAAATTCACACAAAAACTAACATTTCAGTGTTTTAATAATTAATGTTAAAAATTAAACATCTTCACAATGGTGACAAAATTGTTCACTTTCAATTAAACCGTAGGAAATACTGACAGATGTTTTTTACATTTGAACCTAACTATTTTTAATATACAGTTGTAGAGATCGTTGGATTTTGTAGAAATCATGAACCTATACTAGGAAAAAACAGTCAACCAATGCTCCCAGGTTTCCAATGGTGATCCAACATAGATCGGTTGATGATTTCAATGAAAATAGATATATTAGTAATTAAGTTTCATTGGGAAACATCAAGATAACGACTCTTTTAATAGGTTTATTGAAACTGTCGGATAAACACAGTACAGTACTGACTGACGTTAAACAAATAATTCATGTTAATTGGATTAGCAAAGCACTAAAAATGATGTATTTCGCTTGGTCTTATTTTAGGAAAAAAGGATGGTCCCTCGGCCCTCCCCCACCAATGCAACAACTTGAAGTAATTGGACAGAGATAAAAAAGATATTATATATATATATATATATAGCAATAAATAACTTCACAAACTTGAGTTTCACGTCCTTGCATATACTCGAAGAGAACATTTTTCAAATACTGGAAAGTAAACATGAAAACCACAACAATGAGCAATTGAATAAATAAACACTTGTTAAGACAAATTTTCTCGGATAGATTTAATGAAAGAGAAAAAAAACAACTATTCACAGTAACTGAAGTATGATGAAATTAAGTTTGAATTAATGATTAATAAATTTAGCGGTTTAAACTATTAAATTTCAATTACATAGTTAATTAGACTAATGATGAATTAACAAAGTCAACTGTTTATTGGTAATTATCTGCTAAGGATATAATGCTTTAGCATCATGAACTCTCGAAACACTACATGAAATACTGGACACAGCTACTCATACTCATTAACCACTGAAGATTAACTAATGTTACGCTTATCTGGTTCTTATTACTGGTTGAATCCCATCGATCGAGTTAAAATATGATTGGATGTCAAATGAATGCATGCTGTCGATAGGAAAGCATGTACCTACAGTTTAAACTAGTTAGCACTCGAACAATAGTCACAGTACCATAGATATTGTTGAATATACATCTTGCTGATGAGTGTTAGTTAGTACGAAACCCAGGTCGATGGTTTATTGCCGACTGATTCCAACCACTTAATACTTGATAACAAGAAGTACTCATAATGTTTAACTATATCACTCTGATCAGTAGGATGATATATAAGACAATAATAGAAAAAGATAATGATAATAATGAAAAAGAGAAACAGAAATGATTTATTGCTTGAGTCAGCCACTAAAAATTCATTTACACTGCCATCGACTTCCAAGCTCGAAACCCGTTCTACTTCAGTCAGTTGCCATCATTTGTCATCACATAAACAAGAGACGCGCTCAAAGCTAACAAAACGAATCTGAGCTTAAATTTCATCTTAAAATATCATTATTATGCGATAGGCATTTTAAGGTAGCTTGGGCATGTGCTACAGCAAGCAACTTTGACCATAATCTATTGCTTTGATACAGTGATCAGGGATGACTATTTTAATAGTTGATTATAGCTATGATGATTAGAGGTTTTTTATGTCACACATTTTGGTTAGAGACTGGCACGATTAAAAGCAATGCGCATAAATACCAAAAGCAAAGTCATATTGAGGTGTGGTGACAGTATAGAAGTTCCTCAGGATAATTAGAATCTCTAGAGATGCTATCTTCTTATAACGTCAAGAAATTAGGAAGAAAGTCGACCTCAAGAATGACGCAGTTTAACTTGGTCTAGTGATTTTAACCATTAGTAGTAAGGTATAAAATTTGCAAGGTCAATACATCAAAGATCGACTATGACTGTTGATTTTAGACAATTAGACCACTAGTAACCCAGATTTGTTTTCAGGTACCATGTGAAGAAATATCCTTCGAATCGGATAACTAACAAGGAAGTTTCAACCGTTTATATAACCATAACAACATTATAGCTCACTTGACCAGCCTAAATAATTAATTGGAAAAATGATAAAAACAAATGACAACTTCTAATGACAGTTGAACGAGAAGAGATGACGATTTCTGAAGTGATTTAAACAAAAAGTAACCTGTTAAAAGATTGGTAGTAAATTAATAAGTGAATCAATGAAGCCTATACGAAGATTAAAAAAGGACGTTTTATTTTGTTTCCTTCCAAAGAAAAATCAATACACTTACTTCATATTCAACTAACTCATGTAAACGATTATCACTTGGGCTAGTCAGCAAAACATGTTGATAATCAGGTGGAATTGAATTAAACGATAAACTAGAATTGTTTAATTTAACTGTACTATCCACTGCATGAACATGCAATGATTCAAATAAGGAATGTTTATTACTGGCACTACTGCATGCAGCTGTACATTTAGATTGTAATGCTTCAAAATCGGCAGAAAGTTGTTGTAATTGATTCTAGGTAGAAAATGAAGAGAGAAAAAAACAAACAAAAAAAGTATTATCTTTGTGCAGGTAACTCTTTTTCGTTGCGAAACCAGTATTTACTGATGGTATTTGAAAATCAACGAGCTATGGACACATCTGTTATTTATGCTGTTTCCTAAATTTGGAACATAGGAAGTACAACATCCATACGAAATCGATACTCTCAGGTCTCACGAAGAACACAGCTAATTTAGTTTTTTTTAAAAATCCACAACAAATAGTTCATAAATTCCAAGTTCAATCATTCTATAAAACCAAGTGATCCCATCACCAACGTAATAATGATAATTATAAACAGACACGTTATTCATTGTCGCAGGCTTGCTTGCAACAAGGAAATTCTACCATAACAAACAGAGAATCGTATTATATTCCACTTTAACATTTTTTAATTGTAAATATATTAATCCATTGATATTATTTATTTATTTGAACACGTAGATATTGGTACAAGAGGGCACCAGATACATATGCGCCACACAAATCTCATTTGATTTGCTTGAGAGCTGTGATACTGCCCAGGTGCCCAAACCGAAGCAGGTGGTTATCTTAGGGGGCCACACCCAGAGCCTTCGACCTAAAGGTCTGATCCACAGGGCAGTGGAGCAACGTCAGGAGATGCAGTCCCATGGTAGCAGGTGACCAACAATTGGTTTATACGCCGTTTGTTCCCTCAGGATACTGGAGCCCATGTGCACCATTGGTTTGGAATCAGGGTTTTCCAACTCCTCTAGGTGGACTCTCCGTGTTCACCAAACCGGTTAAAGTGCCGGATATTGGCTTTTCGACCTTCTGATTTCGTAACCAGCACCCCCGCCACAAGGAGGCAGTGAGTAGGACTTCCCTGGAGGAGTCTATATACGCGTGGCCATGTGGGAGCATTTCGTGAGGGAAAGCTGACTCTCCCAACTCTCGGCCGTATCAGGTCATTTGGGGGCTGTCATTTATTTTTATTTACAAACTATTTTCAGCAAGTATCTTCCCCTATCCATTTTTATCGCATAAATGATAAGTCTTGTTACTGATTGCTTAGGCATTGGGATTTCTAACGATTTATTCGTAGTGCCAAGAAATTTACTTTGAACTCTGAATAGAGAATAAACAACGATATATATGGAAGGAACTTTACTTCAGAATTTATATGTTCATGAACATAAAACGAGGGTATTTATAGTGTTTCACGTGATTCCAGAAGTTTCTAGAAAATAAGTTAAACTTGATAACAGAATCTGTAAATATCTAGTCAGATAATAATAAAATACTCTGTTGTCTCTTAGAGTTATCTTGGCGACTTCCAAAAAGCGCTGATTTTTCAAAGTATTTTTAGCATTTTCTAGATTTTTTAAGACTTCTTCTAGGAATTATCAAGGGTTCCTAATAAAAAATATATCTGACGTACGAATTTCAATGTCATCTTCATTTGTTTTACTGAAGGACAAACGTCAAAGTAAATATACCAACAACCATGGTGTTTTCGGATCAATTTCAAAATATTCAACTTCGCAAGAGCAATGTTGTAACGTTTTGTTCTATTCGAGACAAATATTCGATTGCATAATCAGTAGAAAAAAGCCAAAGAGGCAACATTGTGAAAAAAATTATCAAATCAAAATCATACGAAATCCAATCGTTCTGGATCATGCAGATACCTTGTACAAATGCATATATACGTTATGCCCATTATTTATTACCCCAATAGTACTGACTAAATAAAGCTATCATTTGTATTTATACAATAAGTTGGAGATATACATATTTCCTCAGCTATAATCTAATACTATATCAGAATAAAAAATAAACTTACTTGAAGATCTGTATTGTGTAATTGAAGCGCTTCATAATCACGTATAGGAACCGAAGTAGGATATCGAGATTGGCGAAATGCTGGGTGTCTATAAGGAAAAAACAGGTGAGTAAAACGAAACGAATGCCATAATATTTTTTGATGCTAATTTTCCAGTTTTACTTTATGTGTATTAAAGGTCTTTTCATGGACTTCAACCAGTTAGACAAATATTTAACACTAAGAAGCAGTAGATGATAATTGAGTTGACATGTTTAAGGAACACATTAACAAAGTATAAGCACTACATATCAAAGAATGGGAACTCAGAGTCTTCAGGTAACTCATGCTGCCTACCAATTAAACCACTGAGCTAGTCATTCAATCACAAGCAACGCAGAACCAGGCAACTATGAGAATCACCACAAAATGTTACACTACATAAGCGACAGTGTCAGAGATAGTAGGAAACATTCAGCGTAAACAATATAATTCCGCGAGAAAAATTAATTTATGGAATAAAACGTTTATGATAACTTAAAAATCACAAGTCGATTTAAGCTAGACCACCACTAAGAACCTGAAAGTACTGCATGGGCGTTTCGTCCTAGTATTGAACTCCTTAGTACTGCGTGTCCACGAACCTACAAGCGAAACTCGAACCTAGGACCTTCGGTTTCGCGTGTGAACCCTTAACCTCTAAACCAACCTACGTATTAAATACAACAAAGATAGTAACATTGAAATTCAATTTTTCCAACTTACAAAGAATCAATAGAATCTGACTGAAGTATTTCTTGACGTACTCTTTCAATCCAATCATCACACTCATCATTTGACTGTAGATGAGTATTATTATTTACTTCAGAACATAATTCAGTTGATGACACGGTTCCATTCTCATGATTACAAATCTAAAGAACAAATATAAAAAGAAATTAGTTGGAGTACCACTGGACGCCAAAACCACTCGGCAGTTTCGCTTTATCCCGGTCTCGAGCTCCTTAACGGTATCCATCTACAACCTCATCAGTAATCCAACTCAGGACAGAACGCTAAGATAATAGAACCAAAGTGATCGTCTGCATCTAATGGTATATTTTAAGCTTCAACCAATTAACAACATAGAATGATGATTATTCAAAGCCACTAGTGATGACCATTCCACTCCCGACATGTCGAACATCAATCGAAACTTCTCACTTAGAACTTTAAAGACATTTTGAAGTATACCCACTGGTGAGCTAAATACTATAAATTACTTGAAGGGATAGTACTACCAATCGGTAAAATCATTAATTATTCAAAAAAGATATTTAAAAAATCCAAACAAAACCTACATTATTATTATTAGTAGTGTTAATAAGTGAATTGTTTTCATTGAGTTTTATATTACATTGTACATTGACATCATGACGAGAAACAATTGGTTGGGTTGATGTTTTAACAGGTGTATCGACCACTTTAATGGGTTCATATTTAGCTTCAACGGTATTATTATTTTCTGTTAAACGCTTGAAATATATGTAGAAGATAACATTTGACAATTTAATATTTTTTTAAAAACAGAAATAATGTAATTCATAAAAAGAACACGAAAAGGACTCTTTTTTTCGAAGTACAAATTATATAGGAGCTGAAAATGACATTGAAAAAAACACAGTCTGTTGAATATGGATATGTCTGAGAAATTTACTAAATATGTTGAAAGCTCTGTACGCAAACACGTCAGAAAAACTAAAAGGATAACAATCATTTCTTGACATTTCAGCTAAGCAGTAGGCTTAGGCAGGGTTTCCCAAATCTGAGTACCATTCCTCTTTAATTTTCTCACCGATAACATTCTGAAGACGGCTTGGAATGAAATTAAATGATAATGGTGGTGTAGATTTGTTACCTGGAGAAAGGTTTTTCAATTTTGGGGATAGAGATGACATTGTCTTACTGTGCGATGATACGCAAGCTATGTAAATCGCACTTAATCAGCTGGCAATTACTGACCGTAACTATCACGTGTAATTCGTTTTTTAATGACAAATACTTCTAAAAGTATGCATCCACTTTTTTGGTATCATATTTCACTAGAATATAAACGTGTACTAAATAAATAGATTAAATTAAAGAGTAAACTGTTGAGTTGATGAAGTAAAATTCAACACCTTGAAGTCCATTACCAGAGTCATTCAATTATCATAAGCAATGTAGAACCTGACAAATGTATGTGCATCAACCCAAGTTACTAAGCCATGTTTTAACCCAGCAAGATGAAGTTATCGAGACAAATATCCAAGTAGTAGAAGTAGTAATAATACCAGAGGTAATAGAAAATGAGGCAAAGACAATATAATTCAGGAAAAAAAATGAGTTTACAGAATAGAAAGTATAAAGCAACTTAAAAACAGAAGATCCATAGTAAGACAAGAATGAGTGTGCTTCGCAATTGAGACAGATTTCCAGCAGTATCACTGAAATTCTTCAATCACTGATCATGAAATTCGTATGGACTCCAACCAGATAGTAGTATTGTTAAAAGCCAATACTGTCAAAGGCATGCGTTTTATGTGTTAACAGTGCGTGAACGTATGAAGGTCTTTATTGTATAAAGATATTTAAATTGAGTTACAAAATAAGACGATGAATTTATCTAATAGTACACACAATGTGATTAGCTGAATATTTACTGTCGAATACAGTAAAAAAATGCCCTGGTACGGCCGAGGGTGAGAAAAGTCCGCTCTCCCTCTCGAAATGCTTGCATATGGCCACACTTATACAGCCACTCCTAGGGAAGTCCTACTGCCTCATGGACGATGTATTGTTTAAGAAACTGAGGAGAAGAGAAGTGAATGTTTGGCGCTTAAATCGAGTTTGGGGTACAGACCATCCACTTACGAGAGTTGGAAAACCCTGATTTCAAACTAACGGTGCACGTGAGTTAAAGGATCGTAAGAGGACAAATGGCATATGAACATATTCTTGATCATTGGCCAACATGGGACCGCACCCCCTAACATCGCTCCACCTTCTCCTAGTGGATTAGATTTCTAAGTCAAAAGCTCAGAGAGTAAAACCCTCAGAAAACCACCTGTTTCGGCTTGGGCACCGAGCAGTATCCTAGCCCACGTACAAATCAAGTGATGACTACTGCTAAAAAATTTGGGTGTCTTGTGTGAGCCATACTCAAAATGGAAACTGTAGGTGACCTATTTGAAACTTTCTGGTAACATGACTCAAAGTCGTTCACAGTGATATGGATGATTTTACTCTTCATCTTGAATCCCCTTCACACATATCTTTCCACTTTGTTTTCATAAACCACATTCTCAATATTTAGTCCTTCTTCTTATCAATGCTACAGCATTATTTCGATCTCTTTAGTTATTTCCAGCTCGTTGTGCTAATGTGGTAAGGCGACTTGAGTCAACGTACATCTGTACCAGACTTTATGTTGATGACAGCTGTGTCTGTTTGACAATCTATTTTCAACTAGTAACTATTGTGAACGTAGTCATCATTAATGTATCCTCAAACGTGATGTTTTCTCCCACTCCTCAAGCTGTAATGAACATAACATTTTATTCAGCTATTGACACTTTTCACTAGGGGCTTAACTGAGTTTCAACCCTTCCTTAATGCATGTCAAACTTATTCCATTGATATAGACGAATATTCACTAAACTGACGGTCATAAAAATAGTGAGTACAAACAGAGGGTGACGACACTAGATTTTTACAAAGCCCCTACAACTTTTTGATGCTAATCAGTGCAATTCATTGTATAGTGAGTACAATGTACACATAGGTCTTTACAGTGTAAAATTTCACAGTGATTATGCAAAGGTACTGTAATGTCTGGTTGACAAAATGTGAAACTATTGTAAAGGTAGTGACTATGTATCTGTTCTGTTTTTGAACGCAGATAAATGTGAAGTTTTTATCGAAAATAGTTAATACAAATGAATAGTGAATCATGTTATAGGTTGTTCATATAATTCGAATTACCAATTACACCTAGGACCAAGAGCATTCGACATTCAGGGGAGTAACATTGAATTCTCATTTTAAAAAATAAGTCATTTTTACTACAAACATTTTAGTTATTAAACTGGATAATGATAAAATTAAATACTACCAACTCACTTTTAACTCCGATTGTAATTCAATAATACGATTCTTAAGTCTTGTATTCTGACGATCATAGTCTGAGATAGTTTCCTCGAAATATGCTAATTTTTTGGAATGACTTTGTTCCATTTGTTTTAACTTTGTTAATGTTTGATCTATGAATATTAGAAAAAAAATTTACATGTAAGCAAAACGGATTGGAGGGTAATTTACTAAACAGATGGCTAATAAATGTGAAAATAATCATAAGTCTGGTCTATCCCACCCCCACCCCCCTTTTAGATTAACCATAAATTTTAGAGTAAATAAAAGATATTGGATTGAGAAACATGATATTCCTCCCCTACCCACAAAAAAATCTCAACTAGAATCAATAAGAAAAGGAATTCCTAAAACTATCAAAGAGAACTTGTAATCGGCGCGCGCAAATTTGAATTTGACTCTTTGAAACTTAGATTGTTGATGGTTTATTTACAAGGAGATCATTGAATTTCTAATTGTTATATGCTACTGTTATGGTGAATTGAACTGTAATGAAATAAATGGGACTATCAAATAATCTTAAATGTAACACATACAATATTAGTATGGTTACTAGTTATTATCTGTCAGAGTTCCACTACAACATTTTAACCAAAAACTGTGTTAATAATAAGTAGTCAATAAAAGATGACGTAGAATTCGATGCAAATTTATATCGACCCTATTAGTTTTTTTGGAATCAAATTTAGCACAAAAACAATGCCAAAAAAAATTAAAAGTTAAAGTGATAAATATCAAGAGAAACGAAGAACATAACGTTAAAGGAACAAAAGAAATCACTAGACTTGGATTGTGGCTATCATATTAGTGGTGGGCAACGAAAGTAAAAGCAATAGAAAACGATGTGGCGTTAGGTAACAGTAAATAACTTATCAGATTTATCAAAGACACCGGTATTAAAAATTAGGAGTTGATGGGGCTATTTCAGAAAAAGAACAATGATCAACTCTCAACTCATGAGGCTGAAACAATAGGCAGAACAATAAATATATTTCTGTTATATCCTAATGAGAAGAAAAAAGGTATTTAGACGTTTCGTGACCTAATATAAGCCACGTTTTTCAGAGCGAGTGAATCTTTATCAACTGAAATGGTTAGTATAAGTATTACGTATGTCCATCTACAATAAACGTCGACGAGCGATTTTGTCTGGTAAAAGAGTAGGTTGAAGGCTAGAGGGAGCCAAGCCTAGATATGGCATCAGCCCAAGAAGACAGTAACTGTAGGAACTGAGCTATGTAGGCAGGTCCAGACTACCAGATTGGAGGCCGGGTCATTATCGCGGTTAATGGTTGGAGCTCAAAATCGTTCCCAATGGTTTGGACGCATTCAATCGTTGACTCCATCTAGATCCCATGTTTATAAATCCCTTATAAAGTTTTATCAACTCTTAATTCCACTAAATAATGTTTTCTCGAACCACACGATCCAAGCCTAATCATTTCTATTACCAATAATACTGTTACTACCTGTACTATTCTGTGGCTAACCCTTACAATTTCATCTCACTGTGCTAATGAGGTTTGGCAACTTGAAACGATGTACACATCCGTCAGATTCTACGTTGTATATAACTGACTGACTCACTCAATATTTTCAAAAGCATTTATTACGATGAATTGTTCCAACGTCAACCATAAAATTTACACCTGTCACCAACGCAACATAGTTCAAGAATTAATAACTTTATAGATCGATATAGTATTTCAGTGTATCTGCTAGTACGATTATTACAACTTATCCTATACATAATTGCATCAAGGTAGCTACTCAGTAAGTATGTAGAACATTTATACTCAATGAAAGTTGACAACCACATCCATCGAATTACCATTACTACTTAGTGTCATACACTCAACTCCCCTAATTAATTAATTAATAATAATAATAATAGCAATAATAATATTAGTAATAATAGTTAACGATAAACAAACCAATTTCAATATTTTGTCGTGTGATCACTTCACGTTCATTAGTTGATAACTTCTGTTCAAATTCTCTTGTTATTTCTTGAATATAATTTGCTTGTTCAGTTTTTAATAATTCTATTTGCATTTGATACTTTTCGTGAATTTCTGATACGGAATCACTGAAAGAGAAATTTTCAAAAAGTAAAAAATAATTTTTTTTCTCTCAACAACACTAAAACGACTTCAACTTACAATAGAGGATATTATTATAAAATATGTTATTAAGTGCCATAATCAATGAAGTGTAGTTCGATACGACTTAATAAACAAGAGGAAACAACACATTCAATATAATCAGTCAGTCAGTAACAACGTAGAACTTGATGGCAATAATCTCTGTAAAACAGAGTAAAAACGATGTAGGTTGCCTGTTAATTATTTTGAATGCTTTTGAAACATTCACGTTGTGTCCACTATCCATTAAATGTTTAGTAATCGCATTTTTGAAAATTTTACTTTTCTTTCAAGGACAAATTACGGAGAATATGTTCTGAAAACCTTGTAGATCCCCTTCTTCCAGTTCTTTTTATATACTTGTTTCCACAAGTACATGTGAATTCGTAAATACAGTTGAAGGCGATTTCAGAAGGGTATTGATCCACTTTTTATCAATTTAAAGAACATCTGGTGTTATAGACCGAAAATAGTAGAGCTTCAAGGGAGTCTATCATTGGTGCTGCTTTAATACTTTTATCGATCCTTCCTGAAATCTCTTCACCTCTGAATGCAAGCCCGACAAATACAAGTTGTCTGCCAACAGTTGATTGTTTAGGACCTTGCATAATCGTTCTCCCGTACTTTTTTGGATAATCATTTTTTATAAAGTACTCTTTAATGTATACTATTTCTTCCTGTATTTTGTCGGTTAAGCACAACCTTCTAGCCTTATTAAATCGTGTTTTGTCTAAACAACGTTTTTAAATAACAAAACAGGAACTACTATAATTTAAGTATTGCCCTGTTCATGTTTCTTTTCCGAACATGGTATTCTCGCTCATTCCATCGTCCCATCATTTTATTTTAGGTTTAAATAGTTAAATTGATGATCATGTACATATTCCGTCGTAAATTTGATATCAACATGTGGCATTACCATCAAGTGCTATCTTACTTTTGCATACAGGAAGAAAGTGTAGTACACTGATCATTCTCATGATAAGATAGTTATATTATTTTAACGCTTATCAGTAACATTATCTCTTCACTATGATTTATAACTTAAAATCTGAAACATTCCACTGAAATTCACTCAAGATGTAAAGTTTGATTTTATATTAAATAGGTACCTTGGTTGTCACTCATTTATTAATAATTTATTTCTATTCATTATTTCTTTATTATCACTTATAACTTACTCTTCTTCTCCACTGTTGATTATTTCATCTTTAACATACTAATCATCTTAACTATTATATTGAATGTGCTGTTTCCTCTTGTTTATTAAGTCGTTTCAAACTACTACATCAGCGATGGAAATCTACAGGCAAATTTTGGTTTGTCATTTTTAGTGACAACCTTTTATAATCTACTATTGTTGTGAGAACACAGTATCTCTGCAGATGCTATTTATCTGAGGAAGCTACTTCAGGGTAGTCGCACACATATGCAGTCAGTAGCACGACCTAGGACCAAAGGACGAGTTTAATGAGCGGCAGTTCACCCCGTTCTACTTTGTGGGTATGAAACATGACCATTAAGAACAGAGGCTATTTGCAGGTTATTGGTATTAGATCACAGATATCTACGAAGCATTGCTCGTGTATTTTGTGACCACGGAGTAATCAATGTACCAGGTAAATATGGCAAATCGACTGATGAGGTAGTAAATCTTTATCGATTGAGGTGGTTGGGACATGTGTTACATATCCCCAACCACTGTCTACCATGACGGACGATGTTTGCTACTGTAAGAGTAGGCTGGAAGGGAGCTAGTGGTGGCCGAACCAAAACATGGCATCAGCCCATGAAGTCACGGACAATTGGACTGAGCCATGTTAATAGATGTGGACTACCTGGTTGAGGTCCACATAACTGTTGTAACCGACGGTTAGACTTTAAATGATATGGCTCGCAATCATTTGCAATGGTGAAAGCGCATTCATTCTTCGTCTTCCACCAAATCCTGAAATTGTAAATTTCCAATAACTTTCTTGCTTTTATCCCACTAATTTGCATTTTCTTCTCAAATCGTATCTTTGGTGCCTAATCTTTGCTGTTACTGCTCATGTTACTACCTCTACTATTCTGAGTTTAGGCCTGACAATTTCATCTCTCTGTGCTAAAGGGGTATGGCAACTTGAAACGATGTACATACGTACCATGTTCTATGGTGTGACTGACTAACGATCTCGGACCATAATAAATAAATACCAACGGTATTAGTTTTACTCACCAATTGTGATCCCACGAATCTTGTTGATTCTTTTTAGAATTATCATTAATTTCCAAATTCCTTGATTCTAATTCTTCAATTTTTATTTGTAATTCTTCAAATGATTTACATTGATCTGCATACTCCAGTTGTAATTGTTTCAATTTCTCTTCAGTTTCATGTAGTATATTTTGTAATTCAATTTCACGACGTGATGGAGTAGCGGATGATTTTTTACTGGTTTCTAACTCTTGTAAGACTTGTTTTAAACGATTTCTGAGTTCCTATTAATATTTCACCGCAGAAAAAACAAATATTTGGCGTATTGGTATAACCAGTAAAACGATATATATATATATATATATATATATATATATATATATATATATATATATATATATATATATATATATATATATATAATTGTCTGTCCAGATCGACGAGTGTACAAAATATACTTATTCAAAAATCCATTCTCGTATTTGACTTATATCATTCCGTTACTCACTAACGCGATTCAAGTCGATGGTTATATACGAGGATTGGCGACATATATATTTCGACAACAATCATTCATACAATATAACTGGAGGCCACTAAAGGAGTACCCGTTTTCTAGATATATCAATGCAGATTCAATCAATCTTCAGACCTACTCTTTTCACTACTGTAATCAAGTGAACCCAAAAGAAGCACAGTATCAAAAATGGAAGGTGTTGGAGATATGGAGACCGATTCACAATTGATTGATCACTGGGTGGTGATCAGTGTCAAGTGTGTCAGATCCGTCTTAGTGCAAATTGAATGCTATCGATCAAGCTACAATATGGCCATATGGAAACCTAAAAAAGAAACTACATTTATGAAGAAATCAATTAAAGAATTCACAAATCGATTTAAAGTGAACTTCGTTCATTGTATTGTAACATATATCGATCTATCCAGTATGAATTTTGTTATTTTATTTTCAAATGTATCTCCATTGTATTAATTAATGTAATGGTATATGGGTTCACTAACAAATATTTCATTTATAAATTATAGCTGATTAACTTCAATTGTGTACTTTCAAATACATTATTATCATTCCCTTAAAGGTTATATTTTGATTTAAACACCAGTCGAGTAAATTATCTAAGAATGCTAGATCGTAGAAAGGTCATTCAGTCAGCTACAACGTAGGACCAGGCACATATATGCATCGGTCCAAGTTGCCATACCTCATTAACATAACAAGATGGAACCGGATGCATAAAAGTAGTTAATTCAGAGGTGGTAATATATAAAAGAAAGATTGCAATAAGAATATAGTACAGGAAGAAAGAATTAGTTCGTAGAAAGAAAGATATGAAGCAATTTTAATCTCTTAGTTTAAGGGAACACAGAGAGTGTATACACCGACGCCAGTGTGATCGATTCTAAGTCATGTCACCAAGAGTCTCCAACCATTGGCTACGATAGTCACGCGGACACCGATCAAGTAGTCTGCATCTACCAACATGGCTAAGACTAGAAGTTAGTAACTTCAATTACTGATGCCACGTTTTGGTTTGGCCGCCCCTAAATTTCTTCCAACCATCTCCAACACCCGTTAGCATTGCACGTCGTGGTAATCATTGTTCAGGCATACGTAACACGTGGCTCAACCATTTCAGTAAATCAAGATTCACAACCTCATCAACTCATTTACCATCGTTACCTAATACCCTGCGTTTAACCTCACTATTAGTAAAAGACATCATAATACTGTTTATTTGAAATTTTTAAAAAAAAAGAAAACTTACTAAATTCTGTTGCTTCATTTGTTTTTCTTTAATGAAAATAGCATTATCAACAGCATTTTTTAAAGCAGTTTGATGTTCAATATTTAATTGTTCAATATATTGAGATTTTTCCATTTCATATTTCTTGTTTAAATCGTTCAATTCATCTGTATGTTTAATTTTATAGTTTTCTAATACATTTGCATGTTCTAATTGTATTCTCTGTAATTCATTTTGTAATTGATCGCACTTAGTATTTAGTGAAGACACAACTTTTTCAGATTCTTCGAATGTATTATTAAGCTGAATTTAGTGGATCAAATAAAATAATGAATAAACTAAGAATGTTAAGTATATTTTAAACTGAAAGTTAGTGTTAAAATGGAAGAAATCCTATGAAAATCAAGTCATCAATTAATACACAGAAACTTTTCATTATGACATCCGTAATTCCTTGGCACTAGTGAAACAAACTTATTCTAAATCATCCATTTATATGAATTATTTTACCTGTAAATTTTCTAGACTCTGGAATAACCTACCACAATCTATCCGTACGATAAAATCACTGCCATTATTTGTTCGCTGCATCGATGCATACTGCTCCTCTGAAAATGCATTGAATGGTCTAGCACCTGTAAGTGTATCTCATTCCACAAGTGATATTATAGTAACTTTAAATGTTTAGCCATTTTTACTAGTGCACTCCCTAAGTAAAACCACCTATTTGCTTTCACTTTATGTTAACACCGTCCCTAGCAAGTTTAACTAATTTGAATAACATCAACAGTATATCACTGTGTCAAATGACACAAGCATTTAGTTAGACCTGATTCATATATTTTCGTAATTACTGCTTTGTTTTTCCGTGCTCTATGTTTTCGTTTTAATTTCTCTAGTTGTAGATAATTATCATTAATTCGATCTGGCACACGAATTGGCCTTAATTACACCGTTAATAAATCAACAGGCTGTCCATTTAAGAAATATTAAAAATCCCCGGCTGATGCATTGGATCGGTGTAATACATGAACTACCTAAACAATTACTGAACTAGTATACTTAAAACTTTCTTCTATCACATGTTTGTTCTGCATATCTAATGTTACTATTTATATCAAATTGATCATGCCTGTAAACTGGTGTGAATTCTGTAATTATTATTTTCAGAATATAAATTATTAGAATTGCTATACAGACCGAATAACAAAATTGAGTGGTTAACCAGATTTAAATTTCATAGTAGGTTAGAAATCAAACCGAGATTTGTGTAGTTGGCATTAAGTCAAACGATGTGAATATGTATGAGCTAGACAATAATATCAATCATATAGTTCAGTGTCGATTGCAATGACGCATATGTATCCACTTTTGTCGCAAAATTTTTACATTTTGTTTATTCTGCGAATTTATTCATTGTTCCCAAATCACATTGTGTCTTACATTTTCTACTACCACCGATATTTTTATCACCTCTAAAAATCTGGCAATTATCTTGTTAATTTTCTTTAGCTACCTTGGTATAATGTGGCAACTTGAGGCGGTACACGTACGGTGTTTGAAACTAACCGGTTGACTGAATGATTAGGTTAGACTACTTAGTTAGTTAAACTGAAGTAAGAAGGTGATATGATAACCAAGAATTAGACCTAACAGCCAGGTTATGAGTTATTGGAGAGTGAGTGATAAACAAAGCTGATTTCCCTTTACTCAGATATATTATTTAATAATGTTTATTTTACAGATACTATTACCAAGGTTCAACTTGATTTCAAATAAATTGATCGTTGGGTAAATTGAATAAATAACTTATATTGGATCATGGGACACCAGAAAATTTAATTTTCTACTCATTGGGATATTACAAATATATCATTATGTTGATTTTTGTGCTAATGATTTACACCTGACCGTGTTATTTTACTAGATGAAAAAGCTGTTCTTCTGGTTGATGGTCTTGTCTTTTAATATCAGTTCATTCAGAGGTCTGAACTGAAAATGCGATCGCATGAGTTCTCACCATTCGGCCACATCGTACAGCTGTATTGATTCATTGTAATAATCGAAATCACATTCATAAATTCATAATTCACAACAGTGGGATCTGAGAGTTGAAAGTTAAGTCATTTAATTAATAAACAATTGCTCCGTAGAACAGCCACAGCCTGATTAAAACAACACCAAAGTATTCTTATTTTTAAGGTCATTTCGTAAATAAACTGTCTCGGTTCATGGTGTCGATTATTTATGAAACATTCATAGTGAGCTGCAGAATATCAGGCACCTCCAAACTAATAGCACTTATTAATTTGAACTATAAATCTAATATAATACCATAAAAATTAGTCGTTGGATTCAGTAAGTCTACAATTAGTAATGTGGGGTGTGAACAACGGATATCAATTAGTTTGAATTGCTAAAATTTATATCGGCATAGCTTAAAAATAAAACTTTTTACCAGTTGAACCGACGAGCCGATATAAGCTAGACCACCACTGGAAACCTGCAGGCACTGGACGGCTGTTTCGTCCCAGTATGGGATTTCTCAGTGGTGCGGGCTCGAGACTCGAACCCAAGACCCTAGGTCTCGAGCGTGAACGCTTGACCTCTAGACCACTGAGCCGGCGTGCAGCGGTGTTAATGTCTAACTTCAATCGATCCATGGAACATCCGTCCAATGCTTCCAGGTTTTCAATAGTGGTCTAACTTAGATCGACTCATGAATTCAACTATTAAATTACTACAACCTACACAAATTCCCATACTAATAAAAAGAAATCAATAAAGTGAAAAACTACAGGATTCAAATAATAATAACGATAATAATATCAGCATTAGTGGGATCAAATGAAATCGAGGGATAAAAATCATGAAACATTTTCTTTGAACCCGAAATTTGGGATGGGTAAATTCGCATTACAGAAAACACAAAACGATTAGTACGTGTATATTGATAAAGGAGTTTCTACCTTCATATACATAATTTAGACCAACAGTTAGTAATCCCATAGACTGATACTATGTTTTGTTTTAATAATTCCTAACTCTTTCCCAACCTACTATTTTATGCTAGTCACTGTTGGATGTCGGGGTATGAAGCAATCAGTGAGCAGTATATAACACACTCCATTTACCTTGATCACTAAAATTTCCATTTAGTTTCAACAAAAATCATACAGAGAGAAATTCTAATATTAGTTGGACAGTCGTTGACAACTACGAAGGATTAGAGAGAGGTTTCTTTCTGTTAAGTGACTGACTCCTCAGCACTCCACATCCACGACCCTAATGAGGATCGAACTCAGAGCTATCAGACCTCTCGAAGAGTGCTTAGCTCCTCTAAACAACTGAACCAACAACCAATGATTTACGAAACAGGTGTCCAATGTTTTCTAGTTTTTAAAGGTTGTCCAATCAACATCAGTTTATGATGTAAACCATGAGATTCAACAACCTCCACGAAACCACTTATAATAATTTTTTAAAAAAAACTAACCACAGTTTCTTTTTCTGTTAGCTCATTAGAAAGACGATTAGATTTTTCTGTAATCAACTCTAATTGTTTATTTAAATCAAAGATTGTTTGTTGACTCTCTTCAAATAATTTCAATTGATTAGTATAATTCTCTTTTAAAATTAATTCATTTTGTTTAAATTCATCAATCATTTGATTTGCTTTGATTAAAGATACTTCCATTGAATTGTATTTTTCATCTGTTAACTTTTGATCTTCTATTAATGTTTGATTCTTTAATTGTAATTGAATTAATTGATTATTTAATTCATTACATTGATTCTTTAATAAATCCAATTGAATATGAAGTTCATCTATATTAGATTGATGATTATGTACAATAGAATTTTTAAAGTTATTTATACATTCTTTGTGTAATATTTTTGAACGTGTATCCAATATGTCTAATTTATGAAAATTCTTGAAAAGATTATCTGTAAATGTTGTATAAGATTCTGAATTTAACCAATTACAAATTAATTCTAAGTAGTTTATATTGCATTCACTATTGAAATTGGGAAACATTAAATGTTCAATTGTATTAAACGATTCATTTAAAGTTTTGGCATCTAATTCAATTTGGTTATATTCATTGTACAGGTCTTGTTCATTATTATTATTATTATTTTCGATGTCGGTGTTGTTCAGGTTTTGTTTAGACTCATTCATTTCAGTTAATATCCAATTAATTTTAGACTGACATAGTTTGATTAAATTTTGACATAATTGATGATGATCATTACATATGAAATTATGAATTGTTTGATTGAATGAATTGTATTTATCCAATGTTAAATGTAAGTTATTTATCTGTTGCAGGAAAAAATGTAACAGTTGAAAAAAATACATAAATGAAGTTGGTTTGTTACAATGAATGAACTGCTTTTGTAAACGAGGTGTAGATGGAGTCGTTCATTGAGGAACATTTCCCGATGAGTGATAAAACACTTCTCAGTATGACTTAATAGATTACAATGAAGAAATAAGAAATTGTCTAGTATGTCGCATGTATTAGGTTAACTTCACCACACGTAGTGTCAGATTTGTAATTATACTGTACTTACCGAAAAGTGAACGCATACATTCTATTTTTCTATTGCAAAAGTGTTGGTGAAAAACAATATAAAGTCAGATCCATGTTTACATTCACACCCCGAATAACTCAGTACAAGCTTCTCAAACTGTGAAAATAGTTAAAAAGTTCCAATACCGTAAAGAGAACTAATTCCCTCAGGATTACGAGTACAGCTTGCTGAAAAATGTCAATTAGCACAACATCAAAGTTAAGCAGAGTCTCCTACCGACTACCTTCAACCACCTAACATGCAGAAACAGTTTGTTAAGTTGCTTTTCGCGTTACGATTACTAAAATCTTTCATATTTTTGTATTTTTTCTCAAATCCTGTTTTGTTTATTATCCTCGCTTTTCATCGTTCAGTTACGTATAATATGGTAATTTAGACCAACTTTCTATCAGACTCCACGTTGAAACTGACTGACTGGTAATTATAGTTATGACGATGTTTGAATTTTTAAAACTCGTTTTTCTTATAATTGACAATTTTGTTATTTCCCTTCTTTCTAACTTTTGAATGTCTGTTTGTTAGCCGAAACTCCTCCACCTTCAATGAGAGACATCTTTTATTTCTGCAGTAACATAATTATACATAATAATTGCTAGTTTAAGTCAATCTCTTTCTTCAGTTCTTAATAAATCTTCTGAGAAAAATTTATCTTTTGAGGGTAGGATTATTGCCAGAAAATTAACTTAGAAAATTACATAAACAATACACTACTAGAGATGAACAGTTTTTGTAGAAAGAAACTAACCTCATCTTGTTTCTTTTCTAATTCCATGTTTAAATTGTTTACAACATCATTGCGCGTAACTAAATCACCTTTTATAATTGTCATCTCATTTTGTAACTGTTCGATGGAAGTTGTGTAGGTTTGAAAACGTTTACCTGTTACCATAAGTATTGAGTCAACATTGGTATTGACCAATGCGAGCCGCTGATCAGCAGTTTCAAGTATGTTCCAGATAGGATTTAATTTACTACTAAATTGTTCAGACTGCTTAAGAAGTAATTCACAAGCTTCATTCGACAATCTTATTAATTCGTATACATGTTGTTGATATTCAGATAAGGTATCAGTATGTTCTTCTTCCATTGTCTTTGCAAGACGTGTATTCTGTTCAATTGATAAGTACAATTGACATTGCAAATTTTCAATACGTTTATGAGCTTCTGTAAGTTCCGTTTGGATATTTTGTAGTTCCGTATTATGATAAACTGATTCTGATGCACATTTATTAATGAATTGAGATTGCATACTTTCGAACTGATTTTTAGTGGTATTCAATGTTTGTTGAAGAGATTTATTCTAATTTTCACGAAAAAAACATATGGTACAGTTGGGTTAACACATAACCAGACTGATAATGAGATTAAGAAAAACTAATGATAGTTACACTTCAGAATACATCACTACTACGACATTTCGCATAGATACAGAGAAAGTAAATAACTAAAGAGGAAGCATTGCATCATCAAAAAGAACAAGTTCGTAAATTGTATTGAGATTTATGTGATCAGCCCGTTATTTTGGGAGCGATTATATTGTTTAGTCTGATTAGTGATTAAATTAGCTCTATGCCTGTTCCACCAATGAGCCATTTTACCAATTATCCAGAGACTAATGAACCACGACCGAAACATTAACCCCTATAGGTCCTCGAGCTAATTTCGAAGCTGGTATTCAATCAAAAGACGAAGTTAGCAAGTAGATACCTACTCTATTATACATTAGCTTAATGACTTAAACTCACACAATAATCTAGAGTAATTTCTTAATACATCAATACATATAGGAAATTACGAAACGGGTGTAATTATGCAATAAATGAAAGAGAAACCAAGAAATGAGTCCATAATTAGCATAACTTAAGGAAGGTAAAACATACAACGATAGTTCATGCGCCCAACGAAAGCATACAACTGGCAGAATACAGGAATACAATAATCAAAGTACCTAATAATTATACAATAAAAACATAACAATATTTCTTCGGAAGACAGTCCCGAAAGTTACTGCTTCTACGTTATTTGCCTCATTATAAAAGAAACAAAATAATGAAAGTAATTGCATCAACTAATATTGAAGAATTAAACGAGAAAAGAAAAGATATTGATTTGGAGAAAAGAACTATTCAGGATTTTTACGAGAAGATAAAGAATTTGGTACACTTAAACAACTGGTATCACCTTTTAGTTATACATCACCTAGTCTTTTCAGTCCACTTGATGAAAGTTCAAACAACTATCCGTTTTTATTTACCACTGATTCAAGGTGATCTCAAGTACTGAAATAGATTTGAGGGCAGTTATCACTCTTCAGTTTCCTACACCACAGAAGGATACTTCTTCTTGAGCGGGCTCAAAATGAAACTAGATTAGTGATGAGCTTGAAGACCTGGTTTATGCTGACCAGAAATTATAACCAATGCCAATGACTATCCTGAAAACAAAAAATTCATTCAATAGACTTTAAAGTACAAACTTATATTGCTTAGAATGAAGTGAGTTTACCATCTGGGCTACCTGTTCCTGCCATCTAGATATTTCAACAAGTTATCTATTTTTGTTTGTTTTAATATATCATTATGTTTATTAATCACATAACCTATTCTGCTGCGTTTCTGAAAAGTGTACAACCTTTCGTTGTCGAAGTTACAAAAAGTCCAATAAGAGATAATGTAGTCGCTGGCAATATGCAACGAAAAGAATATACATTACTCAGATGTTCATTTACTTGACTGCTAACATCTAACTGGCGATCACTCAATATTTATCGTCAGGATCGACCAAGAAGTAAGAAACGGAAACTTGTTGAAATGCATTGTGCTGAGAATTCTATATTGTACCAAAGGTATAATATTAAATAAAGCTAATAATAATAATAATAATAATAATAATAATAATAATAATAATCAACTCGCAGTAAAATTCATACAACCATATTTTCAATGAGCATAATTACTGGAACAACTGGGCACTGAAATAAATATGCGTCATATAAATAAAGAATTAAGACTGTGAAGTAATAGGACCAGAAAAATGAGTATAATCAACCACAGTTCTATATCTAACGAATAAATTATAATTAACATTATGTTTATTATATTTTGTGGATAGATAAGTCACATTCATAGTCAGGCAGTTCGTTCTGTTTTACTTTGCGACTGTGAAACATGGCCATTAAGAGTAGAAGATACTCGTAAGCTACTAGTATTTGATCACAAATGCCTTAGAAATATTATTCACATCTGCTAGGATCACCGGGTAAGTAATGGTGAGGTTAGACGTAGGGTATTAGAGAATAATGGTAAATCAATTGATGAGGTTGTGAATCTTCATCGACTGAGATGGTTGGGCCACTTGTTACGTATGCCTGAACAATGATTACCACGACGTGCAATGCTAACGGGTGTTGGAGATGGTTGGAAGAAATTTAGGGGCGGCCAAACCAAAAACGTGACATCAGTGCTTGAAGTTACTAACTTCTAGTTTTAGCCATGTTGGTAGATGCAGACTACTTGATTGATGTCCGCGTGACTATCGTAACCAATGGTTGGAGACTGTGGATGACATGTCTCATAATCGATCACAATGGCGTCGGTGTATACACTCTTTTTCTTCCCTTAAACTATGGGATCAAAATCGCTTCATATCTTTCTTCCTGTACTACGTCCTTATATGCAATCTTTCTTTTATATATTACCACCATTAAATTAACTATTTCGATGAACTTGGTGTTCATTTTGTTATGCTAATGAGGTATAGCAACTTGAACCGATCCATATATTTGCCTCGTACAATGTTGTAACTCACTGACTGACTGAATCTCAATCTCAATATTAGAATGAAACAGTTATCTAGTACTCTCAAGTTTTTAATAATAGTCTAACACCTTAGAATAATTTAAGAAAACAACTATTAAAATGTATATTTATTAAATACATTTTCTTACTTCATTCAATAAATTCATATTTTCTTTAAATAAAACATCTATTTCTAAATAATGCGGATTATTTAAAGATAATTGATTATGTTCCATTTCATATTTTAATAAATTTATTTCTGATTTGTATTTTTTATTTAATTTGAATTGATAATTATTTAATTTATTATTAACAATTAATAATTCATTTAATGATTTATCAATGAATTTATTTTCATTAATTTGTAATTGTTTTTCATTATTTATTAATTGTTTATTTAAATTATTATAATCATTTAATAATTGTAAATATTTTTCGTTAGATACATTTAAATCTTGTTTTAATTCAATTATCATTTGATTTAAATCAATATATTGATTTTCATTATTATTATTATCATTATTATTATTATTATTATTATTATTATTATTATTATTATTATTAGTTAATGATTCACTTAGTTGTTTATGTTTTTCATTGAATTGTTTATTATCAGATAATTGATTTTCGAATTCTTCTTCTTTTAATAAATTTGTTGATTTTAATTGATTTTGTATCGTATTTAATTGTAATTCAATTTCTTTATATTTTAATTGTAAATTTGAATAATTTTCTATATTAATTTGATCATTTGTAGAATTATCTTGTAAATTATTGATTTTTTCATTAAGTTCATCGATTAATAATAATTGTTTTGTTCATTTGATTGAGATATCACTAATTGTGATTGTAAACAATCGATAATCGATTGTTTATCATTACATTTAGATTGTAATTCATTGAATTGATTTAATAAATTATTGATTTCATTATTATGGATTAGTTTTAATTCATCAATAGTTTTAAATGTATCATGTAATAATAATTCTATGAATAATTTGAAATTTTCTAAATCATTAAAATTGATTGAATCATTTACATCAATAGGATATAATTCAATTAATTTTTCATTATTTAAATTAAATATATTTAATTTTAATTGTTTAATTTGATTTAATAAACTATCATAGTAAATTTTAAAATGATCATTTTCTTCTTTGATAGTTTTAGATAAATTTAATTCAGATTTCATAAGATTAATTTGTTTTAATTGTTCTATTTGAATTGATTCAAGGTGTTCAATTTTAAGTTGATAGTCATTTAATTGAATAGTTAATTCAGAATTTAATGATTTTAAATTGATTAATTCTGAATTTATTGATTCATTGTTTAATTGATTATCAGATATTATTGTTGTATTGATTTCTGATTTAGTTGAAGCTAACGTTGATTTTAATTCATTAACTTCTTTGTCTAAACGTGTTCTGATATCTTCAGAATCAGCTAATTTTTTATTTAATTCTTCTAGTTGACAAGATAATGATTTGATTTCATTAGATTGTTCATTATTATTGTTGATTATTTCATTGGAATGATGAATATAATTTGACTCTGTATTAACTGATAGTTTATTAGAAAATTCATTTTGTATACCAGTTTCTTCGGTATTTGAATTATTGTAAAATTGTGCTTTTAAACATTGAACTTGTTCTTGTAATGCTGCTTGGGATAGTTTACTATCAGCTAATTCAGATCGTAATTTATTGATATTCTGTTGATCACACTGCAAAGAAAGAAAAAAAACATTGAAAGAATACAGATTTCTAAGAAAAAAGTAGTGTATACAATGTCACATGAATTAAACATGTGTCCATATTGTAAGTAGCTCCGCCTGGGGTCCCTTCGGGGGCTACTGCCGGTCCCAAGCCCGGATAAAGGAGGAGGGTTGGGCATGGGGTTAGAGACCCCATCCCGTAGAAAACTAACTCGCTAAAAAAACGCTTACCATATTATAAGTTGATAGATAGGATTCAATCAGAGCTAAGGACTAGACAAACATTGACGTTTGTAAATATTATTATTACTATTCAATAACAAATATTGGGATAGAATTTACGATAAGTAAAAATATCAAATACACTAACATACCTGCAATCGTAATGATTTTATGATTTCTTCTTTTTCAAGCAAAAGCTGACGGAAATCTCGTTCCAATTCATCTTTGGTTTGTTTATCTAGTTCAAGCTTCTTGTACATCTCATCTACAGATTTGGATGTTTTTGTTTGATGTGATGCTAATAACTGTTGTAGATTATTTCTTTCTGATTCCATAACTTTATATGCCTCTACAAGCTGAATCGCGTATAAAAAATTTGAATAAAAACAATGAATAAATAAATAAATATATCTTAAGATTCTAAACCAAAAAGCACACATACATTGTTTGGTTGTTGGGTGATTGGAGGAGGAAGTCGGCAGAAAACCCTGGATTTAGATTTTGTGCTAGCTAATACTAGTCAGCAATAAATCTACAGCATCCACGATATCCTGTCAACCAACTTCACCCCCTAATATCTCAACATAGTGAACGCAGTGTTGAGTCACTCAAACTAGTGGCCACATGTGACCTGGCTGACAGGATTTAATCAATATTAGAGGACTAGACAGACATAACATTGAGAACTATGCCGTGATCAATCAATAGTTCATTTATTAGACATTACAACATGCATAATGGAAACCGAACCATCACCTAATTCGATACGCTAAGCTCGTCAATGTAGGAGTAAGTTGAAGAAACGATTACAGAGAATAGTGAGACAGCATTAATTATTGGATTTACTAATTGCTGGTCTCAGTAACATTGATGGATTTAGACTTTATTTGAGGTCTGCACGATAATTCTGGACTACATTTAAGGAAATTGGGTTACTTTACTACAAAAAAACACATTCTTATGGTTAGTGGTCTTAACTTTGAAGTCTGTTCGTCCGCCGAGTTTGAGTCAATAATTTTGCTACGTAAGGAGCCATCACATCACATCATTACATTCACCTATCGATTGGCATTATGTGCATTTATTTTGAGAATTGGAAACTTTATTCATTAAATCCTCACACATAACAAAAGGTTATAAGTCCTGAAAACGTTACATAAAGAAAGCGTAATTTTGGGGACACCTAAGACAAAATTAAGTAAAAAAAAATGAGGAGATTGGGTGGTTCTGACAAATACTATCGAAGGTTAACAACTCTTATGACTATGCTCCATAAGCTCTGACTGAAACAATAATTTGAGTAAACAGCTTACACAAGGTCCATATTATTTCTTCATTACACCTTTTAATGACAAATATTTCAATAATACTATTCAGTAGACAGATTCGAATATGGCCTTAGGGTCAGGAAGTACAACTATAGTTGATTATCGGTAAATATCCGTGTTCCAAAACCCTAAAGACGAAGGTTTGATCGATGCATAAATACTCAAGTCTAAAACCAGCATGACTAGATTGATGTTGAGTTGTCATATTAAACAGTCTCCTCTTACATTTAAAGTTGGTGGGACGATCACTATTAACTGTTCGCTGAGCTCGGATGCCAAAAGACCTGAACAAGAGTCTTTTAGCCTAGTAAAATCCACTTACTTGGGCGTCCGAATCACCTGCTATGATTAGTACATCTGAACGTTTAAGGTTCTGAAGCAGGTGAGAAAGTCTTTCATAAAACTCATCCATAATTTCATCCGGAGTGCGCAGAAAATGCTACGAAAATGAAACGGGGTGTCCTCAATTCCTGTTGGCCTCGCCGTAGAAGGAAACTTTTTGAGTGGTCTGGAGAGACGTGACTACAGCACTTGAAGGACGATCACTTGGGGCCAGTCATACAACTTTTTCGTGGGTAATTTGTGATACATTAAGATTTTACTTTAAAGTCCTTACCATCGGTGACGAAAAGCTGTAGGATGAAATGTGACATTTCAAATCAGGGCACTTTTTAATCCCCTCTTTTTTAGGAAGGAAGCATCGCAGTAGATGCCAGTTGTCTAAAGAAAACGCTTTACTCCCGTCATACTCCAGCATAATCGGCAGTACAACTTTGAACCCTGACCTTAAGTTGATGCCTTTAGTTTTCCCGTTCTGCAAACGACCTGCCTACCATGATAGGAATGCAAAGAACAAGTGTTTCACCCAATATAGCTTTATTAGTTCATCCCAATGAGTAATCCTTACCACCTATCTTGAGATAGCAGCTGGACCTGGGACCCAATTTAGCTACAATCTGAACACATAACAGGGTTTGAAATTGCAGTTTAACGGCTAAAAAAATCGATTACTTAAGCCATTACTTCACAATATTAAAATAAAATAACTAAGCCCCTTTTAAAATCAACTAACCTGTTGATATTTAATTTTGTAATTACGTGCCATTTGATAAACACGTTGACAACGTGATTGAATATCAGATGTTTCTGTAGATAACCGAAAAGTTGACGACATAACAGAACCACAATCAGAATCATCCAGTTCACCGAATGGATTAGTACACTTTAACAATTTAACATTATCTGTTTCTTTTGATGTTGGTGATTTGTTTTGAAAGACATTACTATCACTGTTGCTCTCAGTGATGTCATTAATGCGCCCATGATTACTTGTAACTGATGAAGTTGGTTGTAATTGTACGGATGATGTTCGTCTTTCAAAAGCAATATCAGCATCAGTTCTCTCTGACTCGCCCTATTGTTCATTAATTTAGAATAAGGAGAACAAAAGATGAAACAATTAATAGGAATTCGTTGTTGTTATCATTCTTAAAATTGCCAAGTTTTCTATGCAATTTGTTGTTATTGTGGTTAGAAAAGCATTTATTTATATCCTTAACTCTTATTAGTTATTTGAATTTTAATTATCCCTTTCGATTAATTACTTTATTATCTGTTATTCAATATCATGTAAATAGTAACTAATTAGTTACTAATTAATCTTTGTTCTTGCCGTTTTTCGAGGCAGAATACACCTAAAAACGCTAACCCTTTTCCAAATCTGTGTTTTGTGTTTAATAATATTTGTGGGTACATCTTAGTTTTCTACTTATCACATTAGATCTGTACCCATGTTAACAACAATCATCGACCCGCAACATATCTCTAATACATACACTCTTGTTTAAAAGATTGAATAAACAATAATGTCAGTTAGTTACAACGTAGGACCAGGCACACACATGAATCGGTTCAAGTTGCCACACCTCATTAGCACAGCAAGACGAACACCGGATTCATAGAAGTAGTTAACTCAATGATGTAATACATGAAGGAAAGATTTTATGTAAGGAAATAGTACAGAAAGAAAGAATTAGTTCGTAGAAATAAAGATATGAAATAATTTTAATCTCATAGTTTAAGGGAAGATAAAGAGTTTATATACCTACGCCATTGTGATCAATTCTGAGCCATGTCACATTAATGAACGAAAAGAGAATAATAATGTACAAATTATGAGAATTACTTGATGTTCACTTCAGAAAATCTTATTCATTACCAAAATGAAAAGTGATTACACAAATACCGATAAGGATTACAATTATCAATAAACGTTTACAGGTTATTTTCGTGATATTTAGAAAAATTGACTAATGCATGTGATTATAAATACTGATTAAAATAATAACTGCTTAAAATTTGTTTTAAAATGGAATTTTGTAGAGATGATCAATGTTAACTAGGAATCATGCATATATATAAATATATATATATCGATAGTTGCCTTGACACAATTATCTATGTAAACACTAGTTTATTATGCACCCTAGATTAATGATATCTTGTTTAAAATCTAAAACGTTTCGCTAATAAAACTGAAATGATAGACACGACAAGCAGTTGGTTCACTTATTTGAAGCAGAATTTATTGACGGCTTTTCATAAAAATGAAGTCACTTTGAATTGGGGAGGCCACTGGTCCTATAGAAAACGAACTTAATAATTAACTGCTCTTCTTATTAGTAACCTGACCGTGCAAGTAACAAGACAAAGAAGCTTATTTTTTGAAGATATAACAAACCTGTTATCTAAACCATGCTTGGTGGTTTCATCATACGCGAACAATGATTTGAAGACACTTATTGTCATGTTATGTATTGTTTAAACACTGATTACTGCTATTGGTACGGCTGTTATTGTGGCTGAGAAATAAGCCGCTATTTTAGTCTTGTCTAATGGAACAAGGCTGAAATGCCTTAACGTAAAGAATGCTAGATTGTTAGATGACTTATGCACCAAACACTGATTCACAACTAATCAAAATATCCAACGTTACATATCATTTTTAATGTCCGATCATTAAATACATTTCAATGTGTTAAACTGTCAGTATATGACATTAACTAGTCAATAATTAAGTATGAGTACACAATGTACAAGATCAATAGACTAGGTGCTTTAACTAACACAAATATCTAGATTACTGGGTAGTAAATTTTGCTTTTTCATAATAAATTAAGTACTTGACGTTCTTAGGCATGTTCAGCTTTTCCGAACCAACTGGCGATGTCGTAGATCGTTACAGAGCAGATTATTATAAAGTAAACTCGCCTCTTACTAAACAGATAGTCATTACGCCTATGCTGGATATGGTGCAAGTTGAAAGAGGCTGAACAGACTCCTGTATTGATTACAATATCTCGTCAACAACCGGTCTACTAAGACGGATTTGACTTCCAAGGTAAGTGAAGCAGCCAGTACATTTAGAATGTTCCACTACCACTTGTTCCTAGTAAATAACTTAACTATAAACAGGTAATTTGGTTGACAAATGTGATGAATGAATTCATTTGGTAGTATATTATGCTGTTTACTTTGATACTGTCTGTCAGTAGGATTACGAAAATAAGCGCATCAACACTCCAATACTTAAAATTTCCCCGGCTGTACGGAATTTAAACGTAGACTATTAAATGTGTAGATAAATTGTAATAATGTGAGTTGAGGTATGATATGCCTAAAACTTTTGTTCCATTCCTTTGCTCCCTGAACCCAATAATACTAAATTATAAGGTTATCTTGAAGCGAAATGGTGGTTATTTGTACAGAATTAATAATTACCAATTTAATTCTGGGTGAACTTTATCCCTATTGTCAGTATCTGGTAAAAATATAACTCTTCAAGTTTCAAACAAAACTCACTAGGAACCGTGAATAAGAAACTCGACCATCAGTGCTTCCACAATCTGATCGACAGCTCTGAAAATCAGAAAAAAATGAAGTGAGTCAAGCTGAAGGAGTGGTGTAGATTATATAATTTACGTTGGTGAAGTATGTGCTGTTAAACAAACAGGCACAACGAAATGTAACTCTGAAAAATGGTACACTGATCAGATTGACTATATTTTGAAACAACACAAAAACTTATCACGAGATTTAGGTAAGTTCGCAAAATACTGATGGACAAAGGGGATGATTTAAAAAATAGCAAATTAAAGATTTAAAGTAGAGAAAAATTTTATTTATTTATTTGTTTGGACACAAACATTGGAACAAAGGGGAACCAAATACATGAGCCACAATAACAATGAGGACGTATAGTGCGTATAATAAAAAGAACAACAATGAACAGAAATTAATATATGAGAGTGAAATAATGCTAAAAATAATAGTAGTAATAATTATTATTATGCGACAAGCAGTTAAGTTAGGAGAAATACCATAATAAAGAATTCTTTCAGGTATGAAAGTTATGTTCACGTTTATGAAAGTGAAAGAAAGTTACAGCAGGATCGCCACTTCCTGCTATTTTGGGCTACGTTCGATCACATCTCAGGACATTGTGTTGTACCATCTCTAGAAATCCAACCAGAGAGTCATGAAGGACCAACAGAAGCGAGTCCTGTACGGCTTTCTTTCATACCGCGACACCATGTCGTGCACTGACCACCTCCCTGCTTTCTCCAACGACTCCCAGCGTTGGCAAACAATGCACGATGTGGAGATCGCTGGGCGACATTCATAGGACATGTTCGGGCCACCGAAATCAGTGTTTCAAGACGGTGACACCAACTGAAGTATCGTTGCTGCGACCAAACATATGTTGTCAAACCTCGGCATCATTAACAAAGTGTTGCCACTTGATGTCAGCAATCCTTCGGAGACAACGATGATCAAACACAGAGTTATCCATTTTTCACAGCCAGAGAGCAAAACTGCTTTCGGCGACGCGTTGTAGATCCGACCTTATGCAGCCAGACTAATATCACGAAGGCGCCAAAGATGGTCCAGGTTGGCATAAGCCTCTTTGGCTCTCGTTATACGTGAATTGATCTCGTCACTCACAGCCCTACCGATGCAAGTACTCGACTACTTCTATCTACTCACAACCCAAAGTGAGCGCGGATTCAGAGTCCCGTAATTCTTGCAAAATCAATTTGCACTTCGAAGGTGCAAAGCACATTACATAATTACGGGCACTGATTACCAACTGAACATGTGCGGATTCCATGGCTTGGGTATCATCCCACAGTAAAACGATATCATCCGCATATTCACGTTCAAAAAATCTTTATCCAGGCAAAAGATCTACGCTCCCAAATGCCCTGGTACGGCCGAGGATGGGGAGAGTCATCTCTCCATTTCGGAGTTGGAAAACCCTGATTCCAAACCAGTCATGCACATTGGTTCCAAGATCATGAGGAAACAAATGGCGTATGAACCAATCGTCAGTCACCAGGTACCATCGGACTGCATCTCCTGACGTTGCTCCACCGCCTTGTGGATCAAACCCTTAGGTCGAAGGCTCCGGGTGTTGCCCCCTAGGAAAACCACCTGCTTCGGTCTGGGCACCCGGGAAGTATCAAAGCCCACACACAAATCAAGTGACTTGTGTGATGTGTATGTATTCGGTGCCCCTATGTACCAGTATTTATGTGTTTAAATAAATAAATAAAATAAACATCAACCAGAGCTGTTTCTAGAAAGTTGTATAAGAATGGTGAGACTTGGCAACCCTGACTAATCCCACTGCTTGAATGGAACAACGAAGAGGGGTGGTTGTATGCCCTCACTTTGTCTGAAGTGTTTGTATATAAAGCTTTCAAAATGTTAATAAACTTTCCAGCATATCTTCCCTCAATTGGCTTCCGTCATACTTCGTAGGTTGTTCAAAACCCGAGAAAGATTGACTCGCGAGGAGCAGGCTGGTTTTCGTTCTGGTCGAGGATGTATTGATCATATCTTCACCCTCCACCAAATGTTAGAACACCGTCATACTTATCAAAGGCCAACAATCGTAGTGTATATATATTTGGCGCATTCTTGTACCAATATTTATGTGTTCAAATAAATAATAATAAGTGTTTCTTGACATCAGGGCTGCCTTCGACTCGTTGGACAGGACTGTTCTCTGGGATTGTCTATTGAAGAAGGGTGTGCCTGAGAAGTTTATTAACATCCTAAAGGCCCTATATACAAACACCTCATGCAGAGTGAGGGCATATAACCACCTCTCTCCATTGTTCCATTCGAGCAGTGAGATTAGACAGGGTTGCCCAATCTCACCATTCCTCTTCAACTTTGCCATCGATGACATTCTGGAAACAACTGTGATGGATGTAAGTAATGGTGGTGTGGATCTGTTGCCTGGAGAAAGACTTCTCGACCTTGAGTATGCGGACGATATTGTCTTACCGTGCGATAATGCCCAAGCCATGCAATCCGCACTTAATCAGTTGGCAATCAGTGTCCGTAGGTATTGTATGTGCTTTGCACTTTCGAAGTGCAAAGTACTTCTACAAGACTGGCAGGACTCTAATCCTGTACTCACTCTGGATGGTGAGCAGATAGAAGTATTCAAGAAGTTCGTGTATCTGGGTAGTTGCATAAGTGCTGGTGGGGGTGTGAGTGATGAGATCAACGCACGTATAATGAAAGCCAGAACGGCTTATGCCAATCTGGGCCACCTTTGGCGCCTTCGTGATGTTAGTGTGACTGTAAAAGGCCGGATCTACAACGCGTCGGTGAGAGCAGGTTTTCTCTATGCCTGTGAAACCTGGCCTCTCCGAGTTGAGGACGTTAGACGACTCTCTGTGTTCGATCATCGTTGTCTACGAAGGATTGCTGACATTCAGTGGTAATACCATGTCAGTAATGCAGAGGTTCGGCATCGTGTGTTCAGGCACAGAGACGATAATGCAATTGGTGTCACCATCTTGAAACACCGACTGCGGTGGCTCGGACATGTTCTACGAATGTCGTCCCAGAGAATTCCACGTCCTGCATTATTTGCCGACTCTGGGACTGGTTGGAAGAAGCGGAGAGGTGGTCAGTGCATGACATGGTGTCGTGGTATGAAAGAAAGCTGCAAAGGGCTGGCTTGTGTTGGCCCTTCACGACTCCCTGGCTGGGGTCCGAGAGATAGTGCTAGACAGTGGCTAGAGTCATTATCAGATATGGCTCAGAATAGAAGCCAGTGGCGATCCTGCTGTAACCTTCTTTTACTTTCTTCATAAGAAGTGGTTGTTTCTTCCTTAACTGAAAGATTTGTCCTAATTGTACCTTTGTTTCCCTCATTATTACTACTATTATTATTACACTACCTTACACTAATCTGTTTGTTATCGTTTCTTTTTTTCTCTTCCGATTCTCATTTTGTGTGGCGCATATATATTTGGTGCCCTCTTGTACCAATACTTGTGTTCGAATGAAATAAATAAGGAAAGCAGGTGAATTTTTCAGTCACCTTAGCATCGCTTAGTGGCTGTTCATAAATTATCCGTCAGTTAATTGTAACGTAAAACGTCGTACGTCTATATATCGATCCAAGTTGTCACATCATGAATCATAGTCGCACCCAATAAACCTAGGTATCAGTGGAACAAAACTAACAGGATCACTACAAATCTTTAGTACTCTTTCGTCAGAATAGAAATAGCACTCTAGATCATGAACCACTTACTTCGATATCACTTACAATAACTCTAATTCAATAATCCTAAGCATCCAACTACAGAAAAGCGTATAGCATTACATCGGGTATATATGGTACGGAGAGCTTTTAGAAAATATCTATATTTTACACAAAAATCCTCAAACCAACAGAAATGGGAAATCATATTAGTATCGATTTGTGCGGAAAAATTATAACGTGGCACCAACAACTATTGTTCATACTTTAGTAAATTGGTCAACGACATATGCGGTAATCATAAACGATACACTATTTACCTTGTTTGTTCCTTCCTTCTTGACAAGACCTTTGAGATTATTGAACATAACCAACTGAGTAACGCAATTTACGAAATTGACGGATTCAAAGTCAAATAGTTCAAACGGTTGCGGACGGAATAGAAGAAGCTTTCGCCTAACGGGCTTCCGTGTCTACGAGCTGTGGATCACCAATGTCTCCGGGCATGAACCTAGGTATATTAACAATAACAGAGGAAAAAATGGTAAATCACAGTAAAATATTATCTTTAGTCCTCAAAAATATATCAAGTTACCTCTTAAAGGACTCCTGGGAAGCCGCTTGGACTAGTTCAGTCAGCAGCGAATTCCAGTATTTGTCAACTCCTAAAGTGTTGAAGTTGTGTCTACAGTCCGTCCTGCTATGTTTTGTCTCTAGTTTCTTAGTGTTACCCTTCAGGTTTGTGTTGGAGTTTGTAGCGGTAAATAAATCCCCAAAATAAACAGCTCTGTAAGTTTTCAACATTGGATGCTGGCCACTTGTTTTAATGGACTCACTTAGCTGAAGGAGGTCGGTCATGCATCCGCACCAGATCACGTGTGCGAATGCCGTGCTCAACATCTACTGCAATCGCTAGCCAGATTAGATCAGACGATTCTCGGTATATTGATAACATATCAAATATATCTTCAAACCTCTTCGCCTCTGTGTTTTGATTTCACTTGGTGGGTACGCTTCAGAATAGAAGGTGTTACTGGTTAAAGCGTTGTCAAACTTCGAATACCTGTGGCATCTTCAAGCTAAACTGAATCAGGTGTTTAAGGGGGTGTCCAGAAGTGTCAAGGATACTATAAGCTATTAGAAAATCGTCTCTGAGCCTCACATCCTCTAGTGGGTAAAGGTTTAGTGGTTGGAGGTGCTTTACACAATGTTTAAATTTGAGTCCCTGAACTGATTTCGTGGCTCGCCGTTGGATACGTCCCACAGTGTCCTTATCCTTTTGGAGTAAGAAAGAAAATACTATGTTTCCGTGCTCTAAATGGGGACGGATGAAACTGTTGGTTATGTGGAAAGCTCTTCCGTCAAATGGTCAAAAATGCGCTTCAATGTTACCAGTGCAAGGTTTGTTCGAAACCTATGATCCAACTTACAGCGTCTGTTGTATGCATTTACTATGAGATTCGTGCACGCTTCATGGAACCAACCTTAGTAGTTGTCGCACTGCATGCAATATGTGACGGCAAAATGGCATCCAGGTCGTTTGCATGAATTCTTCATGACTATAGTGGCGTAAATTATTTTATAGATCCTAGAGAAATCCTAAGACCGTAAAAAAATGTACACTGAAAACGCGTAAAAATGGATAAAAACGAGTGGTACAAAAGGTTAGGATAAAATAAAGCTAGCCTTTACTTGAAAAACTGAAAAAAAAACGAACAGTAAGCTAAGGCAAAACCACAGTTAACTATTAAGTTGGATAAAACTCAAAAAAGCAATCTACCCAACGTATAGCTCAGATCAGATTCTTTAGATCAGAAATGGTACTTCTGTTGCGTTAGAACACAGTAAAAGTTTGAAAAATGCGAATCACGTTAGGACTAATCTTCCCATTCGCAAAGTCCGCGCGTTGTCCTACAGCCGATAGTGGTTCTTTACTAATAAACTTCTGAGAGTGTCTGTCTTTGTCTGTGGTGGGACAGAGTTAAGAGATCTAGCTTCTCAAGCCAGTTTTGTGTGGTAAACCCCGGAGTTCTGGAATTGCACGGGTAGCGGCCCTTTGTAATTTTTCCAAAATATGACACATCAAATCGTTACTGATTTCAACGCCTGGTGTCAGTATTATGTATTGGCTCAGTTTTGCTGATAAAATTGGAGGGTACGGCAGCATGATCACTCTCTTCAAGGGAGTCACGATTGAGTGGTTGTCAATTAGGAATCTTATGTTTGTAAGTATGCACTCTGAGCGTTGCAGCGTTGGGTTATTGCTTCGCCGAACTGCCAACTTCACGGCAGTAGACCGCGGTCTTACAATCATGACTCACTGTCACCCTAAGATACTTATGAGAACGGTTCACGGGTAATGGTACTTCCCCTATGCCGTATCTATTTACCTTTGTATCCCTAAGGTGCAAGTAGATATGTAGTGGCATTGGACCATAACCACACAATCTTCAAAGTTGAACACGAGACTACTCGGAAAATAGATATTCAACATTTAACGCGGAGAAATACCTAACGATGGAGAAGGCGGGAAGAATGTATTGAGTGAATTAGAGTTGATCGGAGAGCATGGCCCGGCCATGCAGACGTGGTCCCTGCTGAATGTTACTTGATATCTTCTATTCATATTAAATATATTGTTCTTTCTCTAGCCCAACCTTGTTCAACATCATGTATTGGTAATTGATACGATACAGTGAGTTGGTGTAGTCGATGGTGTGACTTCCACATAAGATCTTATAGATTAGGCAGTTATATCATGACAAATCTACAATTATGGGATTGGGTCTATTATTAGAGCAGTACTAATATTATAGTAGACCATAATTCTACAGATACACTTCGTCGTGTTGGTATGTACCAGACACCTTTCAAATCACCTAGTCAGAATATTTGAGTCCGACAGAAGTGCTCATGCATCTGCGTCTCATGTTATTTCTCGCCAGCGCATAGTAACATTAGGGACTCAACAATACTTGAGAGTTTATTTACCTACAGTATTAAAAGTGAAGGACCTAAGATAAAGTCCTGTGATATTCCAGTATGTACTAGTTTCCAGATGGAGCACTTAGAATTCACTTTAACGTTCTGTCCACGACCTACAAGAAATCCTTGATCCGTTTTGGGGGAGATGCCTAGATTTTCAAGCTTCAGTGGCAATCTATTCGTTGCCACCTTATCAAATGATTTGCTGAAGTCTATGTATGCTACATCCACTGACTTTCAGTTGTCTATGTCTTCTGTTCGTTGCTCTTGCTACAATCAGATTTGTTTTGCATAAGTATCCTTTACCGAAACCATGTTGTTCGCCGTTTAACAAACTGTTGGTTCCCACGAATGTCATTAGGGTTTTTTGACTGTTCTTTTCAGTATTTGAACTACGGCACTGGTGGGGCTAAGAGATTTGTAGTCCGATGGAACTTGTCTTGATCCTGTTTAGTGTATTGGAATGACGACTGCATCCTTCCAGTCTGTAGGTAGCTCACCTTAGTCAAGTGACATATGGAATATCGTAGTCAGTTGGGCAACAATATATGATGTACTTTTTCTCAAGATTTTAGGGTGTAGTTAAACTGGTCCTTTTGATTTTTACGTGACCGATGTACTGAGGACCTCCAGTGCACCGATTTGGTCAAAGTCCACAGTAAGCATTTGATTTTGTGACGTTTTCCTTGGGCATATTCCTTCTAGAAAGGACACCTTTGAGAAAACTATCCCGGAATGTTTTGCCATGGCATCTACTTTGTCCTGGTCCTCCTTTGTTATTTGAGATCCGCCTCCTTCCTTAATTGGGTTGGAGTCCAATTCTGTGTTCCTGTTCTCTGATTTATGCACGAGAACAGTCTTTCTGGCTACTAGATTACAGGTCGGGTCAACTGCATTTCATATTTTTGCTGAGCTGCCAGAGTTGTAATTATACACTTATTTCGTACTGGCCTGTAGCGGTACATTGTATTTGTTATGCCAAGGCTGATGGTGATGTTCCAACATTTCTTCTCTTGTCTTAGTAAACTTCGAATATCCCGGTTGATCAAGGGGCGACCGTACTTCTTCTTCTTTGTGACCGTTCAATGTATAAATTGTTGAGTTATCTGATTGTATAACTGCCGGAAACAAATCCATACCTCCTACTAATTCGACTGCGTCAGATTTGCAGTTTCCAGTCGATGCTGCAAAGTAGATCGCCTTCATGTCTGCCTTCCATATATTAGGACGTGTCGGCGCATCTATTTGACAGGCTATCTCAGCCATGAACTTGAATACGTTGACTGTATGATCGCTTCTAACCATAGTTGGAAGGAAAGCTTGTAGAATAATGGTCTACTATGATATTTTTACTGCTCTAATAATAGACCTAATCCCATAATTATAGATTTGTCATGATATAACTGCCTAATCTATAAGATCTTACGTGGAAGTCACATCATCGTCTACACCAACTCACTACATCGTAACAATTAACAGTGCATGATAAAGAACAAACTTAGGCTATAGATAGAACAATATATTTAATATGAATAGAAGATATCAAGTAACATTCAGCAGGGATCACGCCTGCATGGCCGAGTCACGCCATACGATCAACTCCAAATAATTCAATCCATTCTTCCCACCCTCTTCATCGTCGAGTTTTTCTCCGTTGTAAATGCTGAATGCCCATTTCCCACATTGTCTCGTATTATGGCCCAGTGCCACAACAAGCTATTCACTAAAATCATCACTGTGTGTGAAAGAAGTAGTTCAAAAGAGATGGAGAGTTTTGTAGGCAATATATGGTTGGATGTCAAATGTGTTGGAATAAATTCATGACGATTGTGGCTTCTATCCATTTGTGGTCAAAAAATGTTTTTGATTACTCTAATTCTAAGTTTCCGCAATCTATGGACGGTGAATGAAAGTCACCTACTTTAAGTCTTTTAAGTCTGTTTGACTAGAAATTAAGTTTACCCAAAAGGACGTAATCCACTACAAATTATGGATAGTAGTGTACTACGCATAATCTACTGTCATCCAGCAAATCAACAGCTTACAAGACCCTGAGTTGTGTGCAACTATATAAACAGCTCATATGGTTAAGGTGGAATTGCTTGGTAGAATTATCGAGGTGATTGTTCGTTCGGAAGTTAGAGTGTGGCCTTGGTTAGAAACAGATGTCATTCTTGATGTATTCCGTTTATAAAAAAGAGTACAGACACCTATCGAATTAATAAATAAAGCAACAAAGTAAAGTATATAGGAGCAAACTGGGCTACATATTGGACAGTATTTGTCCTCACAAATATATATATATATATATATATAATTTTGAGATATTACTGGAGCATATTACTGACTTATTCGTGTGGATAGAACTGTGATATTCCTATGAATTCACATGCACCGAACTAACTGCATTATTTACTACTTCAAGCCTGCTTTTACATTTACTAAACCAAGATGCAGTCACAGACACTTGGAATTATAAAAGTAAGTGACGAGTAATCCCAAAAGCATGCAGCCTCTTTATTTAGTAACTCAAACAGAAAACTTCCTTCGATAATGATAAAACATAAAAGGATCAAGAGAGATCGGAGGAAAAGGTAACACCAGGATATTTGACCTCCGACACTGTGTCTGCGATGGCACAAGAATGGTGTTGAGTTTATAAATTTCACATTCTTATCACCAAATACCTTCTTAGACATAGAGATTATCTATACCTTTCTCCACATTAGTTGAGAAGGACCTGTTAAGTACACTTGTGAGTCAATAACACGGAGCGTCAGCACATTTTTTAAGGAGTAGGTTTGGGATTCCATAACGTCCTGCATGAATATCTGGGTACCCGATCCTCTCATCTAGATATTTCGTCAAGTTATCTGTTTTCTTGTTTGTTTTGGCACATCATTATGTCTATTGAGCTCACGATATATTCAGGCGCGTTTATGGAAAGCTTGCAAACTTTCGCTGTACGAGTTACAAAAAGGTACAATCAGCGACATCATGGTGGCTGGCAATATGCATTGAGACGAATGAACACTATTCAGATGTCGATTACCGAACTATAAATATCTAACTGGCCATCTTTCAATATTTATCGTCAGAATCGATCAAAATATAAGAAGAGGAAACTTGTTGAAATACTTTATGCTGAGAATTCTATATTTTACCAAAACTATAATGTTGAATAAACCTTATAATAATAATAATAATAAACATTGGGATGAATCAAGTGACTGGAAACATTTTCCAGTATCAGACTCAGTGAAAATAGGAGTACGAACATTCTTCAAACCAGTGGATATAGGGAGCACGACATCAGATGACTGACGTACAAAAGACTTATTGAAGTCACAAACATTCAGGTGGCTATCACTTTTAATGTTCCTGTGACCTGTAAGTTCTTTAAAGAATTTCCACATAATTGGGGAGGTTTACAAGACAGAAGTTTCTAAGTAAACATTGAGTTGGGACGTCTAATCTCTAGGTTTATGAGACCGTTTAGCTTGAGGACTTCAATAGAATTTTTCTCCTTGTAAACTCTTTCTTTTACCCTCTGTAGTCGTTTTAGTTGTGGGAATGTAAGTCGATCAAAACCTTGAAGATGCCACAGGTATTCGAAGTTTGACAACGCTTTAACCAGTAACACCTTCTATTCTGAAGCGTACCCACCAAGTGAAATCAAAACACAGAGGCGAAGAGGTTTGAAGATATATTTGATATGTTATCAATATACCGAGAATCGTCTGATCTAATCTGGCTAGCGATTGCAGTAGATGTTGAGCACGGCATTCGCACACGTGATCTGGTGCGGATGCATGACCGACCTCCTTCAGCTAAGTGAGTCCATTAAAACAAGTGGCCAGCATCCAATGTTGAAAACTTACAGAGCTGTTTATTTTGGGGATTTATTTACCGCTACAACCTAAAAAATGGCTTCATTGGGATAACAAGTAGCAAAACAGAATTTAAGGTAACAAGTGATAACATCAGTAGTATTTTCCAGTGAGCCATCTGTAAATAGTCCCCAGTTAGTCGTACGAAACATGTTTTCCGGATTTCGGATATTTTCTTCTGAGTAATTCCTATATTTGACTTTCTTGGTATAATGTAAGAGTGTACTCTACCCATGCTTTCCGTTTACTTTAGGTAGAACCCGAATTGTACAGTGATTCGAGCTGGAAAATAGAGCACATTTACGAGTCACATATGTACCCATATCATCAATTAAAAATGTCTAAATGAGCATCCAAACGAGGTGGTGGCTTGGTGTTGTAAGGAATCTATAGTCACATGAATTGAAATCACCACATAGTATTGAAAGTGAACCACTGAAGGCAGTAACAGTAAATCCTGTGAATTCATCAGCGAAAAAAGATAGTGCAGATGGTGTGCAGTGTGGAGTCACTAAATGTTGGTAACATAAATATATTTATATATATTAAAGCGTTTTTGACAGCATCTTGAAGTTAGATAGTTGATACAGTCATTTGGAAACTTGAAACATGCAAAAGTAGATCGACACCAGTTCACGTTTACAAACGTAGACACACTGGCGCCACACCTCGTTTTATTGCTCGGTCGATTTTGATGTTAGATATTGAAAGCACGTAGTGATACTAAGCAATCGTTCTGTAAACCAGTTAACTAAGATTCTTGGATTTTGATGACACCACAGTTACGATATATGCCTTAACTTAGTTGGAATTAAAGATAGTCCACCTCCCTAATTAGTGATCGACAGTTAGCAACTTGGGAATCGACTTATGAATGAGGCTCATTCTCTTCAACGTATATTGTCAACCACCACGATGTATCTGATTGTATGTTTCTGTAACTCGTACGGCGAAACGTCACAAACCTTTTAAAACACATCCGTATGGATTATGTGATTAATAGACATAATGATATGTTTTGCAAATCTGTCACCATTCTCGTTCCTGTCTTCCAGACACTCCATATTGTCCCATGATATCAGCATAACCGATTTCCTCCATTCCCGAGCTTGGCGTTCATGTCGCCCATCAGGATGGTCAGATACTTTCCTCGGCACTTCGCATTGATTGATTGTAGCCTCTCATAAAACTGATCTTTATCGTAATCATTGTTTTCGTTGGTGGGTGCATAATACCGTATGACATTCATTGTGATTCACTCCTTTCTTTTCAAGGATGATTTGAAGATTCTGGATGGATGCGATTACCATCTCATCAGTGCATTTCGTGCTTATTTGGACGGCATCAGTGCAACTGGTTGTGTATGTGGAGCATTTTCTTCTTTTTGACCGGCGTACAACAGCATCTCTCCTGAGTCTAATTTTTTTATCCATCTATGGTCCGATAGGTTTTACTAGTTCCGAGAAGCATCAAGATGTATGTCCTCTTTTCCTCATCTATTTGGTTGACCATACTGGTCTCCCACACTGTCTGAAAATTCCATGTACCTATATTAATTATTGCTCTGATTGTTAGAAAGGACAGGAAGAATCGGCTTCTTAAATAGAACAAACAATTAATTCTTTCTGCGACTTTCTAATGACGTGAACTTGTTATGCTATTCCACTTTAAACTGTAGGGTCGTGGTATGTCTGGCAGTAAACATATTGAAATTTAGCGATAAATTAAGCCCTAAACCAAATAGTTTTGTAAGTCTTTAACATTACCGCAGACCTTATTAATTTTACTGTACACACCCTGACTGAATGAGCTCACTCAAGCATCCGCATCAGGATGGCCACGCACCCCTCGCTTCAACTAGTCAGCTCACACCACATGCTGCCCGAAACATCTACTGTCTTCCAAATATATCTTCGAAGTCCTCTATTCCTGACTATTGGTTTGGCTGGGCTTGGGATCCTCTGTTACAATCTCTTTAGGGACAAAAGCATTGTCAAGCCCTGAATATCCGTGACACTGACAAAGGTAAGGTTTTCCATCAGGGACAACGTAGTCGAACACAGTTTATGTTCAGCACCACACTGCAAATAGCTTTTATGGTGGACAGCACGAAATAAAGTTGCCTCTTACTTACGCCTGTCCTAGCTTCAAAACCAGTCATTAATATCATCGGGGTACATTAAAACTGAACATATATCATATAGAAATAGAAAACATGGTATTTTATCAAGGCTATAAAAAATTTAAATTTTGATGTCATTATACTCTCCAAGAAGACTTATCTAGGGAACACTATTGCAATGCCAGAAAACTTCCCCTCGACGCCAATAAATCCATTTTGTTGATGTTACCACACAGTTTCGAAAACGTTTTATTGTCTATAAACAACGTTCACCTGAAAAAAACGTCTGGGTTATGTCTCGTGCTTTAAGAAGGATATTGCTGTCCTGGAGCGTGTTCAAAGAAGGGAAACTATGAAGTTGCCTGGATCAAATGAACATAATCAGCTCTCATAAAAGTTCTTGACTTCCAGTCAGTGCAAAATAGAGGGATTATATGGAGTAAGACCAAGGCGTATCATTTCGCTCATAATCCCCCTCGTCATAACAAAACACTAGTTCACTTTGTTACCAAATAAAACTTGAGTATACACATGTCTAAGAAATAACATGGAAGAATACGTACAAACTCCGCGCAAGCTTTCCGTGGTCAGAATAACGAAACTATGGAACTCATTACCAGAGGCTATGATAAGGACACCTCTCAGTCCTTTCACAAAATACTCTACATGTGCCACAAGTAATGAGAGAATTACGCTAAATGTTGTCGCTCCATCACTTTTGTTTTTGGCTGATTTCTTAAGACTCTTCCGTTTTTAGAAGGAAAATAGTTTGTCAATCACCAACGTAGGTAATCTATGTGAATGGTTGAGATAAACTGTAATTGGTCGGGAATGATGTCACATCTTAGCTTACATAGAAATCACAAAATGCGGTTAATGGGTAACATGGACTGCCCTTTCTTCATATCCAGGTACTGTGGATACTTTGATGACCATAGGAAACAAACAAGATGTGGAAGGACAGTATTAGTTAGAATAGATCAAAGAGACAGAGTGCGATCACTGCCGCATGTGCCTGTCCATGACATGCTGTTGATTGATAATTGTTGGTTGTCCTTGACTTTGATGAGGACCGATAAGTAATTCAACAACCAGAAATCTGCCTTCTGGGTGAATTGGCTCGGGACCAGTGACATTTCACTATCCCTACAAAATTAACCACAGATTATTATACCCAGATACGAATTCGAAGGGACAAACGGTTCCGTGATTTTGCTAAGTAGGAAATGAAAGTTAAAATCACAATAGCTTGTTGTCATTAAATTGGATATTGGAAGTCTGCTTATTCTCTGAACGGTCTGCTTCAAATATGTGCGGTTCATGCAGATGTGTGAGGCTCGTACGTCAATTGAAAGGTTCTTGTAATGCAAATTTTTATGGACTCTCAGACCAAACAAGCAGTTAATTATTCTCCAATGTTTCTTCATTTGTTTTTTAAAGTTACTTAGTAACCATGTCGTGCCTCATTATTACAGATGTTACTCATGAGTTGTAGAGTGTTATATCACTGTTTATTGCAATAAATAGACGATCCAGTGTCTTAAAATTCCAATACCGTTTGAAGACTTATGTCAATACTTAGCCCTGAATGAAAGTCAATATATTCCAAGCATGATCCAGTGACCCTATATATTTTCATAATATTATGGATTATATAATCCAACAACTTATTAAAGCAACTAGTCCACTCTGTTTTATTTCATCATCGTGAAAGTGATGTGACTACATTTTGTCATATGTCTCGGCAATTACCTCTGACAGAAATGCAAGATTACTGAGTATTCATATCCAACCAAGGTTCATGTTAAGACCTGGGGATGAATTTCACCTTTCTATACTGATTCACAAGCAATCAATAACAGTGTACTACTCAGTTACATATTTATAAGGTTCAAACAGTATATGGGTTGAGAGTTACGAGTTGCCTTAGTTTGATCTCTACAGTCAACATAATTGGCGTTACGTAGCTACTACTTTGTATGGTTACCTTATCTTATTTGTTTAAAACAAGGTACACCATACTACGTATATACAATATAATTGCTTTGTGAAAACGAATACTGTCCACCATGTAGCCCAATTTGTCCCTATCCACTTTTCTTTGTTTGTTTTTTACTAATTCACGAGAATTTTCGACTGACCGTGTAGAACAGAAAGTATGGTGTGAATATATTCGTTCAGCCTTTGCTACATCTACCTCATACATGTATTGTAGATTAAAAACCAACTATTTATAATGGTATGACGACCTTATAAGTATGGTTCGCGCTGTCGAGCTCACTGCTGTCACAAATCTTACTCTTAAATTCAAGTATTGACTTATTGGGGTGCAATGAAAAGTGTTAGAGGAGATATAAGGCCCAGTACAGTACCTTCTTAGTCCAAATTTTGATACTTTGCATCGTTATAGAAACACTTTCCAAAAGTGATTAATGAACTATCGAAAAGTAGGGTAAATACAGATTCATTTCTTAATCTTTCAGATTTCGAACAATGTAGCAGTGTTGTGTTGGTTAAAGCACTCAGGTTTTAGAAAATAATTCACAAGTTCCAACTCCACTTTACTTACTTCGTTCTGGGAAGCCAGGTAGTTTCATTTAGCTTTACACAAAACAGTCTACCTCAAAGTCGGTTATAAACCCATACTTTGTAAATTAACCATATAGTCCTTTCCTTTTCGTCTGTTTCTTGTTTAGTTTACGTGTAATATGATTGCTATTATTCGTTTTCTCCTTTTATCTTCTTGATTTCCCTGGTTTCAGTATAGAATGTGACAACATAGGTTGATATATTATTTCCCTGGTTCTACATTACTTACAAATAAATTTCTGATTATATCAACCATTATTTGAATTTCGCCACTCAAAAGCATCCACTAGCTCAGTATCCACAGATTTCTTTGTTATTATAAAGGCTTAACTGAATCTGAATCTCTAGGCAGTTTATGCATGTGAACCACTAGATGCCGGCTCAGTGATATGAATGTTAAGCTCACACTATGAGACTTCTAGGTCTTAGGTTTGATTCACATTTAAGCCATGGATGCACGCTGGGAAGTCTCGTACTAGGACGAAACGTCTGCCCATTGTTTCCTAGTTTTCAATGAGTAACTAAAACCAGTCTGCAATGTAAACTGATATTCAAGAGTCTATGGTCATCCTCCTGATTATAAACGATTACTTACACTTAATTATTTTATTACTGACTGATTACGAGTTTTATATTCACTGTTGTATTGCCCTAATTTTAATTCGCTTTTGTGTTAAAAATAGTACAAAAGGTTCAGTATTCTCATCACGTTTAACGTCACTTTGGGGTGATAGTTATGGACGTCAGTGCCGATAAATCACCATTAATTCAGCCTGAAGAGACTTCAAACAAATCCAGTTTTCCTTCTATTACAGTTATCAAACCAAAACATCCAAGACGCTATAAACTTTTACCAAAAGACAAACTCCGTTTCCCTAAAAATGATACTTCAAATCAGTTTTGGCGTATAAATGACTATACAAAACATATGCCTCTTATCAATGTAAATTGTGATGACGATAGGTTCGTTCTCTCATTTTCCTTATTAATTGTTTACTTATAAAAGTAGGTATCACATAACCTGTTCATTTACATAAACCATGTATATTAGACTTAGTGTCCTGTACGTTTAGTAGCAGTGTACAAATCCATCATTATAGATCTCTAGACAGTAATTCCGTAGAGTTAGGGACATAGATTTTGTTTTATGTGGATACACTTTCCGTGCCCAGGCAACTTCACATGAATAATCTGTTAGATAACACTTCGTAAAATATTTTTCAGTGTGATCATTCAAATAACTAATGCTGTATATCGAAAGTGGAAACTTTGTTGATGGAAGTTTTCGAAAGAGCATTATCAACCCATGTTATACACATTTAAACACCAGTCATTAAAACCCCATTTCTGGTATGTTTTAAAGGTTAGCTGATGTATTTCACTTGACAATCGTGGCTCACAGCTGGGTTCAAGTACTTTCATTTGGCCACTAGTGTTGTTTTTAGAAACTGCTAAGTTTACTTGTCTGGTGGGATCAATATTGGTTGATTGCACAGATAGACGTCTATTAATCCATATTATTAACGGTTTGATAAATGCTGGTTAACATTACTTACTTACGCCTGTTACTCCCAATGGAGCATAGGCCGCCGACCAGCATTCTCCATCCCACTCTGTCTTGGGCCTTCTTTTCTAGTTCCATCCAATTTTTGTTCATTTTTTTCATGTCTATTTCCATTTCTCGGCGTAATGTGTTCTTTGGTCTTCCTCTTTTCCTTTGACCTCGACGATTTCATGTGAGGGCTTGTCTTGTGACGCAGCTGGGTGCTTTCCTCAATGTGTGTCCTATCCACTTCCAGCACTTCTTCCTGATTTCTTCCTCCGCTGGGATCTGGTTTGTTCTCTCCCACAGTAGGTTGTTGCTAATAGTGTCCGGCCAACGGATCCGAAGTATTTTGCGTAGGCAACTGTTAATAAACACCTGTATTTTCTGGATGATGGCTTTCGTAGTTCTCCAGGTTTCTGCCCCATACAGCGGAACTGTCTTCCCATTTGCATTGAAAATCCTGACCTTGGTGTTGGCTTACAGACAGTTGTTTTGAGTTCCAGATGTTGTTCAGTTGTGAATATGTTGTTCTTGCTTTGCCGATCCGCGCCTTCACATCTGCATCAGATCCACTGTGTTCATTTATGATACTGCCCAAATATGTAAAGGTTTTTACATCTTCCAAATCTTCTCCTTCAATTGTGATAGGATTGGTGCATTCTGTGTTGTATCTGAGAATCCTGTCTTTCCCTTTGTGTATGTTGAGACCTACTGCTGTTGTGGCTGCTTCTACCCTGGTCGTCTTTTCCTGCATTTGTTATTGCGTGTGCGATAGAAAAGTCAGATCATCTGCGCTAGTTAACATGGCCTACACTAAGTGTCTTGGCACAATAGAAACACGCGATTTTTACGATTTCGGGTTTCTATTATTCTATACGGGATTGTTTGCTGTTCCTTGCTTCATTGACAGTTCAACTATTCTGATTACCTTAATAGGAAATAAATTATCAATCAATAAGATACTTTAAATGGAGTTGCCAAGAATTGAAACATAGTTTAACCTTCACATTTATTTTGGCAATATGCAGTCCATAAAATTCACTCATTTACATTTAATATACTCGAGGTCAATAGATTACAGGGTTACAATTAGTCTTTTATGTAACAACTTATATATTGTAATAGCCTTTATGAAGAATTATTTTGAGTTTTTCATGGGGACGTTTCAATTGTTGAACTGATGAACAGAATGATGATTGATAGGAAAGGGATATACAATGTAGCCGACTGATAATTATTCATGAGACAATTATTGATGCAAGTAAAAGTAAATAATGTTAAGCGATAGCACAACTGGGCAACAAACGGCCTTTAAGATAATAACGTATTTATTTAAAAATGCTTAACATAAAAATAAACATGATTAAATGTCATCTTCACATCTAAAGGATTGTTTAATGCAGATTTTATAGATCACTCACTCTCTAATTAGGTATATGTATACGTAATATCACTATCATGTCTTTTCTGTTTTTACAGTGAAGAGTTTGACGGTGCATTGTTCCAAAAAGTTGCCAATAAAGGCTTGTGTGATTATTTAAAAAATGATCGACTGATTTATAATCGATCAAATTTAACAAATACCGATAACTATGATGATTGGGATTTGCATCTTTCAACACCCGTTCAACACAGAACACAAATTTGTTGTCCATTCAATTGTATATTATCATGAATTTTAGAAGATAATACTTTGAAGATTCCTTTTTCTTTAATTTTTTAGTTCTTATTATGTGTCAATAATAATAATAATGCATTTTTAAGTGAGTATTTTCTTGCATATATAGGATTAATTTGGGATTTGTTTGTAACTTTTCCATTGTGTATTTTCATTCTTCTTATATTTAACATATTTTTTTCGCGCTCTCTATTTTCAACTGATTTAATGCTTTAGTACTTTTTATCGGTCTTAACATTTTTTTTATATCAACCAACTAACACTGATAATATATAAAATTATAGAGGATTAATGTCGTATCATTTCTGTTCGTTGCATAACTAACTTATAGAATAAAATTAATGATATTTTATACTTAACAATGTTTTATGATTAGTGTAATTCAATCATTTTTGTCTTATGATATTCGACTAGTAAGTAGCTATAGTTAACAAAGGCATAAAAGATTAGAAATGACGATGATAGGTAACACTAGGCAGTTGTTTAGAATTATCAAAAGAAAATAATGTAGGAAGTCAGTCATTAATAAGGGTCATGGAAAATTCTGCCCTGGTACGACCGAGAGTGAGGAGATTCAACTCTCCCTCTTCAAATGCTCTCATATGATCACGCGTATACAACTACTGCCAGGGAATTCCTACTCACTGCCTTCTCGCGGCCGGGGTGTTGTTTACGATATTCAGGGGACGAAAAGCGAGTGTCCGGCGCTTTAACCTGGTTGGTGGGTATGGAGGATCCAACTAGGGGATTTGGAAAACCCTGACTCCAAACCAATGGTGCACATTGGCTCCAGGATCCTGAGGAAACAGAAGGCGTGTGAACCAATTATTGGTCAGCGGCTACCATGGAACTGTATCTCCTTACGTTGTTCCACTGCCTTGTGGATCAGACCTTCAGGTCGAAGGCTCCGGGTGTGGCCTCCTAAGAAAACTACCTGCTTCGGTTTAGGCACCCGGGCAGTATCACAGCCCTCACACATATCAAATGAGATTTGTGTGGCGCATATCTATTTGATGCCCTCTTGTACCAATGTGTAGGTGTTTAAATAAGTAAATAAAAATTATTTTATAGATTATGGACTGGGGAACCCCTTAAGAAGCTGTTTAACTGACCTACAGCCAATCTCTAATTTTCTTCCCGTAACCTAAAGGTGGCATCAACATCTGGCTATAACAAAGTTGAAACATGATGGATTAACTCTCAGGGTATGTGTTCATGATGACAGCATTATCAATATCGTTGACGGAGATATTAAGTAAAGTCTGGAAGTTGGACGTAGTTTCGTCTGTCTATTTGCGGCTGTTGTTCAACACAGTTTACAAAAAACATCAGATATCCTCTTGTAGTTACCACAGTTGGATTAACTGGGTTAATATTATTTGTAAAATATGAGCTTTTGTACCCAGTTGATACCACTTTTAGCTTTTACATGTCAGTGGCCAAATATACTAGACATATCCCTCTTCCGTATTGCTTTATGATTGTAAAACTTGACTTCTGAACGTTGAGGATATACATAAATTGCTAGTATTCCATTGTCGGTGTCTCCAAAGCATCACTCGTGTTTGGTGAAGACGTTGGGTAAGTGCCTATGAAATTAGGATAAATTAGTTGGTTTTTCAGACTATAAACCTTCATTGACTATTTCATGAAATATCTTTTCTGCATGTGAGAGGGTCAAGTATAGTTTATAAATCTATTGAGCACAAGATCTTGTTGAGGTCTACGAGATCACAGTTTGTATAATTGAGAAAGTTATGTCACACCTCTCTCAAAGCCAGTTTCAATGGACCAAATACGCTTATTTGATACACAAATGAGGAAGTGTAATTGTAGAGATAGAGAAATATAGTAAATAAATAAAAATAAGTGAATGGGAGTAGTGTATAATTAAAGGAACAGATCAGTTAAAATACAACCAGAAAGAATCTTTTTAGTTGAGTGAACTGCTTCCACTTTTATGAGGAATGTAAAGAAGAATCACAGTAGGGTCGCCATTGGCTTCTGCTCTGAGCCATACCTGATAACGTCTCAAGTTACTGAGTTGCTCTACCTCTCGAACCCCAAGCAAGGTGTCATGAAGAACCGATAGATGCCAGTCTAATACTACTTCCTTTCATACCGCGACCCCACGTCATAGACTGATTGCCTCATCACTTCCCCCAACTAATCCCAGCGTTGACAATTAATTCCCGACGCGGAGGTCTCTGGGATGTCACTTGTAGTATATGTCCAAGCCATGGGAGCCGGTGTTTCAAGATGGTAACATTGAGTGAGTCATTGTCACTGTGCTTGAACACATTACCAAATCTCAATATTACTAAAATGCCGCTGACCGCCATTAACTCTTCGAGGACACCGATGATCGAACACAGAGTCCCCAACATCCTCAGCTCGTAGAAGCCAGATTTTGTAGTCCAATGCCAGAACTCCCCTCACCAATGCGAGACTAACATCAAGAAGGAGCTAAAGATGGTTCAGATCAGTGTTGAGTACCTTAGATTTTCTCAGAATTATTTCGTACTGTTTACTTCGCAGGTCTAATCATTCTTTCTGATTTATATGTTCTCCGTGTTCTTGTTTTTTTTATAATAAACATTAATTTTATCATTTAAACTCAATTGTATTCCAATATGTCAATGTTTTGTTTCATTCACTGTGCCGATATAAATTGTAAAAACTTGATGCATATATTTTACTAGTATTTGCTTTATCTATTACTAACTACATCATTCAATCAGTCAATATCCGATTATGGATGTAAATTCATCGTATTTATGTAATAATTGAGTCGAATTCCAGTTCAATCTGTCAATATAAGAAACTTTTATGTGACATGACATGTAATTTAAACAACAGATAAAGGTATCCATACCAAGTTTGGACTTGATAGTTCCAAATAAGTTAAGCATTGAGTAGAGAGTTACTAATAAACATTAACTTTTGCTATATCCCAACGAGTAGAAAAGTTGTATTACTGACGTTTCATGACCTAATGTAATTACTGCTTAAACTTGGGTTTATTTAATGTCGGTTATTCATTTACTCTAAAGAAGTGGCTTATATTTAGTCACGAAACGTTACAAATACAATTTTTCTACTCATTGGAATATAACAAAAATATGTTTATTATTAACAGATAAAGGTCTCTTAAACTTATTAGTTAACTTCTATCAAATACTTGTGATCTGTATTCTCATACATCGATTCGGATATACTTAGTCTTATAGACGAAGAATAAAGCTCAATACCTTCGACACTGTGAAGCTCTAAACATTCAAAAGTTATAGACAAGACAAAGTTTTGCAGTTACAGAATTTGATATGCCTTTTTGTATATTTAAAACACTACTCATAAGTAGCTCATATGATCTGGTTAAATTTCATCAAAGTATACCTGTTAAATTACCATTGAACTTAACTCCTTCATTAAACGATACACCATGGATATTTTATTCCCACTAGTTCAAAATAGATTTTTGTTAAAACTGAGGAGTTAAGTAAAAGTGTGAAACTTTTAAATCTGGGGATTTGGTACACATATATCCCTCTTATGTATTGATTAAACACTCAGTTTGCGAGAACTTTATATTTTTAAAATTAAAAGTTTATTTGGCTGATTGACTGTTGCAATTTGTTTTACAGTCCGTAAATTACAGTGAATTAATAATAAACCTTTTACTCATCTTTGTATGCATAGAATCATATATGTTTTCTTGTCTGAATAACACGGAATAATGTAAGGTATTTTCCTGATCTTTCAAGCATTCCGATTAGTAGTTTAGACAATAAGTTAAAGTTCTGTATGATCAAGTCGATCCTTTAGCATATACAGTAGCCATGTTAGCAGACTTATTGTTAATGGGCATAAGCGAAATTAATTCAAAACAATAACAATTTATCATATTATTATTATTAGTGGCTTTATTCAATATTATATTTTTGGTGCAATATACAATTCTCAGCACAAAGTATTTCAACAAGTTTCTGTTTCTTACTTCTTGGTCGATCCTGACGATAAATATTGAGTAATCGCCAGTTAGATGTTCACAATTCAGGAATCCACATCTGATTAATGTATATTTTTTCCGATGCATATTGCCAGCAACCACGATATCTCTGATTGGGCTCTTTTGTAACTTGTATAGCGAAATGTCGTAAACTTCTCACAAACGTACTTGAATAGGTTATGCGACTAATAGGCATAATGATGTGTTAAAACACAAGAAAACAGATAAATTGTTGAATTATCTAGATGGCAGGAACAGGTAGCCCAGATATTCAAGCAGGTCTTTTTTAAATATTTAAGTGAGTTCAGCTAGTAAATAGCTTATCAAATTATTAAGTCACTTAACTGTTTTAGGACTGAAGTAGCTTCAAGAACTTGGCAAAAGGTACCTATATCTTATCCTCAAGTGGATTTCAAGTGATACCTATCTGGATCAGCTTCCAATTATGATATGCTCTAAACGGACGACCGTAAATAAGTACAATGAAAAAATGTAAGTAAACATGACAGTGGTTTACAAAGCCTATAGATATTTGAAGGAAACAGTTTACTATTGTGTACAAATAAAATAATATGGTCATAGTTACTTACTAGTAACCAATTATCTTGCTATCTATTCTTTAGTACTCAATGAAACCTAGTCATCAATTTTCAATGATAAGTTGTTTTTTTGTTAACCATTGACAACATAGAATCTTTTACTACATTAACACTACTAAATGTTTTAACGAATTGGATTGTGGCAGGTTGAACCGATAAATATTTACCTCTGCCTATACATTTTGTTTCTGATCAACTAGTAGACTAATAAATATTTACTAAATTCGATTAATTTTAACAATAAAAATATACTTGATATAATTAACATAATCGATGAACAAGGAGGAACAAATGCAGATGTAAAGGCGAAGGTTGGCAAAGCAAGGGCCGCATTCCTACAATTGAGCGACATATGGAACTCAAAACAACTTTCAACCAATATAAAAGTCAGAATTCTCAATATCAACGTCAAGGCAGTTCTACTGTACGGAACTGAAAATTGGAGAACAACAACCACCATCAAGAAGGTACAAGTATTTATAAATGGTTATCTACGAAAGATACTCAACATCCATTGGCCGGATACCATCAGCAACAGCCTTCTGTGGGAGAGAACAAACAAGCTTCCAGCTGAAGAAGAAATTAGGAAAAGGTGATGGATAGGACATACATTAGACAAATTATCAAACTGCATCACGAGGCAAGCCCTAACTTGGAATCCTGAAGGGAAGCGGAAAAGAGGAATGCCAAAGAACACATTACGTTGGAAAATAGAAGCAGATATGAAAAGGATGAATAACAACTGGAAGGAGCTGGAAAGGATTGCTGCGGACAGAGTTGGATGTAGAATGGTGGTGAGTGGCCTATGCTCCTTCACGAGGAGTAACAGGAGTAAGTAAGTAAGTTGATATAATTAGAAAGTTATTCGTACTTAAGTATTATTTTTAGTCAACTCCACCTGGAGCCCATCTGGGGTTACTGTCGGTCCTAAGCCTGGATAAAGGAGTTGATGTTTACTCCGGGACTAAAACCTAGTATCGTTCGCTTCAAACGCCATCACGTTTTTCACTTAGCTATTGAGTCCAAGAGTAAACATCAACTGTGAGAAGCAGGTACATCCATATGACGATTCCCAAATAGAATTAAACGTGCTGACTAGATTACACTGCTAGCCACTATCCATTTTTGCATATAATGCTTGTAAATTAAAGTAATATCGAGGCAATACGCACAGTATGCACATATGCCAATAAGACACTGATCAATTACAGTCCTAAAACATCAATGGGGAAGATTCAAACAAACAATGCCAAGTGAATTTTCACTTTTACATTGTTTTAAGGAAGGAAAAAACAACAATCGGCTTTATATAACTAAGTATAAACTTATATTTACTTGATATTATGTATAAATTATATGTACAACAACGGGCAATTAAACTAGCTAAAAAATAATACAGCTAGCCTATGTGAAATGAATTAACAAATGGTAATAATAATAATAAGAATATTATTATTATAGAAAATTGATAAAATATTGATTTTCACGTAGTTTGTGTATTTTCATTATTATCGATACTGTTGATTGTTGGTTTTAACTTTTGATTTTTTCAACTTGATTTCATACGGGAAAGTAATTAGAAGTAGTAAAGGATCAATTAGGGAAGAGGGTAGGGAGGCAGTAGAAGAAAGATTATTTTTTTAAAAAAAAAGGAAAATAAAAACAGTACAGTACAGGGAATTGAATGAATTCTAATGCCTATCACAAATTATCGTTTTAATTGTCCAAATAATACTCCTTGATATAATATATTCCCCATTTCCATTGTAACAACAATAGCATTCTGTGGTAGTCCCATTGGAGCACCTAAAGTTAAGAAAAAATAAGTGATAAAATATATACTATTGAATAACTTTCAAGTAGAAAATATTTCTTGTTGAAAAAAAAATCATACTTCCTGAAAAGCATGATTATGGTAATCATCCAACAGAATAGACTGTATGGTATTGGATGTTCATCACAACTATTTACTGCTTCACATCATACTAAAAAATAAATTATTCAAGTGCTAAATGGTGTTTACCTTCTTGGTTTCAAAATGAGCAAGTTGTTCTATTATATCATAGTCAACTGAACTTTAAAAATTTAACTATGAAAATCAATCGAGATATGAAAATATTACACAACAATCATAAATTATACTACCTACTTTAAAAAAAACTTTAACCAAAATAATTAATTAATTCCCAACTGGAATTTAAATTTTCACTAATTGAACTATTGAATCAAATTAGCAGGCATTATAAACACCATTTGATTTTATCACTATTCATCTATTCAATTTATTCAGTTAGAATAAATCAAATAGTTTTTATTGATCTTCTTTGTACATGGGAATAAATCTATTCAGTAGTTGAATTCATTAGTTAATTGAGGCTAGACCACCATGGAAAACCTAGAAGCACTAGATGGCAGTTTCGTCCTAGTATGGGACTCCTCAGCACTGCACATCCACGATCCCGACTCAAGATAGTTGAGTCTAGGACCTATCAAACTCGCGCGTGAGCGCATCCGACGGTGTTAATGCCTAACTTCAATCAATCCACACGAAAGAACTTCCCTGATTATAGTCATCGTATGCTCACTAATGGCGTTCTCCAAGAGGTATTTCCTGGAGTTCTAGTGAGAAGCAGTGACCAGTGGAGTTCAACTAGGTCTGTTGTGAGATAATAACACTGATGACAATGATGGACGGTGGCGCGACTTTATGCATTAGCTGAAGTAGACATGAACGTCGTTCAATGCCGGCTCAGTGGTTTAGAGGTTGAGCGTTCACGTGTGAGACCAACAAGTCCTGGATTTGAATCTCTCGAGGCGGGATCGTGGATAAGCACTGCTTAAGAGTCTTATACTGGGAGTGAAGGTCCTGGGTTCGAGTCCTGCGTAGGGGGTCGAGGATGCGCGCTGCTGAAAGGTCCCAAAATAGGACAAAACGTGCGTCCAGTGCTTCCAGGTTTTCTATGGTGGTCTAGTTTCAATTAACTCATAAATTCAATTATTAAAATTACTATAATATCCACACACACAAGAAGAACATAACCGTTCTCTAGTTAAAAATCTATTCGTTAAACAGATTTCTTGTTTATTTATTTGTTTTGTTATATCAATTGGTTATCATGTTGTAGATTGTAGATTATAAATGGCTAATGCTTAAAAAAAAAACACAAATTTTACAATGATCTATCTATATAATGATAAATATTCATTAACAATCACATCTTTAAAGTTATTTATCCTAATAGATAATTGTATTTCTCCATTATATACTTATAGTTTCATGTAAATGATGAATATAATAATGAACAATACACAATTCATTATTATAAGTTGTTTATTTACATTAACTGTTATTTATTATTTTACATTGTTCCGTTTAAAATTGTGTATTTTTATTTGTATTTTGATTCTTCCGCTCTTTCTCTCTTTCTTTCTTTCTTTCTTTTTTTTGTTAATTTTTTTCTTCCTTTAAATCTTATTAATAAATAATAGTAATATTCACTTATATCGATAGTAAAACCATATTTTTTTGTTTTGGTTATTAGTAACTAATTGATGAATAGTAGTATATTTGGTTATGATTGTTTAAATTTATTCTTGATGTCTTTAGCTTGTTCAGTTTCTATTGTACATACTCTCTCGCCACCCCGCTCTCTCCTCTCGCTCTCCCCTCTCTCTCTCTCTCTTTGTATCCTTTTTTTTAAAAAAAAAGAAATATATACCCATATATTTTCTCCTTGATACCTGTGTAATAATATTGTACATATATAATGAATATATATATACTTGTTAATGTATATTATGATTTCTTATCATTAATAATGTTTCATTTCGTTTTTTAAAACATTTATGTATTACCATTTGTACATGTTGAGTAAATGAATGATTTGTATAGCTACCATGAAATCAATCAATCGTTATCATCATCATTATCATCATTGACAATGTTATGTTTTTAATGGTTATACATTGAGAATCATTATAGATCTAATTCATAGCTAATGATGATCTTTCCTTTATATATAAAGAAAAGTCATATTAGCCTACATCATTAATAATGATAGCAATAGTAGTAATAGTAGTAGTATATATAGTATTCTCATAAGAGATTACTTGTTCATACACATTTCTCATTATTGTTAAGAAATGAAACCAAAAAAAAAAAAAATTACAACATAAATGTAACACATTTGAATAGTAAATTAGTTTGGTTTGTTTTGTTTGTTTTTACCTAAATCTGTAGTTTCACTCTCTCTTATCATCTAATATGGATGATATCGGTGTCCTTATGAACTTTCCTTCTTACAACAACAACAATAACAACACCGAATAGTAATAATACAATACTAGTTCTATAATAATTAATTTGAATATTTCAATAAAAGAGTACAGATATATGTATCATCATTAGCATGAATCTTGTTATGAACAGTAGTACATATACATGTATATATGCATAAAACTTAATTGTACTACCTCATAGATTATTGTGTACAACACTATCAATCAAAAATGAATAAACACAATTTATTTCTCTCTTTCAATTTTTCATGTATTTCATTATGTTTTAGTTTTATGTTCACATAATTATGATCATCTATCTATATAGTTTCTATCCTATTTCTATAAGTAATTTCATTCTTATAATAACTACAAAGTATAATAAGGAAGAAAGAAGAAGAAGAAGAAGAAGAAGAACTTGTACATGAAAGAAAAAAGGAAAAGGATGTTTCTTCTATGTTTTGTCAGTGTATATGACTGTAATCCTAAGAGAACATGATGAAGTTGACTATGGTTAATTACAATGTTGATTAGAATGGTTTAAGTTAATGCACATATACATATCAACACACATATAACTTTCTAATGGTTAGTTGAATAAATAAATATGCACAACTCAATAAGAATAATAAAGTGTGACGTTTTTGTTTGTTTGTTTGTTTGTGGTCAAATTCTAAAAACAAAAAAAATTCATCATAAAGTAAACAGTTGTTTACATTTATTAAAATCTTTTCTCTCTTTTTTTTCTCTTTGTTCTCTTACCTTAAAATGAAATAAACACAACAACGAAATAATAATAATAAATAAATTAATGTGTGTGCATATTGTGAAGAGAAAGAGCGGATGGTGGTGGTGGCGGTGGGGGGGAACAAATACTACATTGTATATGAAACAATACTTTATTTCGTTCTAAATGTATCGTATCTTAGGATACTAGTGAAATATTGGATATTGAACAAGAAACTTGTCAATTGTTCGAATAATTTATAATCAGGACATATATATACAACATATTTATATTTATACATGTTTTACCCAAATAAAAAGGAACATTTATTTATTTATTTATTTAAATATATAAACCTTGGTACAAAGAGGTACCAAATAGGATATGCCCTGAATAAATCATTCGATCTATATGAGGGCTGTGGTATTACTCAGGTGCTTAAACTGAGGCAGGTGATTTTCGTAGGAGGCCACACCACGAGTCTTGGACTTAAAAATCTAATCCCTAAGGCAGTGGAGTAACATCAGGAGATACAGTCCCATGATACATGGTGATTAACGATTGGTTCATATGCCATTTGTTCCTTTAGGATACTGGAGCCCATGTGCACCAATGGTTTGAAATCAGTGTTTTCCAACTCCCCTTGATGGATCTTCCGTATCTACCAAACCGGTTAGAGCACTGGATATTCGCTTTTCGTCCTCTCAATTTTGTAAACCACCGTAGTGCCACGAGAAGGCAGTGATTAGGATGTCTCTGGTTGTGGTTGTATGCACGTAGCCATATAAAAGCATTTCGAGGGGGAGAACCAACTCTCCCTCACCACTCTCAGTTGTACCAGGGCATTTGGGGGTGTAAACGAACATTATATATACACATATTTTTCTGTCTATACAATATGTACAAAATAACTAAGATTGTTTTCGTAAAGGTTTATTTAAAAATTAACTTGTAGAAAGCAGAAAAAATGTTTCCTTCACTATTGACCTGATCTAAATAAAAACTTTGTGACATTTTTTTAATGATTACTAATTGTTATTTCATGAAAAATAATTTCATTAGTTGAGATCATGAGTCAGTTGAAGCTAAACCATCATAGAAAACCTAAACGCACTGAACGGCCGTTTCATCCTATTACAAGACTCATTAGCAATGTGCATCCACGATCCCACCTCGTCAGATTCGAACCCAGGACCTATAGGTCTCACACGTGAATGCTTAACCTCTAGACCACTAACCTTGCTGTTGAGAATACAGACAATACCAGAGAAGTCCTACCGATTGGTATCTCGAGGCATTACTGTTGTTTACAAAATTGAGAGGACGAAAAGCGAATATCCGGCGATCAAATCCGGTTGGTGGACACAGAGATTCCACCTAGGAGAGTTGGAAAACACTGATTTCAAACCACTGGTGCACATGGGCTCCAGTATCCTAAAGGAACAAATGGCATATGAACCAATCGTTAATCACCATGTACCATGGGACTGTATCTCCTGATGTTACTCCACTGCCTTAGGGATTAGATTTTTAAGTCCAAGACTCGTGGTGTGGCCTCCTAAGAAAATCACCTACTTCGTCTGGGCGCCCGGGCAGTATCACTGTTTACACACAAATCAAGTGACTTGTGTGGTACATATGTATTCCGTGCCTCTTTGTACTAGTATTTATGTGTTCACATAAATAAATAAATACTGATTGAATTCTATCCAGCAAACTGGAATAGTATTAATTGTTCTATATTGTAGCCATTATAATGTAATCCTAGACGAACTACTCGGCCAGACTAGTTCAGTGGTTATCACTCTGATTTTAACGTTAGATGATGCGTGTTTAAATTTGATTAGGAGCATCATTTCCCTCAAGACTATAGATAACTTTGTTCATGTGAGCTAACTAGCGAGAAACTCAGGTAAAGCAGGGTTACTTAATGATTCTGTTTCACTAAGTTACTTAAGTAAATTAGAATATTAGTTTGTATCTCTGTTTTATTGAATAAAAGCTTGATGTTTAAAGAGACAAACCATTGGTCCATACTAACGATGGTATCTAATAATAACACTAGTTAATTTATCACACACTGCCATTCTTTTATAATAAATCGATCAGTATTCAATATCAGTTATGATTTGTTTTTCTTTGAACTTACCAGGTTGTGTTTGAATTCGGAAATTCTGTGTTGCCATTGACAACTGAGCAGCTGATAAACTATTATTTACTCCTGTTGATGCATTGTTATTATTGAAATGGAGATTTGCTGACATTGTAATAGCTTCATTTTGTTTGCGTAAATCAGACGACTTTTTCGATAAATTTGATCCAGTGTTACATTGTTTCCCACCGACTTCACTGGAACTGTTCCCACCACTACTATTCATTTGATTACTAGATGATAGTTTCGGGATTTTAGCGTTTGGTGTATCTAAATGACTTGGTGCACGAGAATTGCTTTTTTTGTTTGAAGAATAAGATGATGACTTGGAGCATGACAACTGTTGTATTTGTTTGTTATTGTTACTGTTATTATTACTAGTAGTAGTGGCAATGTTACTGGAACTTTCAACTTGAGATAATTGACTAGATTTTAGAGGTCCATTCAAATTTCCTGTTAATACTCCGTAATTGTTTGTTTCGGGCGTTTTTATGCCACCACACTGTAAACCAGCAGCCGCGGCAGCGGCAGCAGCCCATAACTGTTGGCATGCCACCTGGAGATTTTTTAAAAGAAAAGCACAACTAACATTACGTTTAGTCATTATTTATAGAAATGATAACTAAATACATAAATATTAATTTGAGATTTCGGTTAACCGAAACTTTAGGTAGAAGCTGTGTAAACAAAGTTGGTAGTAGGAAAACTCATAATCTTCATTCCCGCATATGAGATCACGAATGTGCACTTCTGAGGAAACCCATGGGACGAAGCGACCGTCTAGTACTCGCTGGTCTTCATTGGTGGTCTGACTTAGATCGATTCATGATTTAAATATGATCTTCATTTAGAGTTAAATAAGAAATTTATTTTAGTACAATAAACGACTCCATACATATATGCACCAATGAAGCACAATACTCACATCTGTGACAATATTGACGTCACTTGATATTACCTTACTGAGGTGCACGAGATTATCGCAACAAATTATTAGAAAATTTGTGCAACTGCTAAGAATCGGTCACAAAATCCCAGATAGATTCATTCTCAATCTTCTTGCAGCTATTGAGTTTCAAAACTATTTTATAATTTTTATTCCACGGATTCTCTCAGTCTTCTCAGATTACATGGTCTGTCCTTATCCTTTCCTACTACCACTGATACTATTGTAGTGAACGAGAATACATGCGGGGACAACCAATTGTATTTCAATACAACATTACAGAATATTTTGGTTAAATCTGAGGACCATAAAGTAATACTTCATTTTCAGATTATCCATCAATTGTCTCAGATTTTGTTGTTCTTTCGTTTTCATAACAATCACTTTCTGTTCTCGTTCTCTTCGATTTTCTCAACCGTCTGCTTCTAGGCATTCCACTTTCTACTGGTGATACATACTACTAATATCTGTCAACATCAGTAGCACACACCACACTATTACTACTTCTACTACTCGTGCACATATTGTGAAAGTTTTATATGGTCGTGGTGACATAATGTAGAAACTTGAAATGATGAATATTTGTCACAGGTTCTATGTTGCTTATGACTGATTGATTGACTGATCACTCCTCTATCAATCAAAAGTTCTTCAGTTTGATCTTCTGCTTATATTTTACCATCTTTAACTTCAATGGATCTCTATAAACTATCTATCCAAATATTAATCCATTTATGGTGATACACCTGAATGAGATATGTTGTACTTTTTTAAAATTTATTATAACCTAGACAATGTATCCATCATTTATGAAATTCAGTATTGGTATATACATCCTTTTGTATTTGTGCAACTAAGATATAATTCCCATATCATACAATTATTAGCAAAGACGGATAGCGGCTAGCAGTGGAATCCCGGAAGCTTGTTTCGTCCTATTCGGGACTCGTTGGCTGGATGTACTTGCATCTCATAACTGATGTTCACTCTGGGGCTCGGACCCAGTATCGTTCGCTTCAAACGCCATCTTGTTATCCACTTAGCTAACAAGAGAATGATTAATTACAGTCCTAAATAACAATGAGAAGATACAAGTAAACAACACCAAGTGAATCATACAATTATCATTTTAAATTCCTTATTTTACACAATAAAACAAACCTGTGCAGCAGTTTTAATATTTGAATCTTCACTTTCGAAAGAGAAGTTTGTTTGTTGTAATCTGTTACTATTATTAATAGTATTATTTGTTCCAGTTAGTTCACGTTTATTCACTTCTACTGGTGGATTAGATTTACATGTTAATTCTATGTTTTCATTATGAATATCAGAACAATCAGTATGTAATAAAGTATCATCATCATCCCCATCGTTGTTATGATGGTCATCATCATCACCATCAGACGCAGTAGAATCTTTATGATGATGATGACGATGACGAGGATTATTTACTTTTCGATCAGTTTCATTGAAATTGTTCAACAGATTGTCTTTACCATCTTTTTGAATAAATCGTTCATCTGAGTGCAAAGCAATTAATTCATTTTCATCGTTATTATAATATTGTAATTTATTATTCAACTTTTCATGATCTAATGGCATAAGTGAGGATCTGGGATCACTATCTATGTATGAAGTACCTTTAGAATGAAATTTAAAAAAGAAACAATAATCAAATCGTTCCAATCATTCATAAATTAAAGATTTTGTCAAATTATTGTTTGAATGAACTAAAATACCGAAATATAATAGAAGCGGGAATTTCGAAAGTTTTTAATTGATTAACCCTCGTTTAACCTTGAATTATATTATGCATTCGCGCGTGAGATCGAAGGCTCTGGGTTCGAATCCCGCGAGCGGGATCGTGGATGGGCACTGCTGAGAAGTCCCACAATGGGGCGAAACGATCGTTCAGTGCTTCCAGGTTTTCAGTGGTGGTCTAACATCAATCGGTTCACGATCTCAACCAAAAACGTAATAATCTCCACAACCTCATAATGATAACAAACAAGTTTATTCGTGTGTGCTTGAAATGTGCCATTGTTGATTTTCAAAAAATGAATTTGCTTAAATTGGGAATCAAAAGGTTTTATCAAGGCAATCCACCTAAAAGGAACATTTCCCAACAAAGATTTTTTTGAAATTCAGTTAAGACAATAAACAATGGGTTAATATAATCCTTACAAATAAACATTGTCCTCATTGAATAAGTTAATGACCATCTGGACTTTATAGATATATGGTTAGATAGTTGTCATTTGAAGTGAAATATACTCGGATCAGTTCTTAGTTTGAAAATAAACAAACTAGTATGTAAGTACATAGTATTGACAATTTCTAAATGGAACTAACACACACATCTATCCTAGATTCTACTGTTAACCTTAATCTACATATAATGTCATTAATAAATAGTATTTATTCATTTTTCTTTAGATTTCATTCGTTTGACTGTATCGATCAAAGGGAGATTAAGTTTTTAAAAAACTCGTTTACTACAAAGGTATTAATAATCCACCTAGGGAAGTTAGAAAACACTGATTTCAAACCAGTGAGCTCCAGGATCATGAAGGAACAAATGGCATATGAACCAATCGTTGGTCACCGGGTACCATGGAACTGCATCTCCTGATGTTGCTCCACTGCCTTTGGGATTGGATCTTTAGGTTAAAGGCTCGTGATTTAGCTCCATAAAAAACCACATGCTTCGGTTTGAGCACCCGGGCAGTATTCCAGCCCTCACACAAATGAATTATTTATGTGGCGCATATCTGTTTGATGCCTCCTTGTACTAATGCTTATGTGTTTAAATAAATAGATAATTCAACAGTTCAAACCTGAACTCTGTTTACAAAAAGTAGCATATAGAATCTAATTCTATAATATATAAAATGAAATATTTATTGAATAAAATACAACAATTCAAATTACCTTTCTCATCTAAATTGATTAGGTTAGTTTCATTTGCTGTTAAATTTAATGGTAAACTTGAAGTGAATTGACAATCATCATTATCATGTAGGGTTAATTTATTCTAATAACAAAGATAGAAAGATAGAATGGAAACTTATTTTTAAAAAATATTATTGATAAATTATATTTATACATAAATATCAGAAGGGGTTTTTGTGGATATTATAGTAATTTCAATGGTTGAGATCATGAGTCAGTTGAAGCTAGACAACCATGGAAAACCTGGAAGCACTGGACGGCCGTCTCGTCCTATCGTGGGACTCCTCATCAGTGCGCATCCACGATCTCGCCACCCCCAGCGAGATTCGAACTCAGGACTGTTATGGATGCAGAGGAATATACCAATCATTATCATGTTAAGTCTAATGATGTCCTTGGACTTTAAATGGACATTTCCTATTGGCCATTATTTATTTCACTCGTTAAATATTGTACAGATGTTGTTTTCTATTTTTATGGTACGATGTGGTTTGCTTGGTTGGTATATAAACAGAGTATGTTGAAATATAATGATTCATATCTCAGAGGCTGTGACTTGTGTTCTGGACTCAACTGACTGGGCTAGACAGGGAAGCGGGACCAATCGGGACTCTATGCCGTCCGTACGTGTTTATGTGTCATTGAATCGATCGACAAATACGCTGCTCTCTAATTTTTCAGTCAAGGACACAACAATTAGCACAGGGTAAAAATCGACCCAAGTTTAAAGTCATAACAAGGACCTATCAGTCTCGCGCGCGAGCACTTAACCACTAGACCACTGAATCACTCAGAATCCAACGGTGTTGATGTCTAACTTCAACTAATCCACGAAATTGAGCAACACATTCACCATTGTCTTCAGTGAGTTACTATCTCACAACAGACCTGGTTGAACTCCACTGGTCACTGCTTCTCACTAGAACTTCAAGAAATACCTCTTGAAGCCAGTCACTAGTGAGCATGTATTGATTAATATCAGAAGGGGTTTTGTAGACATTATAGTAATTTCAAATGACTCATGATCTCAACCATTGAAATTATACATAAATAACTGCTATTAGGTTCTTTTAAAGTTCTACATAATCTTACTTGTATTTCTTGCTATTCAAACTCAATTAGTAATATGAAAACTGACAGACTATAATTGATTATGTAAACTATTCAATGCTGGCTCATCATCATTCTAAACGTCAAATGTTCATAATGAGACATGAATGTCATAGGTTTAATTCCTTTTGATTCATGGATGGTTATTGTTAAAGAGTTTCATATTAGAACCAATTGCTATCAGATGCATCCTAATAATCTATCTAAGATCAATCCATGATGTGCACTATAAGATTCATTAATCTCCACAATCACTTTATATAATTATTAATTATATGCTCCCCAGCGACTAATTTCAAAAGGTAACTCTCTTGGAGTTCTAGTAAGAAGCAGTTAGTTATTTATTGGTTTGAATTTGAAATAGGTAGTTTGTTTAAATTTTTGGGTTACCTAATCAATAATCATGTAACACGTTTTTCAGTATACTTTTTTTAAAATTTACTTTACTTTAACCAACAGTAATTGCATTGTTTACTTAAAGACTTGAATAGAAAGTTCACAATTGATCATCATATTAAAGTTAACTGAAGACATCTTATGGTTGGTATATTTTTCACTTGTTTTATTATCTACCAGAATAAGTTACAAATATATTTGGTTTGATGTTTATAAATCGAAAAAAAAATCCATGGATATTTTAGAAGGATAGAACTAGGTCAAAACTTGTGCAATTGAAGAAGAGTAACAGTTACCAAACATTGTAAATGCATCTCTTATTATATGTGACTTAAATATGTTCACTTTAAAATGTAAATTAAAATCATTTAATGACATGTCATTATTTGTACTGATGGTTACATGTCGTATCAAATATGATATTACACCATTAAACAAAACACAATCTGTTTCTCTAATACTTACCTTGGACCTCAATCCACTAGATGTATTACTTTCATTTGTATCGATCAACACATTATTGGGATTTGAATGATTCGCTTGATTACGCAGATTATTTAATATGGGAAATTTAAGACATCCATCTGATTGGTTAATTAATGATGAATTATTTACAAGATATGAATTGTTTAATGTCGTCGCTGTTGTTGTTAATGATGGTGTATTTATTGATATCGTTGTTTGTAATGACAGTGGCAACGATGGTGGTGTGGCTGTAAAAGCTCCAGGCAGTGTCGGAAATCCTGCACCAAACAACGTTGCCGCTGCTGCAGCTGCTGCTGCCATAGCATTAGGATCAGTAAAATTATTTGGTATACCAGGTAAAATAGTTCCTGGTTGTATAGATGATGATGATGAAGACGTTATGAATGGATCATCGGAATTATTTAATGATGTATTGAAACCTTGAAAATGTGATCCAATTATGGAAAAATTTGGACCAGATACCATTGATGGTAATAAATGTGATGGGAATAAATTCACTGGATTATCCCCCATTTGATTGGAAGGAACTGTTGCTGATGCTGTTGCAGATGATGAGATTGTAGATGATGTTTGAAGTCCTAATCCATTTGTAGGTAATGATCCTGTTGGTATAGTAAGAAATGGATTGAATTGTCCAAATTGGGTATTAAATCCCAAATTATTCGTACAAAATGATGTTGAACCTGTTGGAATATTCGATAATAATTGATTTACATCAGAATTAGATCCATTAGGAAATCCTAATGAATTAGGATATACAATGGAATTAGATAATGAAGGATTTACACTTAATGGAGATGGTGAATTCGGCATGGTATTTGATGTTGTCATCGTATTAGGAGTGGTAGTCGTTGTTGGTGTTGTTTGTAGATTTCCTGTCGTTGTACTGACTGGTGAAGTAGAACGTGATGTATTTGGTGGATTCATTATAGGATAATCAAATGTATAAGAACTACGTCTAGCTTCACGTCGATTACCATCAATTGCAGCTTGTAATTCATTTGGTGAACTTAATCCAAGTGTTTCACATTCATATGGGTATAAATATTTCATATATCTAAATATGTTAAATAATTGTAATAACAGGTATATTAGAGTTAATTTATGAAATAAATAAATATGTTACGTAATAATAACCGTTTCAAATATAATCAAAATTAATCCAATTTGTTTCTACCTAATTATCTTTTATTGTTCCTAAGTGAATTTCTAAAACATTGAAATAGAGATAACGAAAAAATCTAAGTTGATAGTGGAGCGTTTGTTATTAATTTTAATGGAGTATAAAAACTATAGAAAGACAAGGAAATTGGAGTTTTTGAATTCCTATTGTGTTGAAATTTATGTATTCAATATAATAAAACAAGAAACTCTTAATATCAGATGGGTTTTGTGGAGATTGTAGTAATTTCAATGGTTAAGATCATGAGTCAGTTGAAGTTAGATCACCATGGAAAACCTGGAAGTACTGGATGGTCGTTTCGTCCTATTGTGGGACTCCTCAGCAGTGCGCATCCACAACCTCACCCCCTGCACGATTCGAACCCAGGACCTATCAGTCTCGCGCGCGAGCATAGTAGGAAATAACTAGAATATATCAAATCAACTGTTTGATAATCAATCTAATAACTATCAGTCACATGAAGGGTTTGTAGATTGGAAGAGAGGCAATCAAACCAAGACGTGCAATGTTGACTAGTGTTGGGACTGGTTGGAAGAAAGTTAGGGGCGGCCAAACCAGAACGTGGCATCAGTCCCTGTGGTCGCTAACTTCTAGTCTCAGCCATGCTGATGGATGCAGACTACTTGGTTGTCGTTCGCGTGACTATCGTAACCAATGGTTGGAGACTCTTGGTGACATGGCTCAGAATCGATCACAATGATGTAGGTGTATACACTCTCTGTCTTTCCTTAAACTATAGGATTAGAATCGCTTCATATCTTTCTTCCTACGAAATAATTCTTTCTATCCTTGTATATTTCATCGACTTAACTCGGGTTAGTGAATAACGGAATTAAAATAGGTCAAATACGAGAAAGAATTTCGAAAACGTATATTTTTGTACACTCACCGATCTGAACAGACAATCAGAGGGATGTAGCGAATAGAAGAGAGCGAAGCGAAATGATGCTCGGTGGAAATGGCGTATGAGCCAATTCTATTTAATCAAGCGTTGATCAGTATTTATGGTCACACAAAAATAAGTTACAGACATGTGATGTGTAGGATAAGATGTACACACACACACACATATGTGCTCATGTGAAAACAGTCAGGGTTGATAAGTGAATAATTAATAAGGTCAAAATGTGACTCAAGAATGGATAAATTGACCTGTCCAGAAGCTGAATTAGGTTATGTGGATTTAACTTAGTAACTGACACTACATATGACATTCAGTTCAGACAATACAACATCCACCTATGTTACAAAATCTACGTGATCATTAAAAATATACCATAAAATGATTAGTACATACATTTATTTCACTGGTTGAAATTATGAGTCAATTGAAGCTAGACCACCTTGGAAAACCTGGAAGCACTGGACGGCCGTTTCGTCCTGGCATGGGACTCCTCAGCAGTGTGCGTCCATGATCTGACCGCCTCCGCAGGATTCGAACCCAGGACATACAGGTTTCGTGCGCGAGCACTTGACCATTAGACCACTGAGCCGGCATCCAACGGTGTTAATGTCTAACTTCAACCAATCAACATACATTTATATTATTAACATGATTGTTATTTTTATTACTATATAATTCATTACTTACTGTGTTCTTAATGTAAATGCAGCACTTGTAATTGATGAAGGCAAATTTAAACCTTTAGTTATTTCACGCCATAATTTTTTATTAATCACTTCAACTAGACCCCCACGTGCAACAACTAATTGAAATAGTTCATATAAATCCAAAACTTGTTTAGCCATAATTGGTATTCGATTAACTGGTGTACCTGTTTATTTTAAAAATAAAGGTAAAAATTAAGGTAATATCAAGGCAATACGTACAGTATATATATATATATATATATATATATATATATATATATATATATATATATATATATATATATATATATATATATATACCAATAAGAGATTGATCAACTGCAATCTGAAACACCAATGGGTAGATTCAAATAAAACAATACCAAGTGAATTTCAACTTCATCCCATTGTACAAGCAAGTGGATATCAGAACTCAGTAGTTAAGTGGATAACACGACAGCACTGGAAGTGAATGGTACTAGGTTCGAGTCACAGAGTAAACATCAACTCTGAGCTGCAGGTACATCTAGCTGACGAGTCCTAAATAGGACGAAACGTGGGTCAAACTCAATTCCACTGCTAGCCACTATCTATCTTTGCTTGTAAATAATAATTTAGTTAAAACGATTTTGAGAAGATTGGCTTAATTTATTATTTGTATTCATTACAAATTAATTTCATTTGGTGTACCATTGAAATCTATCGAGCGTTGTATAGTTGTTTTATCCTAATATGAAATACTTTAGCATTGAGCACTTGTGATTTCATTGGGGAGGGGTCGAATTCAAGTTATATTCGTGTCTCTTGATAAACCTTCTAACGAACAGAATCACTTGTTCGACATCCATTTGTATGATTTTAATTTCAGTCAATCTTTGTTAATGCTTTGGGTATGCACTGCTGAAAAGTCATGTACTACACCATCGTAAATCAAATCAATCTGTGACGAATACAAGATTTTAAAAAAAAGGAAGCAACAGTAAACATAATCAGATAATCTTTAGAAAAAAATCGATTTTTATTCCTTATTTTTAAGTTCATATATGTTGACGTCCTGATGATTTTCTTTCTAGCCACCGTGTTTACTAATAGCTAAAATTTTATGAATGAAGGATAATTCCACACCTCTAATCTACTAAAAGATAAACTGAATATATAGGTATAAGCTTTTCTACCATAAGCGATACTTTTCCCCACGGTAAACATTTTAAAGTTATATCAGACATAATGAATGACAGTTAGTGTCAAGTGACTTTAAGCAACAACTCATTTCAATTATTTAATTTCTATCAGAGTGTATAGAAAGTGATATAGCAATACAAAGTAGATAATCTTATTTCCATCTCTACCCGATCTGATATCTTGTTGTGAATATCAGTTTACTCTGTCTTTTGGTCAAAATAATATAGCTAAAACATTTTAAGCAGAGTTGGATAGCAACTGGCACATTTCATAAGCCGGCGTTCATTTAGACTCAGTAGCTAAGTGAATCTTGGAGTGAAAGGTGTTGACTTCGAATCCCACGATGAACGTCAACTTAAATGAGATGGACCCAGCTGATGAGTCTCAAATGGAATGAAACACACGCCCTGGATTATACTATCAGCTACAATTCAACTCTGCTTAAAATGCTTGTGAAATGATGACGATACTGAGGCAGTCCACACAGGATCAACATATTCCAAAAGAGACTGACCAATCACAACTCTAAATATAAGTGGGAAGATCCAAACAATACTTGACTAGATGATATTTACAGTTAAATAACTGGCTGATCGTCTTATATTCATGGCCTACCACTTATACATGAAGTTAAAGTTTTCATAAGAACATCAACCATTCAAGAAATATGGATATATTTAGACTAAGTTAGAAATGGAACCTTAAATTGTTATCTTAGATTCCACTATGAAGTGCTTTTCAACAAATTCAAAGGTAATCTAACTGTACATATAGTTTATAATATATGGAAAAACTAAGAGTTCATCACAATTAGGGTAAAATAATAAATAAATCAATTACATTCTGACGTATAACAATCAGAAAGCTCACTATTAAATAAGTAGTATAATCATTCATTTGTCAGTGGAAATCATTCTGTATAATTCATTTAAGTCTGAAATTTTTTACTTAAGGCATCATTTCTATGTCACAAGTACAAATACAATAAGGTTTATGTTTGGAATTAGTCATAGACAAATTCTTTAGTTAAACTACATGTTAAGTGACATTCTTTAGCAAGATGTATCTATAATTTTCAATGAAACCGAGCTCTCTATGTTGGATTTTGAACTCAGGTTAACCATATTCACAATTTACCACTTAACCACTTAATAGACATTTTTTGTAATAATTTTTTTAAGTTTTAACTCAAACTTATTACTAAAATGTAACATCGTTTCATCCACTCAGAGATGAATCATTCTTAGTTTTGAACATCAATAATGGGATAATTCAAACCCTTAAGCATAAACATGACTCCCATTGAACTTAGTAGCTTAGTTGATAACTTTTTGGAGCTATTAGCGAAAGGTACTGGGTTCAAATCTCAATGTGAACAATAACACACTTGTATTTAGGTACATCTAGTTAAAAAATTATAAACAGAGCGATATCCACTTATTGTAGATTCTACTATTAACTACAATCCAAATATGTGTAATAGAAACTTTTAAGACTGTTCCTAAGTTGAGATTAGATGGTGGTTGGAGGTAGTCGACAGGAAACCCTGGACCCGCGTTTCGTGCTATTTAGCACTCGTCAGCAAGGTGTACTTGTAATCTTGAGGGAACTGGTGCTCCCTGGCGGATTCGATCCCGTGTCACCCAGCTTTACAGTCAGAGACGTTACCACTGTGCTATCCAGGCTGCGACTGACCTTCTGTAGGACTGAGATGTAATCACAATTGATTGATCACTGGGTGGTAATCAACGTCATGCCTGTCAAGTCCTTATTTTAGTGCAGATCGAATGCTATCGACCATGATGCAATGTGGCCACCAGTCTAGGTGACTCAACACTACCACCATCTAATCTCAATATATAGTCGAGTCACCTAGACTGGTGGCCACATTGCAACATGGTCGATAGCATTCGATCTGCACTAAAATAAGGACTTGATAGGCATGACGTTGATTACCACCCAGTGATCAATCAATTGTGATTACATCTCAGTCCTACAGAAGGTCAGTCGCAGCCTGGATAGCACAGATTTCATTGTTCATTCCTTTTCATACCAATTGCGTTCCATTTTCCGTTCTTTCCTCATCGATCTTCTGCCGAAATACATTCTATGCCTGACTACCGTTATATACTACTTATGTGGATATAAGTAACCCACACCACATACCTACATAAAAGCGTGCTTTCCATACAGGGATAAATGGGTAACTTTGTATTTAAAAAAGATTTGAATAAATAGTAATGTGAAGTTTATTTCTGAATGCTTTAACATTCATCTACTCAAACTAAATCACCACTGTTTTATTGCAGTACATGGATACATGATGCTTAATTTTTTTTAATATTTTATTGTTTCATTTTCGATTGTAATTAATTTCAGTTTCTATATCTACCCGTATTATAAAAATGGCTTATTGATAAGATGAAGATGAAAATAATATCAGTAAAATAGATAAATATACATACATATGGATACCCATGCATGGACAGACTGATACACTACAAATAGATCAGCGTAAGATCACCGTTGAAAACCTGAAAACACTACATGACTATTTCGTCCTAGTACAGGACTCCTGAGCAGTGTGCATACACGATTCCGTACGCGGAGCTCGAACCCGGGGCAGTGGTAAACGGTCGAGAAGTATCGTTCATTTAATGAAGTTAGACATTAACAACGTAGGTTACCAACTCAGTGGTCTAGATGTTAACCATTCGCGCGCGAGACCTAAAACCCTGGGTTTGAGTCCTGCGTGCGGGATTGTGGATACGCACTGCTCAAAAGTCCCATACCATGACGAAATGGTCATCCAATGTTTCCAGGTTTCCAATGGTGATCTAACATTGATTCATTCATGATATCGGTCTAAACTCATCAATCTCTATCAACCTTATACTAATACTACATATAAGCAAATTTATATCTGTTGGTATCTTTTGTCTCAAACTATCCTAGTTTGATAGTTCTCATCAATGTGTATCTACAATTTTATCATGGATCAGGTCTCATGAGGATTATATTAACTTTAAACCATTGAATAAAAATTCAATAATCATATATTGCTGAAGAGCATAAAACTACAGTGATTAAATTGTTTCAGTCTTATTTCTTTTCTATTTTCAATAGTCAATTAACTGATTTCTATTCAAAATAAACTGTAATGAAATAATCATTGAGATTTATTTAATCATTATTAATAGGCTGATGGACAGCCTATACTCCTCCACGAGGAGTAACAGCCGTAAGTAGTAGTAGTAGTAGTTTTTGTTGTGTTTATAATTACCTTTCATTTAAAAACTTACCAGAGAAACTAAGTGAATGTATAACTTTTCTTCTCTTGTAAATTCAATCATATCAAATCACATGGGAAAATATTGGACAGTTATATTTTACCGTAAAACACTGGTTATTGTTTTTGGTTTTTTTTTTTGGTTTATCGTTAAAGTCTGAACTCAAACAAAAGACTCAGTATGTGAGATTATTATTATTATTATTAATGGTTGATATGCGGTACATTACTACTTTTGTATGTTTACAAGTACAATTCAATGGGAATACGTACGCACATACATACATACGTGTGTACGTTGTGAGCGTGTGGATATATATTTACAAAGTCAATTTCTTCTTTTAACAGTTTAAGAAAAAATAAATCAGGATTAAATGTGTGTGTGTGTGTATTTGTTTCTAAGATAACCAAGAGTGATATATAAATAGACAGAATAAACTTGAATTCAAGACACGTGTATCAAAAATGAAAAAAAGAAAAGAAAAGAAAATTGAACACGATGGTATTGCTACAACCGGAGAAAAAACAAACCCAACTTGATGGAAAAAATAAGAAGAAGAAGAAGAAAAATGGAGAGAAAAAGATTCAGTCTAATTAATTTTCATTTTCATTGTGATCATGTATGTTTATTAGTTTGTAGATATAAGAAATGTAACTTTAATATAGACTATACCATGACAACACAACTGAACACGACTGATTGATATTCATAAA